CACTACGCTAAATGTAAAAAGCGCGGCAAAATACCGAAAGAATTAAACTGCCCTGACTTTGCGTACGGTTGCGGTAAAGGTCGTTCGGACGCCCAGAAATCAGCCCAAGATTACGCAAATAAGGTTGGAGATTCAGGGTGTGCTAAATACCTGGGACATTGCCAAATCAATAAATACACCGGTGGCTGAGAGGGCTTAAGGTTTAATCCCAGAAGTTACTAAACATTCTTATGAGTAAAATGGATTTACTGTAAGTTAGAATACAAATCTTAAACTTAAAAATCTGTAGTCAGCCGAAAAGTGAAAAAGTCTGTGATTAAATGAATTATAATCAACCTTCTTTCCACTGTGATCATTACGTAATGGATAGTAAATTAAGGTGTCTCAACTTAAAAGTCTATTTTGTACCCATTACAGATAGACGTCCGAGGGTAGCGATGCGCGGGAAATCCCAACAGCTGCCCATGGCTGCTACCGCCTGGGTGATATGGCTGTGTGTATGCTTGAGGTACTGGCCAGGCCGTGGGTTTAAGCCGTGAATTGATATGCGTGCCCCTTGCTTTGTCTGTCTCGTCCAATTATACATTTTTTATTAGCACTCTTGTTACAAAAGCATAGAATTTGATTTCTGACCAAAATGCCTCAACACTGTGTTCGTCAACCTCGTTCCTTGCCTAGTCCCTAGGCCTCATTATTATGCGCGGCTTCGGGTCACGTGGTCCGAGAAAGTTTTTGAGGCCTAGACAAACTTGGAGAAGTGAGACATAGGGCGCTTTCCATTTAGTCAAAATTTCCGGAATTTCCGGTTCGGCGGTAAATGGAACACGTTTCGTCGGTTCGTCCCACTGGAAAATTCCCAGAAAAAGTGGAAAATCTAAAAAGGTGGTCCCGTTTTCCCGGTTGGAATTTCCGAACGGAATGTCGTGTTCCATTTACGTTTCTCGTAGTTTGTACCAGTTCCAGGTCCACGGTCGGGCACCGCGCCACGTACCGGGGCTTACGACCAAATGGAACAACTTTTTACCAATCGGAAATTCCACTTTTGCTACCACCGAAATTTCCGAGTTTTTTTCGTAAATGGAAAGCGCCCAATTGGGGCGGAGCTTTTAGAAGCGGGCGAGCTGTCAATAACTTTTCCGCGCTGATGAAAGATGTCTAGCAGCCATGGAGAGTACAGAGGATAAAGAGTTAAACCGAGCATTTTTATTCCATGCACGTTTTCATTGCTGTCATTGTTGAACGTCCTTTGGCCTTTCTTTTTCATTTATCTCATTAAACTAATTTGAACTTTATTTCATCTCAAAAACTATTTGTGGGCTAAGCAAAACAGCGTCGCAAAAAATTATTTGATCAAGAATCGGAAGGTAAGCTAAAGAAATAAGTTTATATTTATTCTTGGATATGAAAAGCTATCCATTGTTTCTCTATTTTCGCTTGCGCCTATAAATTTCTCGTTATCATTTCACTTCGAAATATTTTATGTAATTTAATTTTTTTTCATTTGGAAGCTTATCAAAGTAATCGGACAGGCTTTTGAATTTGGTCTCTAAATTTGGTAGAATGTCAACAAACTACTGTTTCAGGTCTTTTTATCAATAAAGAAATATCATTTTAATGGTTCATTTGAAAATGAACTAAAAGAGAAATTACTTGCACGTTATACAGTAGTATTCTTTCCGATTCAAAGTAATATTTTTGTTCTTTGATAACAGAAACCAGGTTAGTGCCGATCTTTGGGCGAAGGACATTCACGCGCAAAGTTATTTATAGATTATTTCAGTTGAACGTGGGAACTTTTCAAAAATGCACACGCATGCGCACTCCGAGATTGTCTAGGCGTCTCCCGGCCGTTCGTCTCGGATACGTCACCGAAATGCATTGACTGAGAGGGCCTGAAAAGACGCCGTACAGGGACTAGGCAACCTCGTTCCCAGAGTCCTCGCTCAGGGAGTCGAGTTGGAGAGGACCCTTGGAAGTAAGCGTATTTAAAATATATTTATCATCAGATTGGAAGAAAGGAAGAAAATACAGTACAAGTTGCAACAGCTTAAAGACATAAAAAATGGGTAAAACATAATAGGAGAGCAAGTTATGGCAGATTGAAAGTAAAAAGAGTTGGCCTTACATTAATAGAAAATTTTTTAAATGAATGATAGTGAACTGGATAAAGTAACGTATTTTGTAAACTTGCTTGATTTGCTCCGAACACTTGACGTTAAATCCAACCGATGGATGGTCGCGATGGTTGCGATGGAGCACTTTCATAAAGCGCGGATATCTTGCAAAGGATGTTGTAACCTCGCCTCAGCGAGAAGTAACGCAGTTAAAATGGGCATAGATAAAAACTGAGGTGCGTAGTAGAGGTAGCAATGAAATACCTCACTCATCTTGAGCACGGGAACTTCGTGTCCCAATAGTATTTTGCCTACCTTTACTCGTGTGAACCTCAAGGATAACCAATTGACACACCCATTTTGCCACCACCTTGTTTATGACATAGAACTGATCAGAACTACTCCAGCTAATATTGTATTACGCCCCCCTCCCCTCCCCAAATTATTCTTTACTAATAAACGATAGAATGTTACATTAAGTCAGCCCCCCGTCTCTATTAACCGCCCCCACCCCTTAAAGGTGTTTGAACTACAAAAGCCCCTCGGGTGGCTTAATAACAAATTGACTGTAATTTTTATTGTCTCATTTATTTTTATCTCTTCTTTTATTTATTTTATTTGCAGTGGTATACCACTGTGTATACCCGCAAATTAGCTGGTGAAGTTTTCTTTTAAACCAATCGATATAGATGGCTAAGTGTATGTTCCACTTAAATGAAATATTGTACAGTGGAACCCCGCCTTACGACCACCTCGTTATTACGACCAACCCATTTATACGACCACCTCCTCATTACTACCATATTCTTTCGACACAAACGTAAAAATCTCTTGAGGCCCGGTTCAGACGCCGCTCCACTCATGAGCCGAACCTAACTGAATTAGATTTGACTTTGGAGCGACATTGGCGTAGCAACCGATTCAGGCGGCGTACCGTGTGTCTATCCTAACCTTCATTTCATGTGCGGAGAAAGGGAAAAGCCTGGGTCCGATACCATATTTTAGCGCCATAATTGATTTTCTCTTTGTAGAAGACTGTTCTTCTTACTTATATAGATCTTTTTCTGCCGGATTCATTTGAGTCATTACATTCGACCTTTTCGTGCTCTTCCATGCACTACTTCTCGGAAACATGGCTCACAATAAGTGGCTGAACTGCCCGCTTTCCAGTTGTCAGAAAAGGCATACAGAAGTATTTCTGGCACCGTATATTTTGTATTCTTAAAGCGAGAGGAGCAAGATTGTTCTTCTTCACCCGCCATTTTTCTCAATTTAGTGTTCCGCGCATGGCAACTACGTAAAACGAGCGGTATTGTGGGAAAAATTATAAATTTAATGTATGCATTAGGTTCGGCACTTGAGAAGAGTCCTGTATGAATCACCTGCCGATCCAATGTCGAATAATGCGACAGACTCTGTCGAGCTTGGCGTTTCTGTCGCACCTAATTAAAACCGCCGTACCAAATTGATTCAAACGCACCTCTTTTGCCGGACTTATTTCATCAGTTAGGTTCGGCACATGAGTGGAGCGGCGTCTGAACCGGGCCTTCAGTCACTTTATCATTTTGAAGACCCTGTTAATGTGACCACCTCGTTATTACAACTACGATCCTTTTTAATTTACTCAATTTTTTAAGCTTCAAAACTTCGCAAAAAATCGAATTCATTTAAATAAAAGCTGCGGGGGGGGGGGCTTATATCCAGGGGGCTTGTAACGGGATATATTTAGCCGTTAGAAGCTCATAAGTTTCCAAGCGGAAGTTTACTGTATTTTCTTCGATTTTCACGCGATCTCAATAAAGCATCAGGCTCCCTTTCAATCCATTTTCAAAGGATATTACGTACACCTGCGTACACCCTTAGGGCTCACTAGCGAGGAAATAAAACTTTATTAATTTCACCCGCAAGTATTGTCATCAATTTTTACTGTGAGTAAAATTAACCAAGCTGGCCATTGGTTTACATTAGGTATGCAATCTAACTGGGCCGTGCCGAGTAAGTTTGGATTATGTTTCACTAATGTTGATGAGTTTTTTTAATTTTCTCTTTTTCCATATCATTACGATTCATCTAAGCTCGCTCCTTGGCCAGGGCTCTCTCCAGTACCTTTTTAGTTAGTACATCAGGCAAAGGCCATAGGAGCAAGCTTTCTGAACCTTTATAATTCATGATCACTTTTGCGAGTATATTTTCCTAAACAAACATGGCAACTACAATTAAGAGGGCGCCAAGAAACTGTCAAACACTACAATAAGCTCAATAGCACTCTATCGAAAGGCTCGCCACTTTTACCTCTGGTAATGATTTTATAAAGTTACCCCGGAGACCTTGCCAAACATCGGGACTTCAATTCGTAATTTGTGGTCGTTGTTGTTTGCTGTTTCCTCTATTAAAGAGATTTATTGTTAGCTAACCACAAACGCGTTCGCGACAATTTAACCGCTGATGGGGCCTCACCTGTTTTAACACCTGCAAGAGTCTAAAATGCCATAGTTTATTTTTAGTTTATGTTCCCCTAGTTGTTTTAATAATCTATGGATCGTGCTACTAGGTCCTTCTGTACTCCGATGTTCCACTCAAGAAAAAATAAGCTATTTATATTCAGTAGGAACAATGGAGCCAACAGGGACACCATTATCTGACAACTGAGCTGTCGAAATATGTCTTTTAGTATAATGACCACCCCGCAATTGCGCATTTATACGCAAACTTCCCTAGCAAACAGTACACCGCATTTTTTTTTCTGCTGTTTGTTTTTTTTTAGATCGTAGAAGGGAATGTGTTATGTTGAGTTGTGAAGCATAATGATCGTATTCGGGCTCAAGCCTGTAAGTTAGTCAAACGCCACAGTAACTTCTGTTCCTTTTTAAACTCATCTCAGGACATATGGCTTCTTGGCGGAGTTTTTTTATACTTTCTCGAAAAAGGTATCTCAAGCGGTACTTCGCCATAATTACGCTGTTAGGAAGTCTGTCTTTCATATTTCTTTACATACGATACACGCTTTCTGAAACACTCAACTTTTCCTCCAAGTCATTTCGTAATAATATTTTGAAGTACGAAGAAGCAGAAGGAGGAATGTCGTTTTCTGTACAAAATTTTCCTACAGTCCACACGAACCACGGAATGATGAACGAACATGTCTGGTGGAATATATCTGAAACGGCCATGGACGCGTTGCGAAACTGGCCACATTTTGCAAACGTTCCGAACAAGCGTTCTTTCATAACGGACTTTCATAGCAGAACAGTCAACGATTCAACGAATAAAGGACTAAGAATTTTTGGTTTTATCCATCCGGAAGTTGATGGCAACTACACGTTTGCTATCACATCAAGTGGCCCATCTGAGCTTTGGTTGAGTCCGAATGAGCACCCCGCCTGCAGCCAATTGATCGGACGTGTCTACTCGCCTGATGAGTGGGCCTCCACCTTAAAAGAAGAGTATAACAAATACCATGGCCAAATATCTAGTGAAATCTCGCTTTACGCTACCAAGAAATACTACATGGAGTCACTTGCAGTGAACATGCAAAGTTCTGATGAAACCTTTGTCACGGTTCATTGGCTGAACACTTCTGCTTCCAAGAACTCGAACTTTAGAATTATTTCATCCAAGTATTTATCTCCTTTTTATGGCACCAATAGTTTAGAACGAAGTCCCCGCCGGTGCAACAGCAGCACTGAAAGCAATTTGCAGGAACAATTTCTTCGTCTGCCACTGATGAACAGAATGGAGTACATGACTTTATTTCCAACTTGCCCTTACAATCCCAGTTTCTTGGTGCGAAGAAAGCTCGAACGTTATCAGGGAGTTTGGCTGACAGTGGGAAAAGAATCCCGTGTGTTTCCGCTAGACGATACCGATATGTCTAGCAAAGAACAAGTTAAGAAATGGGCATCACCCAATCCTGTAATAAACAAGAACAGAGTTGAGTGCATTATAAACGAGTTTACGTCCATTTTACGGCGGAAGTAAGTGGCGTTGTTTTCTTAAAAATTTGACTGATATTCAGGGGTAATTAGGGTGTATATATTTTTTCTTACCAACACGGCTCCGGCTCTTCGTCTTCAACTATTTCCACAAATTTTCCATCATTGTCTAACGGTAATGAATCTTTAACGGTGTCATACTAAGATGCACGGCTTAATTCTCTCTCTTTTTTTTTGTTTTAATCCCCGGGTGCACGAGGCTACACTAAGATGTTTTAATTTTTTTTGGTAGGGGGAAGGGGGGGGGGGGGGAGGGCAGGTTAGAAATTTACGCATGATGTCGAAATGGATTGTATACAAACAACCCCAGCTGCTCTATATACATACCTGCTCCGAATGTTTGCTAACTAACGAAGCGTTAGCGAAATTATTAAGAGTTATTTGAAACATAACAATCGACACTCGCGATAAGTTGATACCATCTTTGTAGAACTATATTTACCATTGACGATCAAGTTCGAATCCCCCATACAATCTTTGTCGCCCGCAAAATCGCGGGTCCCATCACTATTTGCACGCTCACAAAGGGAGCCGACGCTTGTCGCGTCCTTTGATACTTTGATACCAGACTCAAGTGTTAGGGTATTTTTTCCATGATACAAAGGTAATTTAACTTAAGAAAATCTATAGATCGAAGCTTTCGCGCAACTCTCTGTTTTATAAGGAAATACAAACGTTCAAATTGATTCTTTATTTTGACTTCATAACATATTTTAACGATTTAGGCCAGCAGAATGTAAAGAATTCCAGGAAAACAATTCAGGAAGCCGAACGGTTTTGAACTGCCCTAGAAGTTATTTTTATCAGTATGCAAATCACCTACCCAATCACTTACTTTCCATCGAATTGAAATATCCTGACTTTTTTTTACCACTTTTCGATTTGATTCGTTTCATTTTATATTATTTTGTGCAAGCTGAGTTCTTTCATGCGAATTTACGCTTTCAAAAGGAAAAAAACTTCGAGGAAACGTTGTGTTTACAACCACGGCAATTTGTATTCTATTTCGCTTCACTTACGGCAGCTGGACTTTTCCGCGGGTGGCGGGTGGCGGGTTAAAAATATATACGAAAATAAAATATTATAACAAAATATTATTATTGATAATGATATAACTGTATGTTGTAATTTTGAAATTATTTCAACGTTTACGTACTAGTTACCAGACTCCAAATAAAAGTAGTCTTGTTTTGTTTTATCTACTTTAATACGCGGACTAAAAATGGAAAAAAAACGAGAAATCATGCCTGTGAAAGATGATTGCACTTCCCCAACTGTTTAGCCGTGTGTATAACAGACTGCAAGAGATTCGGCCTCCCGTGTCGTAGCTCAGTTTTTGCCCTAATATGCGGAATGATTGCTATCCTAATCGGTATTTTTGAGTAGTATTTAAAAAAATGCAGATCCTTTTTGTATATATATACAAGGAGATCAATTCGCGTCTGAGACGCCACATGCGGCGAAAACGGTCCATGCTGTGTCCAAAACGTTCTTGCTCCTTCTCTGGTACGCATTAACATTGACAGCTTTGTTGCTTTAGTCTTAGGAAAATTTCCTTGTTTTCTCGAAATAGACACTTTGTTCATTTTAAACTACAAGTCGGGAACCAAACTGACAAAGATTTATCCCACGGGCAATGCAATGTTTATCCCAACTTATAACAAAAGAACAAACGCACTTGTCAAAAATCTGAGACACTGTTCAAACATGTCGAGAAGAGAATGCGATCTTACTTGTCTGGTCGCAGGAAAAATATTACTTTAATTTTTATGAGTTCCTCAAGCTATCTCGTGCATGCGATATCGTGTAGAATAATAGAATCTCTTGCAGTCTGTTATATACACGGCTAAACAGTTGGGGAAGTGCAATCATCTTTCGTCTTGAGAGGGTCTCAATGGGGTGGTGGCATTTACGGTTATCGGCTAAAATCTTGGCTCTTTTACGGCTATCGGTTAATTTTTTTTCAGTTACGGTTAACGAAAGAGTTAAAAATTAACTGCTTTTCTTTCAAAAAGTTAAATATTAATTAACCTGTATTTTTTTGTATTTTTAAATCAAAATAAAGGTCTTCGGATCATCTCGGGATAAAATAAGCCATTCTTTTGAAAAATTTTCACATTGGATCGATCATACTTTTTATAAAGTAATCCACTTCTAATATTATTTTACACATAGAAATGTCAATAGTCAATTTAAAAATAATCTTTGTGAAAAAGCAAAAGCAGACAAGCAAACGCCCAACTCAAGGCCGGGGCGACATTCATTAGAACAAAAATGGCCGTTTTCACACTAGAGAAGGATTATTCGTGTGAGACGGGTTATCCGTTTGATGATTCGCGTCAGATAGGTAATACGTCTTAATTTGAAAATGGAAAAGTTTTAATTTTGAGTGAACAATCCGCCTGACTTTTGAAGACGGGATTATCCGTTCCAGGTAGCCTTGGTACAGCCGCCCCCTCCCCTCACAAAAAAATCGGAGAAGGGGTGTCTGTGGGGAGGGCTCGACTGTACACAGGCTAGTCTCGGACGGATGATCCATTTCTAGCTCTAGTGTGAAAACAGCCAAAAACAAAATTCTCTTGTCCAGTGTTTTTATGATAGCGAAGGACTGTACGGAACGACTGTCTGCCGTTGCCTTGTTCGTAGGCCGCATTATTCCGCGCGGCTAATGCGTTTCGGGTCTCGTGGTCCGAGCGAGTTCGCCACCGAAATGCCTTGACCGAGACTGCGTGGGAAGACGCCGTACAGGGACTAGGCATAGCAATGTCTACCGTAGCGTCAGCGGAGAAAAACAGGGAAGTGTTGTTTATCGGCAACGTGTTTTACAAACAGTGACATCGCTGCGTGCTGTTTCACTAGTGTTTCGAGGGCACGACCTCCCGAAAATTGCAGATATTAATCCCCAGTAAGAAGCCACACTTTCGCTATGGAAAAAATTAGTTCCCCGATATAGCGCCGGAAATGGAGCCTAGGTCTTGGTTAACACCTAAAAGGCGCTTCGCCTAACGTGCGTACGGAGTCACACTAGCCGGGAAATAAAAAACACAACCATAGGTGAGTTTAGTACCTTCCTTAAAAGTAGCAAATCTAAGGAACACTTTCTTTTACGGTTAACTCTTTTTTACCCTATTTACGGCTAACGGTTAAAATTTTTCAATTTTTACGGCTATCGGCTAAATTTTTGGCCGTTTTACGCCCATCGGTTAACCCCATTGAGACCCTCTCTTGATGTGGAAGAAAAAGCAAACTAGACAAACAAGATCGAAAAGGCAATGTGTCTTGCTTGACATAGCCCGTTTTCATTTGACACACCGCGTGTAGCCTGACGAAACGTCACTTGCGGTGCGGAGCAAGGAGAGGTGACTGTTTTTACAGGCATGATTTCTTTTTAGTCCGCGTTAGCCTGCGTAGCAAGCGTTTCCTCGCAAGGTTCGTCAAGAAAACTGGGACAAGAGCAAAAAAAAATGAATGACGGGGGAGGGGGAGGGGAATTTTTTTTGCTTCCGCTCTAACTTTCCCGCGCAATAACTCGATTGGAAACGCTTGCTACGCAGGCTAAGTCCGCGTAAGTAGATAAAACAAAACAAGACAATACTTTTATTTGGAGTCTGGTAGCTAGTACATAAACGTTGAAATTATTTTAAAATAACAACATACAGTTATATCATTATCAATAATAATATTTTATTATAATATTTTATTTTCATATATATTTTAAACCCGCCACCCGCCACCCGCCACCCGCCACCCGCCACCCGTCACCCGCTACCCCTCACCCGCCACCCGCCACCCGCTACCCGTCACCCGCCACCCGTCACCCGCCACCCGCGGAAAAGTCCTGCCGCTTCACTTACGCTTATATACAAATTACTGTTCATCCGCCAGATTTCGCTGGAGACAAAAATATCGATTTTGAATTCCCAAATGCTTGCCTTTTGGGGCACCCCTTTTATTTTGGCTATCAAGATTTTAAAAGCTAAGCTTCAGACTTTTCATTCCAACGTTTTAATGCGGGAAAGCTAGGAGAAATGCTCCAACTGATTTAAGTCATGCAACACGCTTTAAGACCGCATAACCTGATCTTTCTGTTATCTTTTGTTCTTCTATTGTTTCCAAAACAATAACGATGTTTTACCAATTTCCACCTACAAATAACAGGACACATTTGATTGACAGAAAAATTTGCATTTACTAGCGACGCGCGACGCGTATCTACAGGCGCGATTCCATAATGTTTTACCCCCCTCCCCCTCTTCCCCAAATTTTACGTACTAAGTAATTGTTTCCAAATGCAGTTGTCTGGAGAACTAAAAAATAATAGTCTATGCGGAAACTGAAATTGGGCGGCGAGCCGAGTGTGTTATGGAGGATTAAAAAATGGAGAACAGGTTTTCGAAGACACATGACACTGACTTAACAAGGCGAACTATGATTTGGCGGAATTTTCAAATTGACCTTGTTGCCACTGGTCTGAAAACTCAGAGAGGGTCAAACTAATCTCGTTCCCAGATGCCGCGTTAACTTTGGCCAGCGGACTGGCAACATTGCAGACGTACTCGCCATTTTCACATATACCATAATGCACCTTGTATCCATTGTTTCCATTTTCTCTTGCGTATTATAGTCTGGTCCCAAGAGAAATCGAAGACAATGGTTATGCAAAACTTTGGGTGGTAAACAAGGGGAATAATGGTCTATGTGAAAATGGTGAATAAAGGAAATCTAACGAGATGGTCAAACATTCACAACTCCAGACTCCAGTTGTCCAAAGGTGGATGAGACACTATTCCTCTAATGGTTATCCACTGGATGGTGATTTATCCGTAGGATGGTGCTATCCATCCTTTGAAGACCCTCTTTGAACCACTGCCACTAGAGCTGCTCTCTAGATTCAGTAATGTAGGAGCTGCTCGTAAGGTGTTTCCTCATTGGTCGCAGAAAACAATAACACATAATTGTTTCTCATTATTTCCCTATTTCAAAAGGTTGAGTTTGATCGTCCCGGTGAGCGTAGTCCTGAATAGGACTGTTGTTGTTGACAGTGACTGACGTTTCGACAACCTGTGCGGTAGTCATGTTCAGAGTCAAAGTGAGTTGTATCACGTCAGTTGATGGTATTATACTCTGGTTATTGATCTGATTGGTCAATTATGTCGCGATGTTATTGGTCGTCTGTCAGTTAAGCCGTGATGTTATTGGCTATGAAGACTCGTAATCAGTGATTGGTGCGTTTCGATCCGTCTTTTGTCGCAGTTAAACAGTCGTCTATTGTTAGTCAAATTGTTAGTTCTCCAGTTGTTCTCTCGTAGTTAGTTTTGCTTGATCTCGTCAATAAGTCGTTTGTACGGCGCTGGTAACTTTTGACTACGATTCAGTGGCGTTTGTTCTAAATTAGTAAACCAGCTTTCTAAAGTAAGACGTTGATAGTAGTCTGTAGAATACGTTATACATGTCGCAGAGTCCCAGTCAATTTGATGTTTCGTCTTTAAATGATGCTCAGCAATGTGATTGTTGACGTCACCATTCCTCGTCGCGCGTTTGTGTTCGGTCAGTCGCGTGCTTAGGTTTCTGCCGGTTTCACCGATGTAAGAAGCCTGGCAGTCGCAGCATTTGATCTTGTATACTGCTCCCTGTCTGTCCTCCGGTTTGTCTTTGTCCTTGACATTAGTAAGCAGTCGCCGTAAAGTGGTTATCGGTTTGTGCGCAACACGTATATTGTAAGGTTGTAATATACGTGCAATAGTTTCAGAGGTGCCTCTGGTGTATGGTACAGTCGCTGTCGTAACAGGGCCAGAGTTGGTCTGAGAGTTGGAATTAGTGTTACTGTGAGTGTTTCGTCTAACAAAGTCCGTGTTGTAATTGTTCTTACTAAAATCGTTGTTAAGATAATCAGTCTCGTCTTGTAGGCTGTCAGGTGAGTCGCAAACTAGTTGCGCTCGTCTCGTCAGAGTCCGGATAGTAGTAGCCTTGTGAGAGGTCGGGTTGTACGAAGACTGGTCTAGTAATCGGTCGGTATGTGTCGGTTTTCTGTAAATAGTCGTTTTTAGTTTTCAGTACAACGGCAAACACCACAAACAGTTACACGGTACAGCTATGGGCTCTCCAGTTTCTGTTGTTGTAGCAGAAATTGTCATGCAAAACATCGAGGAACAAGCCCTAGCTACCTACACGCGAACTGTACCTCTTTGGTTACGTTGCGTTGACGCCGTACACAAAGACGGAATCGACGATTTTCACGAACACCTTAACGGACAGAACGCGGACATACAGTTCACCAAGGAGATCGAAGAAAATGGTAAGATACCTTTTCTAGACTGCTTGGTCACTCGCGACAACAACAAACTAAAAACGACTATTTACAGAAAACCGACACATACCGACCGATTACTAGACCAGTCTTCGTACAACCCGACCTCTCACAAGGCTAGTACTATCCGGACTCTGACGAGACGAGCGCAACTAGTTTGCGATAACATCACGGCTAAAACTGACAGACGACCAATATCATCCCGACATAATTGACCAATCAGATCAATAACCAGAGTATAATACCATCAACTGACGTGATACAACTCACTTTGACTCTGAACATGACTACCGCACAGGTTGTCGAAACGTCAGTCACTGTCAACAACAACAGCCCTATTCAGGACTACGTTCACCCGGACGATCAAACTCATCCTTTTGAAATGACTCCTCGGGTCAAACCTTTCACTATTTCTCTATTGTTTAACGGTTAGGGTATCGAACCAATTGGCTTTTAGGGTTAGGAGAGCTGGTATATGACCGTCTGGATCGCTTGACTATAAGAACGGTCAAAAAGCGACCAAATGCTCTGCCCTACCCCACCCTGATGTTCGTCTGTGTAAAACCAGTTATGTGCTGCTGTATTTTCATTTGCTCTTTTTTCAGTGACATTTTCTTAAAGAATATCAATAACGTGATTCAAAAACCGGACGCCGAGAATAGTGATCGCTTCTTGCTGGATCTTGAAGTCGCTTTAAATTGCACAGATCAAACATTTAGGTTGACAGAACACGTTTACCAGAAGAAAAAAAGTGATAGCTTGTGTCTTCCTGAGGGAATGATTTGGAATAACAACGCCACAATTTATTTTATCATTCCTGTCAAGGAGCAAGGAAAATGGATACATCATTTCATCAAACAGGTCACTACTGCAAGTGTATTGACCGGTGATACTAATTTTCACGTCATTATCGCTGATTTTGAAAGCAAAGATATTGATATAAAAGAAGCATTTAACACATCACTTCTTAATAGGAGGCATACTGTTGTCCAATTACGAACTGGAAAATTTTATAAGACACTAGCTTTGAACAAGGCTGTTGAAGTCGTACCCAATGCGCATGACATAGTATTCTTGTTCGACCTGCACATTGATGTACCCGTCAATATTATGGATAGCATTCGAAAAGTAAGTGTCTCAAAGTGTACGTTTGGGAATAAAATTACATGAATAGAAAGATGCAAGTGGATTGCTTGCATTTGCGCATGGCCACTATTGCTACAATCTTGGACAAAACTGTTGAGGAAATTGCATTCTTGGGGGGCATTTTTTCTGAACTTCGTAGCCGACCGATTCTTCCCTCCGCCCCTTCCCCTGGAAGCAGTGTTGCTGGGTCTTCAAAAGAAAGCCGGATCCCCAAGCATTTGTAGGAAGCAACTTTGAACTGGGGGAGGGGGTTTTCTTTACGCAAAGCCGTTGATTTGGTAATAGTTTTGTTGCGTTAGGTAGCGCGCATTAATGAAAACATTTTCTCCAGTAGTTTTGTCCAGGATTGTAGCTAGAAGGCCTATTAATCAGCTACTAATCAGGGGCACCCAAGGACGATTTCCTCCTAAATTAATGAAAAACACTTTTTAGGCTATCTAGAGTACTTTTGGATCTCTGGAAATGCATTCTAACCGGCGCTATAAAATTTGTATCTGTTCGTTCATCATAGGGGAACTTGAGTCTTTTCGAAATAACAGGGGCTTCAGTATTATTTTCCCGAAATTTTAGATGCAATTCAACGTTTTACGAAAGTGAGGATTTTTCTGATGCTTCTCTCCATCACATTTTCGAATTCGAAAATTTTTGTTTTCCTTTTTTGCAAGAAAAATAGCCTAACCTGGGTAGTGAAATAAGAAAATTAAACCTCATAAAATCGTAGGGAATTTATTGGATAAGCCTCGAAAATTGTACATGAATGGAACGATCATTTAGAAGTATTTAGCCGTCCTCAAGCAATCGAAAATTTTAGGCAATATTTGCTTCCTCGAACAGACATACAGAAAACCATCTTTGGGTACCCCTGACTAACCTTAGTTCAAATTTTAATCCACCTGGTAACAAAAGTGAATAACAAAAAACAAAACTGAGTTTAAGGACTAAACAATATTTTGAAAGTTGGTTGATGACATTAAGTCTAACTTTTTAATTTAACATGCTACGGATGATAACCCATACGGAGTAGAGTTTCTTCATATCCAGGGAAAATACTCTACTTGAAAAAGGGCAAGTGTACTAAAGTGGAAAAGGCTTCCACATAAGAGAGATTTTGTTTTCCTTAAAAACGTTAATCAATGCCCAAAAAAGCCAGTTTGTGGAGCAAGTTATCGACAGGAAATGTGACAAATATAGGTTAGCAACAACTAAACAGATTTAAAGGACAAACCTACTCCAGTTGTCGAAAATTGATTAATTCCTAGTTTTTAAACAGAAACGCTGCGCTCCCAGACGACATGCTCTTCCCGTCGTTTCTTTTTGTCGCGTGATCTTGAAACGAGGGGTTAGGGTTAAGCAGAGTGGCTTTGGGGACGAAGATGCCCAGACGAGCACTCGTATTCCTAATAGCATGCGCAGTAATACTCGTTGCCATGCTCTTAAGAAAAAATTCCAAGTTGTCCACAAGTTTATCCTCTATTGTGGGGCACTTCTATCTATCTCACTAATAATTGTGGATATCTTTTACTTGTTTATGACGTTAGCTTGAGAAAACAGCCGACATTTGGCGACGCTACCACTGGTTTCCCGCCAAATAACGTCTGAGAAACGAGCGCAGAAATTCCATACTGATGACGTGTCACTACCCAGATATCGGGGTAGTGCTTCTGATTGGTTGAATCAAATTTCCGACGCGGCAAGATCAATCAGAAGCACTACCCAGATCTGGGTAGTGACGCGTCATCAGTATGGAATTTCTGCACTCGTGTCTCAGACGTCATTTGGTTTAGGAAACCAGTGGTAGCGTCACCAAATGTCGGCTGTTTTCTCAGGCTATAGTGACGTGAGTTGTCTCAAGTCTGTACACGGAGACCCAAACTTTCCTGAGCATACAATCGCACTAAACATTCATTCTGAAGCAGTGATGTATATATCACTTTACAGAACACCATAGCTGGTAGAATGGTGTATTTTCCTATAGTTGGTCGCCTTAATTGTAACAGTGATTCAAAGGAACATCGAGGGTTTTGGCAAATGGATGGGTTTGGTCTTATGGCAATGTACAAGTCAGACTGGACAAAATTAGGAGGTATGCAATATGTGAAACTTAACGAAAGTTTAAAGTTCTATATAGAATTAGAAGCAGAAGCCACGAACGGAAAACGTGTGCTGGTGCCAGTTTTTTTACATTTAACCGGTGGCTGAATTGCGAAAACCAAAAGTAAGATTGGACAGCAGCATTACCGCTTGAATGTATGTATGAACTCATCCCTAACCCTAATCCTAACCCTAACCACCCAGACCAATGAAGGCACATATAAGATAAACTACTAGGACACCGATGTAAAGAGCGTTTTCACATGACGTCACGGCCGCCAGATTGGTGTTCCAAAGCAATGAAACGGCGGCCATGTTGGTGTACTAAGACAACCCTGTCGGAATTGAACTCTTTTCTTATGTAAAAACGTTCTTTTGTTCCAATGAATTAGCATAGATGCTGGCCACGTGAGTGAAAACACTCTATATTTCCCCAGCGATTTGAAAAATTTCATGAGCTTTTTTATGCTCCCTTTTAATTAACGTGTAAGGGTGAATGAGACGAGGCCGAAGATCTATCATTACTCCGCAATGACATGCATGTACGATTTTAAAGGTATTACTTGTAATTGGATTAAATTACAAACGAGATAAAAGAACCCTTTTACTTACCAGTTATTTTAAAAGTTGCTTCAATTTGTCTCTGATCTATTTGTTTGAAAAACTTATCTTTGCCCAAACAGGAATGAACACTTCAGCCTACCAATACAAATGGGGCGGAGAAGACTGGGATCTAATCGATCGCGTCTTGATGATGTCACTTGAAGTTGAACGAATCAAGCACCCAGGCCTCTATCATCACTGCCATCCAAGACAAGGGATGTGGAATTAGGCCGGCCCACGTGACAAGGGTTTCCACTCGAATTAAAGCGCGAAACTGAGTTGGAAGGAGGGCAATAATGTTTGCTGCGAAGGCTAGAATTAGGCTGTCATATCTGGATAAGTCCCTTATGAGTATCCCAGATGTGACAGCCTGATTAATAATTTTCTCCTTTCCCTTCTCGCACGTGTCTCTACACGGTTCAAAGCATTCAGAAAATGGGGACGGCGTGAGGAAATTTGAAAAAAGAAAGACAGTGAGGGGTGGGGTTGGTTCGTGCAATAAAAGCGTTCCCAACCCTGTCCTTCCTTCCTACATTGTTGTTCTTGCTCCGCTTTCCTTTCGCACCACTCTCCAATATCTAAACACCTAGAACAGGCTGGCATGTCTCGCAACTAGCACTCACCCGCCTGAAAACCCACAAAACACCTGTTATGCGAGCTAACATTGTCAGATCTGGGATAACCATAAGCTAACCTCGTCCCCGGGGCTTTTCCGCCTAAAAAAATGGAAAAACCCTGGGGAAGAGGTTGCTTATAAGCGACATATATGACGCATCTCGGATTTATTTCGTGATTTTATGAACGATGGACACCACAGTTTCGTGTTAATGGCAAGAGTTGGCCTTTTTTTTAAAAATAAATTCATTGTCATTTTGAAAAAATGGGGAAAAATGCAGTGCAAGGAGCAACAGTTAAAAGCTATAAAGAAAATAGATAAAACGAAATTATAGTGAAAGTTATAGGAGAAAAAAAATGATAGAATTGGCCTTGTGTCAATTACACAATTTTTAAACTGAAAAATAGTGAACTGGTCAACGCCAAGTACCCTGTCTACACTGATGTCTGTAGGACTGTATGTCGCAATGGAAGTTCTATCATAATGGGCGGCCACTTCGCAATTGCTCGTTTCTCAGACGTCATTTGGCGGGGAAACCAGTGGTAGCGTCGCCAAATGTCGGCTGTTTTCTCAGGCTACATGACGTCATCAAATGTTCAAATTAGAGAGTTATCGATCCTTCTGAGTTCTTACTTGTCTTACTTTCATAAAGTATTACAGCAGCTAAAAACTAATATTCATACCTGTGGCTGTGTATAACTGAATATCTTACCAGTGAAAACCTAACAGAAAAGGTGAAAGACCTTTCAAAGGTTTTGGCTAAAATTCAGTCCACCTGGCTGTGTCGCAAACTATTAAAGCGCTTGTGAGAATTCGTACGTTGATACTCGGATGTTAAGAATGTTTCGTTCGCGTTGTTTTACTTTGTAAACTAGTCAGGCGCACCCTAAGGTCGTCGGGGCCTGGGAGCTAGGATTACGGATATTATAGGATGTCGTTTTCAAGAAGTGATGGATCAGCAAAAAAAAAGGCACATGGCGAGAGTTAGTGATCTTTACGGAGAGAGATTTAGAAGTATTAAAACAGTTCTGTTCTTTATCGTGAGCGTGAGTTTATTGTCTGGAGAAGCAGTTCCGACAAAGTGGCGACCCTGCCAGGACACAGCCATGACAACACCAGCGGCAACCGTGGAAAATCAGGAGAAAGCAATCCAAAACAAGTTGAAAGTACTGCAGTTGACTAACGAAAACACACACAAGATTGCTGGCAGCAATTTGCTGAAACCAATTCAAAGACATCGTAAGCTGATGGAAAGCAAAGTTGAAGAATGCCACGAAGTGAAAACGATTGTGCAAGAACTTAAAATTGGACGAGGTGACGAAGAAGATGACATTAAAGTTTGGAGTTCGGGCATCGAAGCGGAGTTGGGCAAGTACGAGAAAGTGGTCGGAGAATTAGAGGAGCTGGAACAAACGTTAAGGGAAAGAGAAGCAAGAGAAACTCAGGAAAAGGAGGAGAAAGCGAGACTTGAGATCAAGAAGAAATTCGAAGCGAAAACCGTCGAGAAGGAGAGTGATGCAGGTAAACCAAAAGTTAAACTACCCAAACTTGTGATAACGAAATTCCAGGGGACGCATCTAGATTGGCAGAGATTTTGGGGGCAGTTTGAAGCGGAAATAGACAAATCTGACATTGGTCAAGTTGCCAAATTCTCATACTTGAAAGAACTACTTGTACCAAAAGTTAGAGCTGTCATCGATGGGTTGCCCTTTAACAGTGAGGGATACACACGAGCGAAGAACATTCTCATGACCAAATATAGAAAGCCAAGTGAAGTAGCTAATGCTCACATCCAGTGCATAATGGCATTGCCAGTTATCACGGGGACAAACCCAACAAGAATTAATGAGTTCTATGAGAAAATGGTTACCAATATCCAAACCTTAGAGTCCATGGGTAAGGAGAAAGATATTAGAGGGTATGTTAGACTTACCCTAGATAAACTACCAGGCATAAGAGCTGATCTAGTGAGGCTGGATGATAACTGGCAGGAGTGGGGGTTCCCGCAATTAGTAGAAGGCTTAAGGAAGTGGTGTGAAAGGAACCCAGTTCCCCTGGATGGCAACCATGGGAGACGTGACAAGGGAAGAGACCCATTGCTTCAAGCTAAACAAGAGGGTGGAAAGCATAGGGTTTGTGTTTACTGCAAGTCTGAGGAGCACAAATCAGTTGACTGTGACAAGATTAAAGTTGTAGCTGACAGGAGGAGGTACTTGTCAGACCATAAGTTGTGTTTTAACTGTACTGGTGCTAGGCATAGAGCAGCGGAATGTAGATGCACTACTACTTGCCAGAGATGTAATGGGAAGCACCATAGTTCAATTTGTGATAAGCTTTCAAATCAGCTGATGCTAGCAACAGGTGGAGGTCAAGTGGTGTATCCGGTAGTTGTGGTAGATGTGGATGGAATTAGGTGTAGAGCTTTATTGGACACGGGAGCCGGAAGCTCCTATGCATCAGCGGCACTCATTAGCAAACTGAACAGAAAACCAGATCGAAGAGAGTATAAGACAATCGAAATGATGATGACGAGTACTAGTCAGAAGATAGAAATGTACAAAGTCCAAGTCTCTAACATTAAAGAAGTTTTCAGCCTACCCACTACCCTGAGCAAAGTGGACAAGGGAACGTTGCTAACTATCCCGAACCCGAGATATGTGGATACAATTGCCAAGTACCAACACCTCAAGGGCGTGGAGATTGATGATACCGACATCAAGCCCGAGCTGCCTATACACGTGATCCTGGGGGCTAGCGAATATGCCAAGATTAAGACAAATTCAGCACCGAGGGTGGGAGAGCCAGGAGAACCAATAGCAGAATTTACATCGTTTGGCTGGACCATAATGTCCCCTGGAGCTGAGACAAACCTGAGCAGTGTGTACCTGACTAGGAGTTCTTCGTCTGACTACGAGCAATTGTGCAGCCTTGATGTACTGGGACTAGAGGACAGACCAGCCGGCGATCAACAGGTGGTGTATAGCGAATTCCAAGAGCAACTGGTACGCAACCCTGAGGGGTGGTACGAGACTGGTCTACTTTGGAAAGCTGGACACCCACCCCTCCCTAACAATCAGAAAGGCAGTCTCGCACGACTATCTAACCTTGTGAAGAAATTGCAGAAGGTACTCAGCCACCTGGATGAGTATGACAAAATAATCCAAGACCAACTGAAAGAAGGTATTGTGGAGAGAGTGAGCGATGAGACTCAAGGGGAAAGAGAATGTTATCTGCCTCACAAAGCAGTCATAAGAGAAACAGCTCAGAGTACCAAAATGCGTATTGTCTTTGATGCATCAGCTAAGGCAAACAAGGGGGCCCTTCATTGAACGATTGCTTAGAGACTGGGCCACCTCTACAAAATTTGCTCTAGAGTGTGCTGGTTCGGAACCGTCGTAAACCACTTGCCTTGTGTGGAGACATTAAGCAGGCCTTCTTGCAAGTGAGGATTCGAGAAGCAGATCGTGACGCACTTCGATTTCACTGGATAAGGGATAAAAACTCATCACAAGTTGAGACTTTGAGGTTCACGCGGGCATTATTTGGACTTGTGCAGTCGCCGTTTCTTCTCGCGGGTACCTTGAAACAACATTTAGAAACTTTAAGAACTGAATACCCAAAGCATGTTGAGGAAATCATGAGGAGTCTTTATGTCGATGACATCATCACTGGGGAAGATACAGTTGATCAAGTGCATGAGTTGAAAGGAACTGCAATAGGGGTTTTTAAGCAGGCAGGTTTCGAATTGCATAAGTGGAACTCTAATGTACCAGAATTGGAAGCAGATAATCAGTTGACAGAAGATAGCCAGACATATGCTAAGGAACAGTTGGGGGTGAAAACCAATGAAGCAAAACTACTCGGGCTCCCTTGGGATAAGGTGGAGGACACTCTGGCTGTGACCTTTTCTGGTGATTCACATGAAGCCACAAAGAGAGATGTGCTAAGGTGTTTAGCTTCAATATATGACCCTCTTGGGGTAGCAAGTCCTGTAACCTTGGTAGGGAAAATGGTTTTCAGAGAAGCGTGTGACCGCCACCTCCCTTGGGATGCTGTTTTACCCAAGGAACTGAAAGCGCAATGGGAGAAATTTAAGGGAAACTGGCCTGGTGAGCTGAAATTCCCACGCAGTCTAACTATAGCTCAGGAACCGGTCCAAGCTCTAGACCTGCATGCATTCTGTGATTCAAGTGGGAAAGGGACAGCAGCAGCAGTGTACGCAGTCGTGTATCAAGAATCTGGTATTCACCAGGGTCTGTTAGCAGCAAAGGCACGGTTAGCAAAGAAAGGGCTTACCATGCCAAGGTTGGAGCTCATTTCTGCTCACATGGCAGCTAATCTTGTAGACAATGTAAGAAGTGCTTTGGAAGGTTACGTAGTGAGGTCTGTGTATGGATGGACAGACAGTACAGTAGTCTTGCATTGGATTGCTGGTCAAGGGAGCTACAAACAATTTGTGTCCAATAGAGTTGCACAAATTAATGCCAAGGACTATGTAAAGTGGAGGTATGTGGGAACAGAGCTAAATCCAGCTGACGTGGGGAGCAGAGGCACCCTGTCTAGAGAGCGTCTTGAAATCTGGCTGAAGGGACCAAACTGGCTGACTGAACCAGAGATGTGGCTATCGGTGGTGCAAACTAAGCCAAGGAAACAGAGAGAAGCAGAGGTCAAGCTGGTGAAGGAGGTGTTTGCTGGGGCCACAGAGATGGAGGACACCCTACACCAGGTTTTAGAGAAACATGGATTCTGGCAGACGATTCGTATCACGTCATGGGTAGCAAGATTTATCGAAAACTGTAAGAAAGGCAAGAAGCACCGGTTGTCTGGTCCATTGACCACATGTGAGACTGTCAAGCAAGTAAAATTCTGGGTAGGAAGAGCTCAAAACAGCAAGTTAAACACAGACACGTTCCATGAAGATCAGCTCAAACTTAATTTGCAGAAGAATGAAGAGGGTCTGTACGTGTGTAGAGGGAGAATCCAGGGAAGCTACCCTATCTACTTACCGCCAGATACCTTGTTAACAGAGAGAATTGTCCATGATAAACATGTGCTAAGTCTTCATGGGGGAGTGGGGCTTACGATGAGTTTTGTTCGTCAACAATATTGGGTGCCGCGGCTAAGACAGCTTACAAAGAGAGTTATCAGAGGATGCTATGGGTGCAAGAAATTCCAAGTAACCGCCTTCTCAAACCCACCAGTTGGAAATTTGCCTACAGACAGGACGGAAGGATCAACCCCTTTCGAAGTTGTTGGCCTAGATTTTGCAGGACCGATAGGGTACAAACTCAAGACAAAGAAAGAAGGAAAAGCGTATATTTTGTTATTTGCCTGCAGCTTAACTAGAGCTGTCCACCTGGAGTTGCTGCCAAACCAAACAGCTGAGGAGTTCATCAAGCATCTGAAACGGTTCATCGCGAGGAGAGGCCGTCCCAGGAAGATTTATTCTGATAACGGGCGAACTTTTGTTGCCGCGGCGAAATGGTTGAAAGGGGTGGTAAAACATGAACAGCTGCAGAACTACCTCGCTCATCAGGAAATGAGGTGGCAATTCAATCTAAGCAGAGCCCCCTGGTGGGGGGGACAATTTGAGAGACTTGTGGGCGTTGTAAAACGGGCATTGTACAAAAGTATTGGTCGAGCTAGCCTTACATGGAATGAACTTGAGGAAGTCTTGTTGGATGTAGAAGTGGCTGTGAATGATCGCCCTCTGTCATACGTGGAAGACGACGTGCAGCTACCAGTTTTGACTCCATGTGCTATGATGTTTGGTCAACCAAGACTTGTCCCAGAAGAAAGCACAGAAGAAGGAGATGCTGACTTGAGGAAGAGAGTGAAGTATCTACGCCGGTGTAAAGAGGTTTTATGGAATCGGTGGAGTGGGGAGTATCTGAAGTCCCTGAGGGAAAGACACAATATGAAGCACAAATCCAAACGGATGAACGTCAAGCTAGGAGATGTCGTCCTTATCCAGGATGCTGAACGTAACCGAGGGAAATGGAACATGGGCATAGTAGTCAAGCTTTTCCAAGGCCGAGATGGGGTGGTACGAGCCGTTAGGCTGAGGGCAGGAAAATCTTACCTTGAACGGGCAGTCCAGCATCTGTTTCCTTTAGAGCTTTCCTGTGATCAAGAGCAGCGTGTGAGAGAAGACCCATCCCTAAATCCCAGAGCAAGGGAGTTTCGTCCTGTTAGGAGGGCTGCAGCTGTAGCAGCGGAGAACATTCGCCGCATTGCGGAAGAAGCAGCAGTCGAACACTGAACTTACGTTTATTTGATCCCAATTTCTTGTATCAAATAGGGGAGAGTGTGAGAATTCGTACGTTGATACTCGGATGTTAAGAATGTTTCGTTCGCGTTGTTTTACTTTGTAAACTAGTCAGGCACACCCTAAGGTCGTCGGGGCCTGGGAGCTAGGATTACGGATATTATAGGATGTCGTTTTCAAGAAGTGATGGATCAGCAAAAAAAAAAAGCACATGGCGAGAGTTAGTGATCTTTACGGAGAGAGATTTAGAAGTATTAAAACAGTTCTGTTCTTTATCGTGAGCGTGAGTTTATTGTCTGGAGAAGCAGTTCCGACACGCTAGTTGTAAAATTTTAGCGAGTCTATGGTTTGTTAGAGTTGTTTGTCCGTTTTTCCGTAGCTGGATCTGATAGGTAGAGCTCTGATCACGCCAAACTGCATCTTGTTAGAGCACAGAGAAGGGTTATACAATTTAGATCCCATGAAAAGTCTATTAAGTAGAGCTTGAACAAAAACAAATGTACAAACAGCCCTAAAACTGATACCCCTTTCTAGAAATGGGCCAATTTTTTATACTCCGTTCTAGGGTGCAACAAGAGAATAACAGTTTGCGTGTTAACGCATTGAACCGTATTTTTAAAAGCAATCTGTCCTTGAATAATTTCAAATGGCTGCTTACAAAACTGGAGCCTTCGTGCGTTCGAAATATTATACCCCGTTCTAGAAAACGCCTTTGAAATGGATACCCCGTTCTAAACCAGGAGCTTCAAAATCACGACCCCGTTGGGCGGCACATACCCATATAGGTAATGTATGGAGTACCCCCCCCCCCCCCGGGGGCACAAACATGGCGTCTCCATACAAAGCTTTATAAATTTGGGTAAAACGTTTTTCCGAATATCTCGCATATGAACTATTGCATAGACCCGATTCTTGGCAAGGCTTTTTGTATATTTATCTTCTTTTATTTTCCAGATTCTAGACTTTTTGTTTTGAAAGGTTTCCATTTTTATTTCTGCTTTCTCACGTGAGTGAAAACCGAGAATTGTTTGTCTAATATTGCATGTGCGTTGTTGCAAAGAGGAATGGATGTGACGTTCCAATGACCTTTCAAACCATGTGCTAATTGATTGATTAAATAGCGTGATGGTTCAAGTACAAGCTTTTTATAGCGACGTCAAACAGTGCATTGTTATGATAAGTCGCCCACCTTGCATGAGACACGCAAGAATCGGCAAGAAGACGTGTCCGACGTAAAGCGAACGGCAACTGAAGCGCTGAAGGACCTAAAGTGAAACGTTACGACACATAACTTTGGAAATCAAGGAAGGTTTGTTTCGGCTTTTACTCAAGCACAAGTTTTTTGTTCCACAAAAGTAAATCAAGCCTAGCACAAGAGTAGGGGAGCGAACAGAAGCTCGAAAAAGCATTTCCCATGATAGCTGCTATCTCGCTGCTAAGTGTAATTACTTGCTTAGGAGCGACTGGAAATCTCCTGGTCATTAAAACGATTTTGAACGTGAAAAGAAGAAAGCTGTACGAATATCTCATTTTGAACCTGGCTATTACAGATGCAGGAACCTCTCTTGTTAGTATTCCTTTGGATATTGCAGAGCAAGTAAAAGGCGAATTCCCCTACGGTGCTGCCATGTGCCATGTTATCTACCCACTACAGTCTGTACTTATCTACGTTTCTGTTTTGACACTTTTGCTTATGAGCACAGAACGCTATAAATTAATCGTCACACCCATGAAGCCTAGAATGCACATCAAAACTGCGTTCATTATCATCGCTGCGATGTGGGTTTTATCTTGCTTGATCGTGCTACCATTTTCAGCCGCTCTGAAACTCGAAGGAAATCAATGCAGTGAACACTGGCCAAAGGTTTACAGCGGAAAAGCGTTCACCCTAACCATTTTTATATTCCTCTACTTTGTACCCTTAAGCGTCATGATATTTCTCTACTCCTCGATAATTTTTACGTTTTACAAAGACATGAAGACCTTAAAAGTAAGAGTGAGAAAGAGATCCGTCTCTATAGAGTCGATCAATTTACGATTGCATAGGAACGCCAGAATCGTCAAAGTGTTTGTAGCTGCAGTAGTTGTGTTCGCAATGTGTATGTTACCCACTCACATAGTCTGGTTATGGCACGATTTTGGCCAAGGTTCTTCTAGTCCTTTGTTCGGAAGAGTCTCAACGTTTAGCAACATCTTTATGTACACTAATTCTGTTCTCAACCCGTTTATACTCGGATTTGTTATGACTGATGGAAAAGGCTACCTCAGAAAGTTGTTCTGCTGCCGTTTAAGGCGGTCGACTAGTCCTAGACGTAAACAAGCGTTCGTGCTCCGAACTCAATCGCCTTCCATGTCAAAGCACTACAACGATGGATCACCTTTTCTTTCATTATCAAAGGCTCCAATCTGTGACCAGGAGATAGGCATAGCAAACAAAACTAACACCGGCGATAGTCCAAGTCTCCGAATGAATCCAAATAAAAGTAACAACGTTGCTAATCGAAACTAAAAAGTTGCCGCCACTTTTTTGATTTACTTTCGTTTAGCCTGAGCCTGGTACAAGAGAAAAAATATGTATATTTATTTGACGAAGGTGGCTGTCTTCCCGCCCAGTTAAAGTTCTACGTGCCTTGTAATTTGAAAACAACTGTAAAAATCTTTGTTCTGTCTTTACCCTGCATGTCATGTGGGAGGCAAATAGTTCAACTCAGTCTCGTGCAATTAAATTATCGCTATTAAGAACTTTCTATTCGTCCCCTAACTGACGAAGATCGTCGGCAATCAGCCCCTCCCTTGAATTTGTTATATGTATCATCAGAGGGCACTTTCTATTTTCAGACCGTATCTCTTTGTCCTTTTTCTTAAGAGCATTATCATTTAATAGAGAGATAAACTTGATATTTATTTAAATCCTTAGTTTAGAAGTGTTTAATCAGCCGATGAAAGAGAAATTCGTCCTTTAGGCCACTTGAAGTTTGATCTAATGACCAGAGTGAGTTTACCACTCAGTAAGTAGTGCAAAATACAGTAAAAACCCGCCTGTATTGACTATATAAGTTCCCGGTACATGATCTGTTCTACCAAAAACCTAATATATCTTCTACGGTCTTCTAGTCTACGGGTTTTAACTGACTACGTGTTCGATGTATTTACAGATAACCGGCCGTGACATCTTTCCTGTGATAACTAAATATAAGCCAATTACAATTAGTATCATTTACAGTTAAGGCCAATATTATCATTTCACTGGATACAGTGGCGGTTTTTTTGTTCACTCAAGCCAGTATCAAGATACAGTTTACACTGTATTGAAAGATCTGTGAAAATCCAAACTGCTGAGAAACTCTTGTAAAGGTCCAGTAAAATTTTTTAATTAATAAGACGCCTTGGATTGAAGAGCCAGTTATTTAGGGGAAAACTTAGTCTTGTTTCCCTGGTGCAAAGTCGGCTGGTATCCTCGGTATACAGAGTCGCGGATTTGCTACGCCGTCATTTGCTGAGTTTGGCAACAACTCATTTGTTTTGTGTTTTGATTATTATGTTTCGAAGCGGGCACATTTTTAACCTCAAAAAATTCCCTCCAATTCTTAAGTTTTTTTAAATGGTTAAGTCGGCGAACTGCGCGACTGAGCTGCAGAGAAATATTTCCTTTTCTTTTACTCGTGATGGATGACTAACTGAACGCACATGCAGTTAAACGCGGAGTTTTAAACCCGGGGGGTAATCCTGGGAACTCTGTGGCGTGGTGTGCCGCCCAGTTCTCCAAATCCTGACCCTATTTGAGACTAAAATATGTTATTTTCCACACCCGTTTTTGGACCTGGTATAGGTAGAAATAAGTCATCATTTTAATACTAGGGCTCAAACAGAAAGGTTTTCTTAAAACTCATTTCGAATTCGCATATTACTCTTTCTTTCTGCTTCATTTGGAATCGAAACGAAAAATACGTTTATACACTCCCGTAGCTTCCTCGAAAACCATACCCATTTCCAGACAAAATGAGGAAAATCAAGAGAGAATGAAAATCTATACCCGTTTTCAGACCGAAACGTCGCAAAAACAATACCCTTTGGGGCGGCACATATCTACATAGCCTTTATAGGGGAGTACCCCACGGGGTTTTAAAACGCAGCTAACAGCTAGTTAACGCCCGTATCTATTCCTAAAAGCAAACTAAAGTGATTTTACATTTTGCAACTTGAAACTTGTAACAGTTTCATCTAAACCTGTAGCCTCTAAAATTACAGATCATCAAGAGGGTCGGGATCACGTATGAGGTTTGACGTATTTCCAATGCTCCTAGGTACGTTTTTGTGGGGATGTTATTGAACATTCAAATATTTAGCCTGTGTACAGCCGCCCTCCGATTTTTTTGAAGAGAGGGGCGGCTTTACACAGGCTATCAAATATTGAAACCCTCTGATAAAGCGTGCGTCAGATACGAAACGCGCGGGAGAAAATAAAATAGTTCTACAACTCAAGAAGTTCTCAATATAATCTTGCTGCTCCTTTCTTTCACATTTTAAGTCCTTTGGAGATCCGGTCAGCTTTTGAGGTTTAAGTCATGGTAGTAGAAGCAAGAAGTTTTTTTTGTTAAGATGAAAAGTCCCTGTTAGGACCAATAAATTATCCGAACACGGACTTTCTTCTTTTGTTTCTATCAGCAACAATAAGGCTCTTGAGACGCTGCAGGTGAAGAAGGGAAACGGCTGCCTGAAACGATTGAACTCTTTGGACAGAACCCGCAGGGCCATGAAAAACGTGCTTACAGCGTTTTTCATCACACCACAATACGCGAATACGCTAACGGTTCAAGACCAGCGAATAACGAAAGAAAAAGTCCACACTGCCGATAACAAACACAAAGAACTTTTGAAGCCTTGAATGAAGGCATCTCATAGGAGTTATATTATAGGAGTCCATATTCAACGAAGTGTCCTCACATGACTAGTCTGCTACACAGCCGTTTTTAGTGTCGACACTAAAAACGGCTGTGTAGCAGACTATCACATGACCCGAGTGGGTTAAGCACCAGACAAATCACTCGCTAACATCTGTTAGGAAAGTTTTATCAACCTTGAAAACTTTATCACGCTAAAAGCTAGATTTTTCTTTTTACATCAAACTCCCGTATTTATCAACAAGACAAATTGCAACTATAGCTAATTTTTGGACCGAAGCCATGGCCAGGGGCATTCAACTTCATTGCAACCGTCACGTGGCGATTGATGTACCCGTTTGTGTAGATTGATTTTTGACTTTTCAGAGGGATAAAATGTCCTTTTTGGAAAGAAGCCAATGACTCGGGGCGTTTCAGAACTGCTTTCGTGTTCGTTGCGAAGCAAGCACACGAGAAATTCCGAGCGCGAAGAAGAAGAAGAAATACGGCGCCGCGCTGACGGCGAGAGAGAGCGCGTGTGAGGAAAGAAATCGATTGAAGGTCTCTCTCCTCACGCGTGTACTGTTCTCTTCTGTTTATTACTTATCTCGAGTATGCGTGACCCGGCGCTTTTTAAGGACCTACGACCGTTCCCGCCGAAACAGGTCCGATGAAACCCGGGGGGGGGGGGGAGACTCCCACATGAAACAGACGGGGATGCTCGTCGGAAATTTTGAATTTAACTCCTAAAGGAGGCCATCTGGGCGTGGCTCAAGCTTTTTGTGACCCCTAAAAAAAGACCAATCTGGGCGTGGCTTAAGCAAATTTTGACACCTAAAAGAGACCGCTTAAAAACACACAAATACGACATGCAATGAGTTTTAATGATACAAAAGCCATAATCATCGAATGCTTTTATCTAAAAGTAGTTTTTAAAAGCATTGTCATAAATCTCAAGTTCTACGCGGAACCCTAAACGAGACCTTGGCAGCTTAAAATATTGGCGCTTTGCCCGGAACACCCTAAGAGTGACCAAGATCCAAAATTTACACCCCTAAGCGAGACGACGAGCATCCCTGTCTGTTTCATATGGGAGTCCCCCGGGGATGAAACCATGCGCCTTTCAACACTAGTGACGTCTTGGCGGTCAAAGATTGTTTTGGGGTGAAGCTTACGCGGAAGGATTAGGACGGGATCTTCAATTTTGGGCTATGCCTGAAGGTAAGCCCGTTCAAATATGTCAAAGTCACGGAATGGTGTTTACGTTTTAGCAGAAAACTAATGATTTACGCTTCCTGAAATAAGGCGTTTTTTTAAAGTTTTTAATCCAGTTATCAAAATTAAATGTTATTTACATCTGAGCTTACGACGCATTTTTTTTCGATCGGTTCTTATAAGATCAATTAGCCACGCGATTCTCTGGGCTCTGAAATCAGTACGTGTCGTGAAGATCTTTGTTCTGGTTACTCCAAAAACTAGCGCTATTTACTTCTCCAAGATCAAGAAAAAATACACTACATATTTGTCATAACCGCTTTTTTGGATCCATAAATGCTTTCGGATTTAAAACAAGGATTACGGAGATAGACCTCTGTGCACGACAAACGTCTCAATTTAGTGATAAGTTGTCTTCTGACAAAAGGAAGATCTCGAAATAGGAATGAGAGGGACACTAACAACCATAAACGTTGTTGGAAATGATTTTGTTCGAGGTATGCTTTTCCTCACTCGGATCTTTGTTTGGATCGCCTCCTCGCTCCAGGTACAGGTTATTGAAGGGATATTCCTTCGGTACCTGAAATAGCAAATAAAATGGTTGAATGTTTGAGTGCAGCTTTAAGGATGATTTAAAGAAATCTGGCCACCGAATTGCGTGAAAGTATAAAAATGACGGCTTGAAAAAGTGTAGGAACTTTTAAAAAACTTAAAAGATACAAATAAGGACACACATGGACAAAAATGAAGAAGTTTAACATGGGTTGCATTTGGGGCTTTTGAAAACTACTCAGTCCACAAGTTAATCAAAGTTTATGATTTAATTTTAAAGCCGGTGCAGGTTGCAAACAAAGTCAGGTTTTACAGCTTTGCAAAGCTGTAGCTAGCATGTACTTGCCCAAAAGTCAGTTTAACTGGCCCCAAAAACAGTTTGATGAGTAGGATTGAATTACACTTCTTCTGTCATTTGAATTCCTCAAAAAAAAACGTCACTTGTTTGTCGAGCAAGTTAAGAACAGGATTCTCTGTTGTTAATGTGATAAAATTTATTTTCAACAGAAAAAGCTACACCAACAGCCTGTCTGCCTCTCCAGCTTCTCTCCCTCTTCATCTACCGTTTTTCTAGCTGGCTTGGGAAAAATTCCTATCACATTACCTGTTAAGCACAGTACAGTGTAATGCAAGAAACGTAACCTGCATGTTCTTCTAGACTGAAACGTGTGTGTGTATAGAAAGTCTAATAATGTCCCTGCTAGCAATACCATTGTATAAAGAAACAAGGAATGTCTTACCGCAGGGTTGGGGTCTGTTTGGTCATAAAGATAAGACAGATATCCAACAAACCCAACGATAGCAAAAGCAATCGTCATATGTAACAGTGCTTGATGCCTGAGGATGAAATACAACAAACAAAGATGATTCTTCATCTTTTTTGTGTAGTTTGTAATCAAAGGACCTTGTCCTGTTACAGGAGTAAAAAGATACCATGGGCTGGCACACTCAAAACTTTGCCTGGAAAAGTGCATTCAAAATGAAGTTTCAATGCTAAGGATGTTGTTGTTCAAATTTTTCTTAGGTTAGAAATTTTTTAAATCCCCAAAATTGAGTCACAGAAAAAAAAAACAAAGTAAATCATCTAAACTTTAAATGTAATCTTTTTGTGCAGAGGCATATAAAATCGATGATTAGATGTTAGAAGATTGACATGAAGGAATATTACATTACATGTATAGTCTTTAGGGAGTATCCTACTAGGTTTCCAAACATCTACAGGGTGTTCAGTTATAGCACCGTTGTAGCATACAAGTATGACAGTCTTCGTTGACCCTGGCCCTAGGCAAAAAATATTTTTGCAGCCATGAACCATGAGACATTGACCCGAAAATTCACATAAAAATCTTGTTCTATAACCCACCTACCCAGGGTGTAAAGAAAGTCAGTTTTACGGTATGCCATTAGAGCAAGCTGTAGTTAGCATGTACTAGCCCAAAAGTCATTTTAACTAGCCCAATGATGAGCAGGGTTGATACAGTGTAACAATTCTTTTGTGATTATAATTCCTTAAAAAATTTCACTTGCCAGGCGGGAAAGTTAAGAACAAAATTCGCTGGCCCGATAGTCAAATCCACTGGCCCCGGGCTATCGGACACGACTTTCTTTGCACGCTGCTACCTCTCCTTTCATCTAATCCTAAGGTCCTATAAGCATTCCCAAAAGCTTTTCCCACCAACAGGGCTGTCACTAAGAGCCGGGGGCTGTGGATTTTCCCCGGCTACTTTCATAGGAGACAAAAGGAAAATACTGGTAATAGAACAAAAAGAACTTCCTTGCTGTACAATTCCCCTTCTACTAATCACATATACCCAGCAACCTGAAATGTTAGCCGATAGTGACGGCGCTGCACCAAAATGAAGCCTACTAAATTCCAAGCAAAAGAAAAAAAATGAGGCAAGAAAAGAGAAGAAGAGGGGAGAAGAGAAAGCGAAAAGAAAAATTAAAGAAAAACTAACAAAAAAACATCATACTGATGTCTATCGTAAGGCACTTACGGTGTGTATATTCCACTACACTCCACCTCTTGCCAGATCCAAACATTCAGTCCATCCTCATCTTCATGAATCTGATAAGAAAACAAGTAATTTCCATGTATTTTTCATACCATTACTTTCAAATTTGAGCTTGAATATCCATTTCAGGCAACAAAAGAATGCCAAAAAGATCCACCTACATTTTAATATTAGACAGAATGCTCCATGTTATTTTGAAGTCTACCAGAAGTTCAAAAGGGTGAAAATAACAGTTGTGTGCATGGCCCTGCATTAGCCTGTACACAGACGTTTTATTTTTCTTTTGTTCATCATGAGCGCAGAGCTTGAGAAAACGAGCACGGAGCACGAGAAAGAAAAAATCTATTTTGTTCTTCCTCCACCACTACCTCCTTGCACTGGCGGTCAATAAATCCCCCGCGGTTTATATTTTATCACGCGCGTTCGACTGACTTTGAAGAGAAAATAGACGGTCTGTGAACAGGCTAGCCCTGCATCTACACTTAGACGTTGAGAAAATGTTAGGAAAATGACACTCAAGGTGGATCATTAAAACTTGCTATGCCGATTTCATTGTGGATGGAGGAAAATGCACTACATGATGTAACACATTCATATAAAAATTGGCCTGTATCAAAATGAATGAATTACATACCACATGTTATCAGGTAAAAATAGTGGGATTCATTTTTAGTGTTTTGCATAAACTAGAATGGATAATTTAAAAAAAAAGGTTTCAGTGTGTATGGGTCCAACATTGCAGCTTACTGGTTCATTAAAGTTTCTGCGTTCTTGCCAGTCCCACCAGCCCTTGTGCTGTCTTCTTTGATAGGAAATATTTGGAAGATTAGGATAGTCTCCTAGAGCATAACCATCATCAGGCCACTCACGAGTAAAACCTTTCCAGTCACTCTCTGGAGTAGGGATAGGGAATCGCAAATGATCATCATGAGCTGTGTGGAATAAAAACACAAAAGTTAATAGCATTTCAATTGAACCTGACAAGTGTCCAGTGTTTCGTTTGATTACATCTATATATGACAAAGCTTAAGTGAGTTGCATATGGCACATTACCCAAAGTACAAAGAATAAAATTTACTAAACAAATAAATACCCACAATTTAGCAATTTGCCTTTCCAAGAAAGTGAATTTCCTACCAAAGGTCCTACTCACTTTCAAATCATTATTTTCGTTATACAAACAACAAACAACCCCCTGAAAGGTTTTCTTTTCCTGTAATTCCGCATTGTTAAAGCGACGGATAAAGTTTAGCCAAAAAACAGGCCATCAATAAACATGGTAAGTTATCTGAACTACGGTTGAGTTCAACTGAAGTTAAATTATGAAATGGGCAAGTAATACCCAGTGAAGGTGGTGATAATATTGACTAAAAGTATTAAGTTATCTTTGTAACTGCTCTAAAGTAACGATCTTAAAGAAAGTGTAACTTAAACACTTACCTCTTCTGATTCCTAACAAAACTTGTGCAGCTTGTGGTCGTTGCAAAACAGCACGGCGAAGAAGAGCCTGACCCAAACACAACCCTCTGCCGGCCGCCATCTTGAACTGAACACATCCGGGACTGTTCAAACATTTACTCGCCCGACCACACTTCGGAAAAGTCCGGTGTTATCCGGAGTTATCCGAACGCATCTGAAGTTGCCGAAACTTATTTTTAGTCCTACCCAGCTTCATCTTGACTTTTTGCATTTGCGAAATATATCTCAAAAACCCTTTTACTGCAAAAGAGTTATTTAGGATATAGCTTTTCAGGCGCATTTGATTTTTATCTTGTCTTTTACTCTGTTGCTGGCAGATGTTGTCATAGCAACTTCACGCCTGGGATTTCAGTGAGGAAAACAATATGGCGGACACTTGTAGGCTATGATTTCACTGACGATGAAATACATTGCTTATCCATCTTAAAACGTTTGATTGCTTGAAAACTATTTTTGCGAAGATTGGAACTTTTCGGAAAAATTATTAAGCCTTCATGAGTGTTCAGAGAAGAGCAAGCTCTCAAAATGGGAGACACACATCAACAGGGACTCCAAAGTCGCCCGCCTCCAGCGGATTAACTTATCCCACAATAAGACAAAGAGGTTATTACTCCGATATTTTGGGAGGAGACTCAAAAGATGAGCTTGGGGTAAGTTAGGAAGAATCAACAGAATGGAAAGGTTTTCTAACCGAGTGGTATGTTTTCGTGTAAACTATGGTGATACAGTAGTGACATGGCGGGAAAACCTGTACTTTCACCATTTAGACTAACACTCAATCTAAATATTAACTGCAGGCTACGTACTCACAAGTCTTATGTGTTGTAATTAAGTGTGTAATCTCCACACTCCACTGAAAGTTCTCTCTTGCAGTATATGGAGACAAGGACATGTGAAACGTTTGTAGTATTTATGTAGGGTCACCGGCACTGGCTTAAATAGCTTCAGTCCCGGCTGTTTTGAAAGACTAGATCGAGTGAAACCCCAATTGAAAATATCATCGCTAAAGCAAGAAGACTAAAATGGTAAAATCGAACAGGGCTATAATTAAGGTTTGTGGACTGGGGATTTTACCTCCTTAATTGTCAGAAATTGTATCCTTTGCAACTTCATAAATTCTATACATGGACGTTCCCTTGTTCTTATATTCCCTTTTCCCTGCTGTTGTATTTGTAACATACATATTACACAACAATGTTTTCCTCATTAGAATGTTACTGGTGGCCCTCCAGCTTTTCGAAGCACACTATGGAAAACAGCAAAAATAAAACATATGCCAGAAGGTGTGTACTAGCAATTTACTTAAGTTTCCTCTGCACAGCTCTATTTCAGACTTGCCAAGTCTCACAACTTAATCGCAAGTCTCACGATTTCATGACCTATCTCACACTCTTTACAAGTTGCAACTGATTTCTCATGCTTCTTCGAAAAGTCAAACTCCAAAAACATTCGGAGTTGCAGGGTTTGTCATTTCCAAGTTAGATATTGATAGATTGCGAGCTCAATCCAAGGAAAACACTTACAGTCGCATTTGATTGCAATTTCTTTTAGCCTACCACGACTTGCTACTAATTGTGAAGACTCAGTATTTCTCTTGTCTCAAGATGGCCGCAAACAAAACACAGAAATTACAAAACCTGAATCATAAAATTGATTGTGATGTTTAATGCTGCAGCTTTAAAGGGATAATATGTGACTTCCAATACCCATAATCCCCACTGGAAGTCTTTCAACTAGGAAGTTTGGGACATCTCACAACTTTTTACCCATTTCTTGCTACTTTTCCCAGCTCTAGCTTCAGAGTCTCACATTTTTTGTTTTTTGGGGGTTGGCAAGTCTGCTTTTTTCTGCTATAATTTTGTGTAACTCTAAAAACTACATGTACATGTATCTGCACTTCTTCCATGGAGGGTTTACTGGTTGAAGCCCCCCTTCCCCCTCCCCATCCCTCTGGAAATTCCAGTTTACAGCACCAGCATGTGGGTTTAGACTCAATAGAGGGGAGAAGTCATTAAGTCATGTTGTCATGGTAGCAAAATTTTTGGATGACAACAAACCGAGAAAGTCACTTAAAAAGTATATGCGTACTGTTTCAAACTTCATTGATCTTATTCAATTTCATTTAATTTGTCAAATGTTGGCAAAATGTTCTGGGTACTTTGAATCGGAAAGGACAATATCTAAGTTTAGAAAAAGAAAAAGAAGATTTTGTGTTGTGTTCACCTACTCAATAAAGTGGGTGCATGAAACCCGGGGGGGGGGGGCACTTGGGTATTTTTTGGGTGGGTATGTGCCGCCCGGGACTCCAAATTGGCACCCCGTTCTAAAAAAACTTTCTGCTAAAATTGATACCCCGTTCTAGAAATGGGCCAAGTTTTTATACCCCTTTCTAGAATTCGCCCTAAAACTGATACCCCGTTCTAGAAATGGGCCAAATTTTTATATTCCCTTCTAGAAAGTTTGTAAATTGAAATAGCCCCGTTTTTTAAAAAAGATATTTCTTTATTTGTTCGACTTATACATCAAATAAATGCTTCTTCATAATCAGCAACAATTTAAAGCAGAAGATAAAGCCGTGATCCACAATTTTTTATACCCCGTTCTAGAAAACTCCTCTAAAATGGATACCCCGTTCAGGAGCTTCAAAATCACGACCCCGTTGGGCGGCACATACCCGTATAGGTAATGTATGGGAGTACCCCCCCTGGGGCATGAAATTAGGAAGTTTTATGTCGCAGTCGTGCAATGACAGCTAAGAAATGCAAAAAAATGCATGATTTGCAGTTGTTGTTTTGCTAAAGCTCCCTATTGTAAGTTGTGATCCAGAAATTTTGCTGCCACATGGTAATGTGATGTCACACTTTTCCTCTCTGTTGCCTTTAATCATTGTTGCTTCCTGTTCAGAATTTCTTATGATCTTCCCTGGAAATCTCCATTGACTAATTCACTTGTTGTGCCAAAACACTTTTTCTACTCAGTGCAAACCTTCAAGGGGCCTGTTTCGTCTCAAGCCTTAAATTCACTGTTACAAGGTCAAGTTCATGGACCAACCACAGCACCTATCACAGTATCTGTAAGTACAAGTATGGTAATACCAAATAGTACAGTCATTAATCATGATACATATATGCCTTTTTATTCATGCATAAAATATGATATACACTGTACATATAATAATGTGAAGCCCTTGTGCATGTTTGTACATAGATCCTGTTTGTATATGTACATATACGAACTGCGGAAATTTTTTAATGATAGTTATCAAAAGCTGTTCATTTGTTTTCACAGGATTTTCCTGAGAAGGCCTGGGAGCCCAAGGTTCAACTCCCTTTCAATGCGGAACCTGGTCAAGTTCCAAGAAAAATTGAGATTGAAAGGTACCTAGGTCATATTTGTGTACTGGCAGAATATAATTTACATCTCTTAACTGAGCATTTGCCAAATATGTTCAGTTCATTTGTTTTAGGCAACTATACTGGTATTTTTTGAAAAATCTAATCTACTGATAGCTTAATTGATTAAACAAGGCATAACTGTTAATCTTTATCAGTCTTTTGACTAAAATTACCCTCTTTTATGAATATCTTTTCAGACAAAAGCGAATTTTTGCAAAACAAAACATCAACTCACTGCTTGAAGACCTTGGAGTCAAGACGTCTGATTTAATGCCTAGAGGAGACTACAATATGCGAGTAAATCTCACAGGTGTTGACACTGCACCATTTCCAAGCTTCTTACCTCTCCATACATTTGACGACACAGAGTATGACTGCCGCAATCCTCGTGAGTGGCTGGAGCTAGGCTTTGTTGATGGTAAGCAACATCCTGTACCAGGAAAAGCCCTTCTGCCTAAAGACAATGGTAAAAATGGAAAGGAGTACTCTTGGACAGATGTTGGCATGTTAGATTATGATGCTGAGAAACAGTTATTCTTTGTGCAGATTGTCGGCACAGGAGGTCTTCAACACAATGTTTTCCCAACAACCAATGGTGTAGTAGAAAATGGTCATAAAGAACCAAAGAGAAAACATTCTAAACTTGAAGCTCAGCAGTTCTGGGTCCCACGTATTCAACTCTTGTTTGCTGCAGAAGACCCAGTGAATTTTGCTGAGAGAGTAGCTAAGGCATATGCTCAGCGATGTGAAACTGAGGCATTGCTGAGGTACAATCTGTATGTTGATTGCATGCCAATGGATGGGGTATTGAGACTGGACCCCAGTTCAATGGAAAGAATGATCACTTGGGCAAAAGGAACCAGGACACTGAAAAATGACAAGAGGTTAGAAACTTTACAAAAATAAATATATAAGTGGTAAGAGGGTAACCATCCTAGTTTGTAAAAAAATTTTTATGGTAATAAGTTACCAAAGTGTAATTTTGCTGAAATGCTTTCTTCCTCAAGTAATATAATGGCTGAAGAAAAGGATGATGATATTGTGTTTTTTACTTGAAACCAGATTGTATTCCAAATTGTTTGAAAAGAATAGTACAGTTACTGTAGTACAAATTATATGTACATCATAAATTCTAAGGAAAGTGCCTATAATAAGAAGCAAAACTGGTTAATATGTTGTCTTAACTCCCCACGTTGGGAGATTTAACCCCCAGTGCTGAAAATAGGGACTTTGAAAATAATCATTGTTCCAGCTAAAATATTAATATTTTTGTGGCCTATCTATGATGCTTCTTGATTTCTGTTGGTATTCCTTCTGCAGCTTGGATGAACATGCCCGGCTGTTATCAAAAGAAATCCAAGTGGACTTTTCACGAAGCATGAACAGGATCACATTTGACCAAATTATCAGTAGTAAACCAGAGAAATATCCCTTTGTAACTCTCCCACAAGAAGAAGAGGAAGTTATTCCTGAGCGAGGTATATTTTTATTTAGCACATAAAGTCATCCAGTGAAAATAAAATAATTTATTATTCATTCAAAATATTTCCCTGTTTCTGATTGGTTAAAACCACAGGCATAATTCACCATAACCAGCTGTTGTTGACCAAAATTAATTTGGAAAGAATTTTGTCATTTTGAACCGATGACATCAAAATGACATCAAAAGTGCAGCCTGGTTGCAAGTTATTGAACCATTGACAAAAAAAACCTGGGGATGGCTGAGTTGTTTTGGTAGTTAGAACAAAATGGTGGAACTGTCCTGGAACATTTTGCTCATTTCAGGGCAACATTGTCTAAATGAGATGTAAGAGCCTGTTTGTTTCTACTTTTCAACAAACCATCTACTAGATCAAATATATTGGTACTGAATGAATGCTGCGATTTGGAAATGGCTGTAATTAAGTGGTAATTGAACTTTGTGTCGTGCAGGTTTGGTCTGAAATCATGCTTTTGATTTCAAATCGAACTTGCGCTGCGTGCTTGTCCAATTTTTGTAATCAAGTGACTATGATTTTGGACCAAATTGCACTCCACTCAGTTCAATATAGATTTCAGTTAAACTTTATGAACATCTTGAGGAAGCTACTAGAGGAAAAAGCTCCCGTAAACAATGTGAAAGAAGAGTTTCCAATGCTGAGAAATACGACTGCAAGTAAAATAGGTAATGGCATTATTTCGTTGCTATGACAACTCTGATGGCATGGTAACCCTGATCAAAACAATTTTTCATCTTTAGCTAATACAGCTATGGTGGTAATTTTTCCAAATCTTTGCTAATGGCTGTGTAGTTTATGCTCAAACTTGGGACATATTGACCTTGAAGACCCCATCAAGCCACCCTAAAATGTTCACTGATACAGTCATCAGTAAATTTGAAAGCATTTCTGTGTATTTCTTGCTGTTTTTTTGTTTGCATTTCAATTTACATCTGCATTTATGTCTAGTTTTTACCAGGTTTATTATGATAATTAAGGGCATTTTGGGATTTAAATGCTCTCTTTTGTATTGTAGTCGGATTGTTAGTGTTACAGGTCAAAATTAAAGTCGGGTTCAAATTTTTTAACCTAGGTTGATTCTCAATTTCCTTTGTCCCTTAGCCCTAATTCATGAATAAAAATCTACCTGAATTTGATTTTGACCTGTGAAATATGCAAGGAATTTGGTAGGCTCGATTACCAGGTGCCACAGGGAAATGAGCTGCCTGCGCTCGTCCGCCAAACAGGGAGTGGCGGAAACTGAGCCTAGGACTTTATCAAAGTTTAGTCATGAACGCTTTGTTCCTTGTTTTCTAGGATTTCATCCAGATGTTCCATCATATCCCTTTGATGAGAAGTTTGACAACTTTGCTTTCAACTGCCTGTTAACACGTGAAGAGGCTATCATAGCCATGGGTAAAGTCAGATCTGAATGTAACAAAGTTGCTGGCATGTATGTATTCCAAGTACCTGTCTCAAAGAGCATGAAGCTGGAAGAGTTTGAACAGACACAGGCTCAAGTCAGTACACAGGTACCTGGGTTTCAATAAGAATTAATTAAAGTAGCCAGCAAGCTTCAACAGGGTAACCGACTGTATCAAAAAAGGGCTGTCGGCCCCCTTCTTCTTCATTAGGGAGTCTAGGGGCAACCCAGAAAAAGATGAAATCTTTGGAAGCCGTAAAATGCGATTTTCAGCAGTCTGGACACTAAATTTGGTAAAAGAAAGATATGACAAGATTTTTTATCAATAGTAGTAATTTCTTTTATTTCCAATGCTGATCAGTAATGAGTTTAAACAAGAGAGAATGATAACGGTAAAAAGTATCTTTTTTAGTTTTATAACTGCTTTATTTAAATTTTTTTGGGGGGAAATAGTAGCAAACTTCCCTGAGCAAAGTAGCTGATGCGTTTTTTCGATCGTCGGTGCTTATTGAAACCCCTGCAGGTAACTGGCATCAAAATGCTGTGGTTTTTTATGTCTTGTAATGTTTATTTAGTGGCCATCAAGCATTTTGATACACTTAGTTTGGCTTTGTTTTAAAAATGTGGTGAAGGAAAATGTAGTCCAAAACACACCAGAAGGACTAGTAATGCTGCTCGCGTGATGATTTTGATTTTTCTGCTTAAGATGATGTTAATTTTACAACCAAACCTCTATTGAGTGGCCAACTTCATGCCGGTACCCCAAGGGTAGTGGCCTAATGGAGATTCAACTGTTGTAAGAACATTTTTGTTTTAGTCTGTTTAGTCATGTGCCTTTTCTGCTGAGAGGTTTGAAGCATAGTTTTCTATGTAAAACAAACCAGAATCATTTTTTTTTGCAAAGGTTCACGTTTATGACTACTAAAAGGTCAAGAAAAGCTTTGAGATTTGTGCTAACCAAATAATGCCGGACTCACTAACAATTCCGAATCTTATGTTTAGTGTAATGGAAGTAATAATTATTCATCTCCTCTGGTAAACCTACAGGTGCAGATATTTTTGAGAGACAGCTGGCTGAATACCTTAAGGACAGCCATTCGAAGCAGTCTGCTTGATGTTGGCAAGGGTTGGTTTAACATGGAAGAAAGAAACTGGGAGGTGTACCAGATTTCAAAACTTGCTAAATTCATGCAGCTTGTCAAGTTTGCCATGCAGGTAGAGAGAAGTAATGTTTAAGACCTGCTAGCTATATAGATGGTGGATGGTGAAAAGAAACAAAACGGTTAGTCTGTCTGGTCTTCTCAAATAAGGATGATAAACAGCAGCCCCATCTCACAACGTTTGCACTAAGAAATTCTGTGGGATGCTAATGAACCCACACAGTGGGGCACATGTAGTCCCCTGTGGTGTAATCTATCTCTCATGGGTAAGGGACTGTTACAGGCCCGGCAGTAATTGGTATCATACGCTGTTATGGTGACCCTGCCAAATTTGATGAACCTACATGTAAGTGAGTAAATAAATAAAGAAGACGATTTGCTAGGACTATGACAAGAACCGTAAAAACCACAAGCCACTGAAAGCTTCTAATCTGATAAATGCCATATTTACAATTTACACAATAGTACGTCTGGTATAAATATGGTAAATAAGTCAGTGGAATTGAACGTCCGAAGTTAAGTGCATATGCTAGAAAGAGTAAAACTGGCTTGTTTCTTTGGTTAATCTACTGGAAGTTAATTGTTAATGGAAGTTAGTCCGCGGTAACTGGATTTTGTGTAACTTGACATTGAGTAGTATAGGAGGGATATTTTACTCCGGATTTTTGCTGGGGAATCTCATTAACTTGCGGAGGAATACATTAACGCCGAGGAGATCATAACGTTTGTCTTTATCTCTTGAATAAAATGCGCAGGAATCTCATTAAGATAAGGTCATGTGCTATTTTTAGTTGGTTTAACCGGTTTGACAGGTTTCTACTTGTTTTTAGGTCTGTAAATGTCTTAGTTTTCGATTGGTTGATTAGAAAATATGAAAAGTTTTCATTGGTTAATTCATGGTGTCTAAGGAATAAAGTCAAACTAGTTTGTGGCTAAAATCAGTAAGCCGTAACGTGATTATGCAAGTTCTATTTTCTGCCGCTGTCATTGTCCTAGTTCTGGTTCACTGATTCGCGCAAATCGTGCATGTTAATGAGGGCGAAGGCAAACTAGCTCTTTTTAGAACAGAAAACAATGTTTTACTTACACTCCTCTACAGTTTATTTCTTTCTTTTTACTTTAGTTTTAGTTCTATTTTCCCTCCACCACATCGACCCTACATCGACCCTATATTGACCCTATATCGACCTCACATCGACCCTACATCGACCCTACATTGACCCTATATCGACCCCACATCTACCCTACATCGACCCGACAGCGACCCTACATCCACCTCCCTCCATCTACATTTCCTCCTCCTCATTTTTATTGTTTTCCCTCCTCTTCCTCCTCCTACTTTTATTTCTTCTGTCTGTTTTAGGATTCACTTCGTTACTTGGTGCAAGATTCCTTAGCAGCATTCACTCAAATGATCCAAGACGCCACGTACAGTGTCATAGACTTAGGAGAGGACTTTGATTGGGGAGAAGACATCATCAACAGCAGCTACAGGTAAAGACTTTAAATATCAACACAGTCATAGATTTTAAGTAATTCCAGGAAAGAGAACCACATTTTTGTCGCGCCAAAATCCTCAATCCTTCATCTACAAGGTCTCGTTACAACGTTTCCATTAGCTTCCCTCGCCTCATTGGATTCTTGATTAGGAAACCTTTACTTCAAAATGCAGGTGGATTAACCAGAACCTAGCCTCCCCGCAGACGTCCTTTGGGGTTCGTTTGTCACGCATTCAAACAAACGAACCCCAAAGGACGTCTGCGGTGAGGCTAACCAGAACCCTGACTGCTAGCTGGATACGTTCTCGGTGATCCCGAGTTCAAATCCTTGGCGACGCTTATAAAATAGCCAACTGGTTCGCTTTCTACCAGTTGGTGAGTTGGGATTCTTAACCATGTTGTGTTTATCTATTTGAATTATTGGTTTCATTATCCCTAAAAAGCCCAATAATTGGAGAGGACAAGTTAAAAGTATTTAAATTCAACTTTATGTAAATCGTTCTGGACCGTTTTTTGGCACAACATGCACTGTGGACGTTAAAAGAATCGTTTGATTTAGCCAATAGAGAGATCAAGATTCACCTTTACCGCAAACGGCAAAAATAAGACTCGCGTTGAGAATTTCTCAGAATAGAAAATAAGCAAATAACAACAGTCCCGAATGATTCCTGTGGTTAAGACTGGCATAAAACTACTTATTTTTGTGTAGCAGCAATAAAGAGTAAACGGGAAAAAATGGGGAAAACTTGGTCACGTGGTACAAATTCACGGTTACCGTTTGAAGTAAACATGAATCTTAATCTGTCTAATATTTTATTGACTGGACTTGAAGCTGGGTCCGTTAAAAACTGAAATTGCGTTCTTTAACAGGCCCAAAAAGAATGCCCTGTTCATGTTAGACCTGACATTGGAGAAAACGGGGGTGCAGTACAGTACAGATTTGGAGAGCTTTGAACGTGTGGTGATCATGTTGTTTGACAAAGGAATCACCTGCACTAAGAATGTTCCACAGCTTGAAAAGATGGTGATAGAAGGTCTGTTTTGGAGTGGCACGCCTCTTCTCGAGTCTGTGGGTGAAAACGAACCGGAAGTGGTGAAGCTGAGAGAAACAGTGCGACATGCAATCCAGCAGTCCCTGATCCCTCTGAGAGCTTATGCCAGACAGTATGAGAAGTACCTGGACTTGTATAACTTGGATATCAACGAGTATCTCGTGTAAGTACAGTGTGTAGCCTGTTGGACTGGATTCCAGGAACACAACATTTCTTGTTATAAGTATAGTCAGGGGCACCCTACGACGGTTTCCTCCAAAATGCATTGAAAATACTTTATAGGTTATCCAGAGTACTTTTAGACCTCTAGAAATGCATTCTAAGTGGGGCTATAGGATTTGTATCTGTTCGGTCATCCTACGGGAACTTACAAGGGCTTCAGTAATATTTTAATATTTCAAGCACTTTAAACCAGTAAATGTTTTGTGTAGGGAGTATGATTCGCAAGAGCGTTCCGCCTCAGAAGTGAAACAGGAGATTGAAAGGCATTTAAAAGATAAGGAGACACTAGAGAACTCCTTGCCATCAAGCATTGTGATTGGTCCATACTGGATATCCACTGAGGGAGTCAGGCAGGCATTGGCAAAGAAACGAAAAGCGTTGGCTAATGCTGTTATTGACCTGTTGGCCAAAAAACTCCGCAAGCAGGCTGACATGGTGTGTGATGTTGCTTTTTGTTTTATTCAATAGTGTTTTGATTTTGGATGGCTTAATTTTTTTCACAAACCGTTATTTGGAGGATTACACTTCACAGGATGTAGATCAAAGATATTTAAATCACAACAGAATTTTCTGAAAGTGCCCACTACTGGTGAGCAAATATTTGTGATTAAGCGGACCAACATCATCGATGTTAGTCTCCTACGTACGACATCGAGTGCATTGTACCTTTGTTATAAAGGAAAAACTGGAGGATGAGAGTTTTGTATTTTGAATTTTCTTCGCTGTTTTGAATTTGTACTAGAAATGCGCTTCCTTTGATCAAAAAAAAAGAAAAGAAACGGTTATACTAAAGTATTTTAATTTTCTACTAGGTTTGTGAGGAGTTTAAGGCGATCGCACGGCAGTTGTATGATAAACCAAACAGCATAGAAGAGCTGGCAGAACAAAGAGAATACATGAAGCAGATTCCAGAACAACTGAAGAAAAACCAGGAACTGATTGACAAAGCTATGGTCGATTATGAGCTCATTGAAGAGTTTAACTACAATATATCTGCTGAGGACTTCAATGCAAAGTGAGTTGATCTGACTTCCGGATAGAGTAGTTTATAAGTACAGGTAACTTAATAGTCTATCAATTGACTGCAAAAGAAGTCTTCATAAATCTTCACGCACGCAAACCGTCAAACTGCCCGTATGACACTCTTGTACTTTCCATATTTACATGTATCAGGTGGACCTGTATTGGATGGCCATATAAAATCCAGCTACAAATGGAAGCAACAGAAGCCAGCCTTGATGCAGATGAAGAAAGATTCCAGAAGAACTTGTTAGCTGACCAGAACACTTTTCAAGACCGGCTGGACTCGCTCAACATGGCCGTGGCAGGATTTGCTGCTCATACTGACATCAGTAAGGCGCACGAAGTGGCGAATGAAGTGCGGCGTCTAACGAAACAGCTCAAGGAATGCCAGGCACTCGCTAATACCTACAATAACAGAGAGAGGCTGTTTGGCCTCCCTGTCACGTCTGTAAGTAGTTTAATTCGATTGTAAACGTGTACTGCTATTTGTGTCTTAAGGACAAAGACAGTAAAAAGCAATTCATTTGGAGGGTTTATTCCTGAAGTTATTCAGTAAGGGGTAAAAGTTATTCAGTAAGGGGTAAAGGTTCCAGTTTGGCATTACTTGAAATCAATGTCATTTTTATCAAGAAACAAAACGTCCAACGTGTCTACCTTAAGATTGTGATGATTTGGCAGTAAAAGAAAACATATGAGAAGTTCTAGAGTTCTTTTTATAATGTTAAAAACGTTCTCTGGCTAAAAATGTTCAAAAAATTCAAGCTTTCGACCGCCTGAACTGTAGTCTTCAATGGGCGAAGTGATTTGAAAGTGAAAAAAATCTAAAATACAGTGCGATACATAATACAATAGAATAAAATTACTAAAGAATGAGAATAAAGAAATAATTCATTGAGAAAAAAAATTATATTGTCTTGGGTCTTAGCGTTCATCCACTGACTTCTACATTAATTTTGATCTGTTGAAAACAGTATGACAAGCTGGGCCGGCTGGTCAAGGACTTTGAGCCGTTTAAGAACATGTGGCTGACAGCATCTGATTGGCTGAAGTGGTATGACAGTTGGATGAACGATCCCCTCACCACCATAGACGCAGAACAACTGGAACAGAATGTTAACAACGCCTTCAAGACTATTTTCAAGTGTGTTAAGCATTTCAAGGAGATCCCTGCTTGCCAGGAGGTGGCGATGGAAGTGAAACTGAAGATTGAGAACTTCAAACCTTACATTCCACTTATCCAGGGCTTGAGAAATCCTGGCATGAGAAGCAGGCATTGGGAACAGGTATCATTTCCGGCAGTTTCTTAGTTTTCTTCCGGTACCCTGAGTATGAAAGGTGTTTTTTTCTCGCGCCGCAAGCCGATAGATCTTCGGCCGAATACCCAAGCCACGAGACTTACCCGAAACCAGAAACCAGGTATGAAAAGTCTCTGGGATCCCGAGTAAGTCTTCGGTTGATTAAGGGCAACAAGACAAAAAGTAGTTGTGAACCTCAAGGAAAATTGCGTGAAGCGCCTGTGAAAACTCCCGTCCAAAGTTTTTAAATACCTTATGATGTCTATCGCAAAATTTATTCGGAAGTGCAGCAATGTCTCGCTCGTTGATCCCTCTGGTCAAAGAAAAAGAACCGGCATCTGAAAAAAGGTTTTTGCCTTTACCGAATATCATTTGTATGAACTGAAATTTATCATTTGTCATTGCCAGAGTTAAGTTTTTGTTATTATGAAATCAAAAAAAAAAAAAAGAAAAGTTGCTTCAGCTGTTTTATAGCGATGATGGTTGTTTTGGACTTATCGGTGACCAAATTGCGCCATTTACAATTTACTTCTTTAGAAACTGACAATACTTGTGCGTTTTTCTCTCCAGTTGTCCAAGGAGCTTGGTTTTCCTATTGTGGCAAACGCGCAGCTTACGTTTACAAAGTGCCTGGAGATGAAGCTGCAAGATCACATCGAGGTTATCGCTAAAGTCGCTGAGATTGCGGGCAAGGAATACTCTATTGAACAGGTAAATTGCAAACTTCATATACACGTACCCAGTTCTGTTGCTCTGTAAAGTTGTCTTAAGAAATTTTAAATGTTATCACTTTCATCTTGAACCAGAAACTTATTCGGATTTCTTCTTCAACCTTTAAAGTTTTGTAAATTAAAAGTTGTGTTATTATATTAATAAACTTTCCAAGAAGTTGTTTCTCACTAGGATTTAAACACAAACGTGAGATCTACCTTTTCTGCCTTCCATATGGTATTCTAGCAGTGAAATTATTGACTAATTGTTGTGACATTTGCAATTAGGCGCTTGACAAGATGGAGAGCGAATGGAAGCCAGTCATGCTCGAGGTAATGCCATATAAGGAAACAGGCACGTTCATAATGAAAGTCAGCGATGACTGCTCGCAGCTATTGGACGATCACATCGTGATGGCACAGAGCATGTCATTTTCACCGTATAAGAAGCCATTTGAGGAGCGTATCACCACTTGGGAGAGCAAGCTTGTGATGACTCAGGATGTGATGGACGAGTGGTTGCAGTGTCAGAGACAGTGGCTGTATCTGGAGCCTATCTTTAGCTCGGAGGATATAAACCGCCAGCTGCCGGTGGAAAGCAAGAGGTATCAGACCATGGAAAGGATATGGAGAAAAGTGATGAATAACGCCAAGGGAAACCCACAGGTAAATTGAAAGGAGACCACTGTGTAATCCGAAAACCTAGCTTATCTGTTCAATTCATTTAGAAAGTGCAGTCCACAATGGTACTTTGCAGCGTTCTCATATTTTTAGAGCCTAGTTTTGAACCCTTCCGTACGGGTGACCTTTGTCTAGATCTCAGCGTGCAAAGAAATTAATGCGATTTGATAGCCTGGGGCAGGTTGATTTTGCAATCGGGTTAGTGAATTCTGTTCTTAACTTGCCCGGTGGGCAAGTGAATTTTTTTGTTTTGGGGGTGGGGGCGGGGGAAAGGGTTGGAGAAGGGAGAATGGGAGAGAGAATGGAGAAGGGACTGCCATTTCATTTTGTCAAAGGAGCCATGAGAAAGCCTAGCCGTTTACATCCAAAGGCAATATCTTCTTCGTCAGTGATATGAAGGTCTTAACTGTTCGAACGGCCCAAGAATCAAACGCACGACCTACTTCTCAGCAGTCTCGTGCTCTTCCAACTAACGTTAAGTTTTGATAAATGGATGGCTGGATTGACCTAGCACGTGACGCGAAATTTGAGAATGTAATCCAGACTAATCTGTTAAGTGTATGCCATACTCGGTGGCGTAGTCTTAACTGGCCAAGTAGAGTTACAACGAAGCACAAAATAAATCAACTCAACCTCATGACTAAGCGTAAGCATGATCATTCTGGTTGAATTTTTAGGTGATCTCTTTGTGCCCAGATGCCAGGCTTCTTGAAAGTCTCCGTGAATGTAACAAACTTTTAGAACAGGTAAGAAAATGTCAACATTAACGTTAGGACTCACATAAATATCCGAAACTTTGCTATCTTTTTTCCATGGGAAGGAGCTGTTTACTGTGACGTGTGATAACCTTGTGCTGCGATTGCCTTTCAACAGGTACAAAAGGGACTTAGTGAATACCTGGAGACGAAACGAACAGCCTTTCCACGATTCTACTTTCTGTCGGATGATGAGCTACTGGAGATTTTGTCTCAAACCAAAGATCCTACTGCTGTTCAACCTCATTTGCGAAAGTGCTTTGAAAATATCGCCAGGGTACGTACGTAAAATAACTCTAACAGTGCCGAAGATGGCTTCCATGAACAGTAAGAGACATCCAAATTTCTTGCTAGTGTGTCCTTAATATAAAACATCATCATTAGAAAGAACTGCAAAGGTACTGTAGGATTTTATTTATTTTAATAAGTAAAGTGGTGTAATGGCTTTCACTTCAGTTGGCTACACTTAAGCATCTTTTAGTTTGGTTATAGCAATTGTTAATGGAGTTCGATGGTTGTGTTTTTCAGCTATCATTTGAGGAAGACTTACGCATATCTTCTATGTTTTCTGGCGAGGGAGAATGTGTTCCATTTAGCAACAGCCTCTATCCCACCGGCAACGTTGAGGACTGGCTGCTGGAAGTAGAAAACACCATGAGAGGAAGTTTACGAGAGATTTTACACAGAGCTTTGTTAGAATATGCTGAGGTAAAATTTCATTTTAGTAAGGGTGTTTCACCTTTGATTGATGAAAGTAATAAGTGTATTTTTTGGTTTTGCTTTTGCTTTAAAAAGCTTAGCTCAACATAACCCATTTCCGAGTTCCAAAAACTCTGACTTTCAAACGAGGCTAAGTGCGAAACCTTTGTTGGGGAAATTATTTTTATTACGCATTTTCATATCAATGGTCTCTTACTTGGCCTACTTCACTTGGAAGTAATGAGCGGAAAAAAGAAAGAGGCGCGCGAAGGAGACGCGAGGGGCTGCGCCCATGACTTCCAAGCGCCTGCTACGCCGGCTACACTTGGCCTCGCTTTGAAACAGAGGCTTGAGGCAACCCGGAAATGGCGTATTCCTCTCGCCTATTTTCTCAATCAATTAGAAGCTGGAGCAAAACTTTCTCGCAAGGGCGCATTCCGTTAGCATTGATGACCCGCCTTAATTTTTCTTCCGGAATCTGGCTGTGATTTGTCAGTCTAAAATTAGACATTAATTGGTTTTGATTTTATCACAATCAAGAAAGCTCTTATTCGACGTTGCCGATCCAAGTAGTATGCTGGACACGCGTCCCGTACGAAGCTGCAGTAAGTGACCCTACCTATCATGAGTTCGTCCGTATTTGTGGAATGTCATCGCCTCGAATCCTGTCTGGACTCAGATTTTTTTCTTTGTCCTATGCCACTGAAATGACACAGCCTGCTAATACAGCAGTCTTCTCTCGCTCCTCGCTCCTCGCTCCTCGCTCCTCGCTCCTCGCTCCTCGCCGCCCAGGAGCGAGGAAAGATGGCTGCATTCGCAGGCTAGACATGACGAGAATAACGTGTTTTCCCGACGCTGAAATTCAGTGTTCGTCGGCTACAGCTAAGAGGCATTCCTTGCAATTGGACGCTAAGAATGGTTACCCGTTCCGGCTGCTGCGAATGTCTCACATGTCCTATTTATTTTACATCACAGACACCTCGTACAGAGTGGGTTTTAAAGTGGCCTGGGCAGATTGTGATTGCTGGATGTCAGACACACTGGACTAAGGAGGTTTCTGAAGCATTGGTGGAAAACAAGATAAATGAGCTTTATAAGGCCCTGATGGCGCAGGTACCAACCACTGTTGTTGAAACGCAAAGCAGTCTTCCTACCACACCTCAAATAAAGGGGCGGGGGGATTGGTTTAGTTCTTCCACTTCTGCATGCGACTCCGACGACCAAGTTTTCACTTGATCGTAAACGATGGAGTTGTAAGCGGAATCAGAAGAATCAGAAGGCTTTTTTCACTAGGACGTAAAGTTCTACGCTTCTGATTACGACTCCGACTCCGACACCGAATCCGTCGCTAGTGAAAACCAGCCTTTAGTTGATTTTTGTAATGATTTGTTTCTTTCTTCATCAGCTCAATGATCTCGTTACGTTGGTGAGAGGGAACCTGACTAAACTTGCCAGGATGATTCTTGGAGCACTTATTGTCATTGAGGTATTTAAATTTAACATGCCTTGGCCCAATGTTGCTCAACGGTAATACATGTGGCCATTTAACGAAACACCAACTTGACTGTACTCCAAATTCACCCAGCTTACACCCTACGTTCACCAAAAATTATCCAACCGCAGGTAGTATCCTGAAGGATAACCAAGGAAAGCAAGAGGAGCCATTCTTGTAGCCTTTGCGTTGGTCAAATATACGTGACACACTTTTTTCACTATTTCTTCCGCTTATCGTGAAATACGTTTTTTGATCAATCTCGTCACACCATAAATGTTTCCCGAAGCTCAGAGGTAAGAGCGCCCAACCAGTGTTCCGGGAGGCCATAGATTTGGGTCCCGTCGGGAACTCGAAGTGTTTTGTTTCTCTCACGATCGTTTCATTTTACACGAGTCGTTATCTTTCTCGTTCTTCTCCAGCTTGATGTTTAAATTTACTTGCAGAACATTGCGTGAGGTTCTATGTGTTCACCCGGTTTAATCGTACTTTCTCCGTAGGTTCATGCATGTGATGTAGTGGCAAAGATGATATCTGAAAACGTAAAAAATGTGAATGATTTTGAATGGATTAGCCAGTTAAGGTACTTCTGCGTTTTATCTGTTGTATTAGGGGCAGTTTGCGGTTTGTTAGATACAGTAGGTCCCTATTCTGCGTCGGATGACGTACGAATGCAGGAATGACCGTTTTGGGAGGACTAACACTTGAAAAACTCTAAACGACTGCCGAAGGTAGTGCTTTCTTGGCGTAACCCGTGGCGCACTAAGCTGTGATTAGATCAGAGGGCTGAAGTAAGTCGTCTCAAACTACTTGAAAGCCACAATGTAAAATTGTTGGAGACAGTGATAATGGAAGTTACAATATTGGATAGGGATAAGGACACTAAACGTACCGGTTTCTTCAACAACTTTAACAATCAGCCGCTTTTCAAGACATTGCAGCTTAGGTGTACAGTATTCTGTTGATGAAATCTAGCTGTAGTTTTGGTTTCCCTTTTGTTTTTTTTTTGGCCTTCATGTCACTTAAAAAATAATGTATCATTCCATTCAGGTACTACTGGGAAGACGATATGATTATTCGAGCAGTAAATGCGCAGTTTGACTACGGCTATGAGTACCTTGGAAACACAGGTCGGCTCGTCATCACCCCCCTGACAGATCGCTGTTATCTTACTCTCACTGGAGCGCTTCATCTGAAATTCGGAGGGGCACCTGCTGGGCCGGCGGGCACAGGCAAGACAGAAACTACAAAGGTTAGCTGAACAGTTTTTTCTAACGTTGAAAGTTGCCACTATCTTTAGTAAGTCAAAGGCCCAATTTGAAAAGATTGAATCTTAAAATATAAGCAGTTTTCTATAATGTATCAAATACAACAGCTCACGGATACTGTGGTAAATTAACTGGCCAGGTCAAAAAATAAAAAAAAAGTTTTGTTTCTTGGTTTGTTTGTTTCTGTCATGGTTTGTCCGGTTTGGCCCAGGTCAAACGTTGAACTTCAGATTCTATTGTTCCTTTTTATATGGCTGAATCCGTTATTGACCAAGCTTGTGCCGTCAAAATGGCTGTGTATTGGTCTCATTCTTTTTTGCGTCCTTATTGACCTCAACTTCGTCTCGGTCAAAAAATAATAACAATAAAAAAAGACAGCGAGAAAACGAACTCGGCCAACATCCAGCCATCATCAGCGTCTAGGTCCGTCGCATGTGAAGTTCCACGTTAGACCTTGGCCTTATTCTCCACTGCTTGTCAGTTTCTAACGCTGTTTTATGTTTATGTTTTTACAGGATTTGGGTAAAGCGATGGCCGTTCAGTGTGTGGTGTTTAACTGCTCTGATCAGCTGGATTTCATGGCTATGGGAAAGTTTTTCAAGGGTTTGGCTAGGTAGGACTTAATGCACTTGGTTCGAACTGAGTTTTTAAATTAAGTTCGTTTTCCGGCCGTAGTTCATCACTTGTTATACCAGTTCTTCCCTTCAGTTTTTTTTATGCCAGTCTGCAACAGGAAAGAGAGAGAAAGAGAGGTTTTTTTTAACAACATAACTGGCTTGACCAAAATCGTTCTGGTACTCGTTATGGTACTCTTGTAGTCAAATTGAAAGATCCCTATAATTGTTGCTTTATTGACGACTTTGTTAGTGCACCTTCATCGTCGTCGTCGTTGTCGTCATGCGAAAGCTACCGAAGCAGATTTTGCAGTACGCAAAGACCTGGGCCCAGTTGTTGGAAAGGTGAATAACGCTATCCAGTTGATAAATACAATGATAACACAATGGTTTTCCCAGTACTTATCCGCTGAATAGGGATTTATCCGGTGGATAGCGCTATCCAACGTTTGAACAACCGGGGCTTCGGCGTCTTCACTATTATTTGTATTCGTTTACTTTAACCATCTGTTTATCAAGCAGCAGGTACTTGTGGCTTAGCAACCAAAACCGACTTTATCAATAAAGATTACTTAATCAGTTGTTATGGTGTTTACACTGCTAACTAAACATGATGTTTCTGTACCGTGTAGCGCTGGTGCTTGGGCCTGTTTTGACGAGTTTAATCGTATAGACGTGGAAGTGTTATCCGTGGTGGCTCAACAGATATCTACTATACAGCAAGCTTTGGAAGCTAGGGTAGGTATGACTTTGCAAGTGTTCTGATAATTCGTGGGCAATTTCTGCCAAAAGAATTTGAGGGCAGTTATTCAATAATTTCGTTCTAGAACTAATGTTTCGTGGGCGGTCTTGTTGAAGGCATTTGACCAATTAGTCTAACCTTGTGAACAAACTTATCCAAAACCTTTCTTTCTATAGTCAGAGAACACACAATAGAAAGCAAGTTGTTTATCGACTTTTCTTGCAGGCTGAACGTTTCATGTTTGAAGGAGTTGAACTTGCGCTCAGACCGTCATGTGCTGTGTTCATCACAATGAATCCTGGATACGCAGGAAGAACAGAACTTCCAGACAACCTAAAGGTGGGGACTTTTAAAGATACAAATAAGTAAATGAATGAATAAAGAAAGAAAGAACGATTTAGAGGTTGCATATATGGGAATTGATTCCTCATCTACCATTCCTGGTTGAACTGGAATTTCGAAATGTTGGTTTCTGGGGAGAGGAGAAAACCGGAGTACCCGAAGAAAAACTTCTCGGGGCAAGAAAGAGAACCAACGACAAACTCAACCCACGTATGGCATCCACGCCGGGATTTGAATTCGGGCCACACTGGTGGGATGTGAGTGCCATCACCACTACGCCACCCTTGTTCCCCAGAGCTAGTTTACACTAGAGCAATTTGTTTTGCAATTTCTTCGTTATTTCAGTTCTACACCAGTTGTTTATGAAACTTTTAACATTTTCCCCTCAGGCCTTGTTTCGTCCTGTTGCCATGATGGTTCCTGACTACGCACTGATTGCTGAAATCAGTCTGTTTTCGTTTGGTTTTTCTGAAGCAAAAGCCTTGGCCAAGAAAATCACCACCACTTTCAAACTCTCCTCAGAGCAGCTTAGTTCACAGGTTTGTAAACAGAGATTTGTTGTTGCTACTTTGAAAATGGTTCTTCTACCATAATAAAATTTTTTGATAGTGAAAGATAGTACACTAACCATCGTTAACCAACCCCACACAGGACGCTCTCTCCTGTAAATTGCTGATCCTGACAGCATGCGGTCACAACTGAGGCTTCCCATGAGTCTTTCTGTAAAAATGCCGTCTGGGACTTAAAGGTTTTATTGTCCCTTGCTCGAGTCATTATATCATTTTGATATTAAGACAATGTTCTTTACCGTAAGAGATTGTAAGGTTCCAGCCGAGACTGATTAATATAGTAGAATGCGGTATCAGACAATATGAATTTTTTTTTGTTTCCAGTGATTTCCTTCTCTTTGGCATAATAATTTACGTTGTTTAATTTCAGGATCACTATGACTTCGGTATGCGCGCTGTGAAGACTGTCATTTCAGCTGCAGGAAATCTTAAGAGAGAAAATCCAGAGATGAGTGAGGTAATTGGTGCAATATTAATATTAATTACCAATTTTAATCGCAATTGGGTTATCACAAGAAATGAATTTAACCAAGCGCAAAGTGCGATACAGTACTTTTTCCAGCCTTTTACGTGGTATACAGGGCTGGCTTAGACATTTCTTTCAAAGACCAAAGAACAAACGTGTCTCGCCCTTTTGAGGTTCTGATAAAATGTTGCCACGATATAATGACAATGTTTACAAGCGTCTCTTGTTGCTTTTTTGTGACCATTATAGAGGGCAGTAACTGGCAATTAAAGGCAGTTAATTAAGCATTGATTAAAAATAACCTTTCTATTCAGCTAGGCTGCTTTGCGTCAATGTGCTGTGTTTCTTTGCGCCCTAGGAACTGATTGTACTGCGCGCCATTCGAGATGTGAACGTACCGAAGTTCTTACAGGATGACTTGAAGCTGTTTCGTGGAATTGTTTCAGATCTTTTCCCACACGTCAAGTTAGTGCCCATATTCCATATTCTTGCTGTAAACTTAGGGAGGGAACCGGAGGTTTACAAATAGTCAACTATTAGAGGGAAGGGAAAACAGCTCACGTGTCGTATAGTGTTTTTTCTAGCAGTTTTCATGGGAAAGCCGGTTCGATTCACTTTTCCACACACACTCTTTTACCCCATTTGATACTGTACAACTGCACTAATACCCATAGGAAGTAAACCCCATTATCTTTCTGGGGTGGGAAGGTTGGGTTAAAAATAAGTGAACGAGACACCGGTTAGTCGTAAAAGAAACAGAAAATAGAAATGAAACAGTGGCGAGTTTACGGAGTATTTCAGTGATAATTACTTTGAGAATGATCGTCCGGGTGAACATAGTCCTGAATAGGACTGTTGTTGTTGACAGTGACTAACGTTTCGACAACCTGTGCGGTAATCATCTTCAGAGTCAAAGTGAGCAGGTTGGTGAGTTGTATCACGTCAGTTGATGGTATTAAACTCTGACATTACGAGTCTTCATATCCAGTAACATCACGACTTTACTGACAGACGACCAATAACATCGCGACTTAATTGACCAATCAGGTCAGTAACCAGAGTTTAATACCATCAACGAACGTGATACAACTCACTTTGACTCTGAAGATGACTACAGCACAGGTTGTCGAAACGTCAGTCAGTGTCACATTCAAGACTAAGTTAACCCGGACGATCATACTCAACCTACTCATAAAATGACTCCTGGGTTCAAACTTTTCACTATTTCAGTAATGTTCGTTTTAGTACAAATTTCAATGCAAATGCTATCGGGCATAGACTTTCAGCTTAGGGTAACTTAGAGGGCCATAGAATCCCATAAACAGTCACTTCATGCCGTAGTCTTATTAAGCGTTTCGCTGAGACCTTTGAGACTTTTATTTTTATATTTGAGCTTAAATACCAAATGTATACAAACAGGAACGAATAACACGAAGGTAGTTTGAAAGAGGTTAAGTATTTTAAGCGAAAAATTCCCTAACGGTGCTGTGTTGACATTTTGTTTCAGAGAGCAACCTATTGACTATGGTGATCTGGAAGACTCCATTCGTAAGACTTGTCTGAAACTTGGACTGGAGGATGTAGATGGGTTTGTTACTAAGTGTATCCAGTTGTACGAGACAACTGTAGTCAGGCACGGACTTATGTTAGTGGGTCCTACTGGATCGGGAAAAACAAGGGTGAGTGTCTGCCTCCTGCATAAAGGTACGGTAAAACTAGCCCACGTGTAGCCGCACCCTTCCCCCGGCAAAGGAAAAACGTCGGGGAAGGGTGCGGCTACACGTAGGCTACGGTAAAACGGGCAGCAAAAATGCAAAACGAGTTGAATAGCGATGTGCGTTTTACCACCCAAGAATTGAACCTGTCTCATAACAAATTAAATTAGGTTGTTGCAGGTTACGAAAAGTTGTTGCAGAAAGTGAGGAGTAGTTCTACTTTTTACAACAAAATCTGTGCATGTTTCGCGTTTTACCGGCCCAAGGCAAACTTATTGCTTTGTAGAAATTGGCGTACCTTCTGTGTATGGCGTGACTCCCGCGTAATTTTATCCAGTCAGTCGCAGTTGATGATTCCTACCTCTCTTACGTTTTGTTTTCAGTGTTACGAGGTTCTAAAGAAAGCTCTGACTGCACTGAAGGGCAAAGATTCTCCATCCGGCTCCCCGTATGAGGAGGTACACACGTTTGTGTTGAATCCCAAGTCTATTACAATGGGACAGTTGTATGGAGAGTTTGACTTGCTAACACATGAATGGTGAGTAATGAAAATTCCGTGATAAATATTTATATCTAATCGAAAACATCGAGAATGCGGCCAGAGCTTTTACTCGGGCAAATGAAGTTGGCGCCAAGCAAGAAACAGGTCGATAGTAACCTAAATATTGAGTAAGAGGAAAGATGTTCTGCGCTCCTCTGATATCGTGACGTTGTGATTAGACGCTCATCGCATTTTCCCGTTCAACCAATTCCAGCGATCTGCAACATAACTCGACCAAGTTTCTTGCAGCAGCGTCATTTCTGCGCAGTGTTTTGTCATTGCTTGGGGTTTGCAGGTCGGTTGACTTTTATGTTTTCTGTTTTAAGGACTGACGGCATCTTATCGTCCATGATCCGCGTGGGAAGCTCCAGTACCACAAGTGACAAGAAATGGTACGTGTTTGACGGACCAGTTGACGCCGTGTGGATTGAAAACATGAACACTGTTCTGGACGACAATAAGAAGCTTTGTCTTACAAGCGGAGAAATCATCAAACTCAGTGAGGTAAAATACAGTTAAACCTGACTTCATATTTTACTCTAACTCGACCCTTATAAGGTTTACTCGAACCTTGCAAAGGTTTTTTACTGCGTTTCCAGTCATGGAATGAATGAAATTCTCGATCACTCGGCCAGCACGGTCTCCCATTTTATGGTTTGCTTAGTTCTGCTTTAGCTCTACGGTACTAGTAACAAGGCAACAGCTGATGACCTAGGTGAGAAAAAGGAACTACGTGATATACTAATTGCCGATGTGAAATTAAGAAAAAATCATCAACACAGGTATGAACACAACCCAAGCAATTCTGAAACGAAGGCCTCAACCCATGACCTTCGTGTTACCGTTACTATACTCTCTTAACAAACCTTGGAAATCACTGACGTCGTCACTTCTAGGTTTTTTCTCTTTTTCTAAGACTTTTTTTGCTGTTAAAATTTTTATCAATGCTTTCAAAGATACATACGACACAAGCTTGACATCTCTGGCTTAAGTGTCACTCTGGTAAACCCACTGTATTCTAAATCAACAGGCAATGACGATGATGTTTGAGGTGATGGATCTTGCTGTAGCTTCCCCGGCTACAGTCAGCCGTTGTGGTATGGTTTACCTGGAACCTAGTATCCTGGGCCTTCAGCCTTTTGTAAACTGTTACCTGAAAACACTTCCTGACGCCATATTCGATCACAAAGACAAGCTACAGTCATTGTTTGACAGATTTTTAGAGGTAACAGATCATTTGTTTTTTTGATAACACTATTGAGAACGGGAAAAACGATCATCATAATTAATGTCATAATTACGATAGTGATAATAGGCTGAACACACATTTTGACCGGAAAAGTTTCAAATGGGGGAGCGGGACTAGCTTTCAAACTTCCACTTATTTCCGGTAGTTTTCCAGTGGAACGCCACGAAAACGGAATTTTTGGAATACCTTGCTAAATGGAAAGCGATCTAGATGTCTATTTCCACCCTGTCATCCATGCTCTATAAGACTGGTGCACCTAAGATCTTAAACGACAGTGCTGATCGTAAGTCAGCGTGCACTGTTTTATTGTGTGTTGCAAATTTTCTAAGAGCTGTATATCTTTACTAATCGTTAGGATTCACTCAAGTTCTTGAGGAATAACACGAAGGAGTATGTGCCTACCGTGAACAGCAATCTCACTTGCAGTCTCATGCGTATCCTGGATTGTTTCTTTGCTCCGTTTGTCCCTAAGGAGGTTTGTACTAAATCCACCCAGCTATTTAGATATGCACAGGGACCCCTATAGCCTTAAAGCGTTATTTTTTATATAAAATGTTCAATTCCTTTGATTTATCTATCAATCTGGTAAAAATGGTTGCAATTAATTAAAGCCTGGATCGCGAATATATCAGATACACGTTAGTGTGTGTGGTAAAAAAAAAACATGCATACCTAAAACTGATTTTGAAAGAGAAGAATTAAAACATACGTAAACTCCTGATGATTCATGTGAATGAAAGATAGACAGTGGATCAAAGCTTTAAAAATTCAGTTCAGGCTTCACCGAGGTTCAAACCTGGAACTTTGAAATGTTTTGTCGAATTGAGCTGATAAAGCTATCTGGAAAGTATGCAGGCCACTTGTAAGTTTTTATTATTTATACAGTTCACGGAAGTGATAAGTTGAATGCATGTGAAATACATCTGAAAAACGCGTATGAATACATAAGTAAATAAACAAAAATTAAATAAACAAATATAAATAAATAAATAAATGAAGTTTATAAATAAGTAAATGGATAAACAAGTGAATAAATGGTAGATGTAATCATGGCAAACGTGTGATCAACCCAAGCGGTTGTAAAGGAACTTGAAAAATCCGGACTTGACCAGGATTAGAGCTCTGACCTTTGCGGCGACTGGGCGCAACACCCATCCTACAGGGCTATTCAAGACCTCTTAAAGAGCAGGGCAGTTGTAAGTGAAAACAGCTTTTTGCTAATCTGTAAAGGAACGCTTTCATCGACTGCCTATTATACTCAGATAATCAAATGGGAATAATTGATATAAAATTGGCAACATCCATTTCTTAATCAACCTTGATCATCGTTAACCTCATATGGCAAACTTTGCTTGTACAGGGCGAGACCATCCCTGCAGAGAACATAGCGTTAGTGGAAACGTTGATCGAACCCTGGTTTGTCTTTGCTCTCATTTGGTCTGTTGGAGGAACGTGTGACGGAGACGGAAGAAAGAAGTTCAGTGAATATTTAAGAAAGAAGATGGACGAGGAGAAGGTAACTGTACACTTCACGCTAACCGTCTACCTCCGTTTTTAGCGTGAAGAAAATCGGAATAGGTCTTATTAATGGGAGTTTTTTGCCTTCTACAACAAAGATGAGAACGTGGGATGTTAATTTTGAGTTTTTAAATTACAGGTTACAATGAAATTTCCTAGTCATGGTCTGGTGTACGATTATGCTCTTGAAGATGGTGGAGTTAGCCGTAAAGACGATGATGACGATGACGATCATAAAGCAGGAGAGGTGAGAACATTGAAAATCTACAAAGAAAGCCGTGTCACGACAGTAAAGTTCATTTTGTTACATTTTGCCAGTTACTCGTTAGGAAACATGATACTGGCAAAGAACTTGTTTTTAAAAGCCAAAAATTGGCCTTGTGATAAAGAAATATTTGTAACAAGCGTTACCTGTCTTAAAAAAAACCTCCAATTCCCGTCCGCTTTTACCTTCTTAAGTTTTGTTTATCCGTAGCTTAATTCGTATTTGCTGTGATATTCAAATGTTGTATCACTGTTTTTTTGTTCTTTCACCACTTTGATAACCAATTCGCTTTGGCTGAATTTGACTATTGCGTTAGATACAGATTAACTTCTGTAATGCATGGGGTAAGGTCAGTACACATGGAATTAAAAAGAACACCGTCGCCCTCTTTTCTCAGAAAGGAACCTATTGCCGTTCTGTGTTAGATGAATTGCAGATACCTGTATTGAGTAGAAAGTAAACCAAGGGTTACTGACAAGTGATAGAGTGATAAAACCGTTCTTTGGAATGTTGCAGGTGAAATGGGTAAGCTGGATGGCAAACGTAAGTCAGCCCAACATTCCAGCAGATATGAATTACTCTGACATCATCATACCCACCATGGACCTAGTCAGAGGATCATTTCTCTTGGAAATGCTGCTGGTAAACAACAAGAAGGTACGTTCCATTTGTAGTGCTGTTGGCTATAGCGACCACCCTCTTCTCCTACATTAGTACACAACAGTAGGTGATGAAGTAAGTGAAATAAACAAACATGAATTTACCTTCCTTTCACTTCTTTTGGCGCTTCGATGATTTGTTGGCTTGATATGGCAACATCTAATAATAATAATAATAATAATAATAATAATAATAATAATAATAGCGATAATGATAATGATAATGATACTAATAGTGTTTAATTTCGGCTTTCAAACTTATCAAACTGGCTCTTCAGTATTTGAGTGCAGAGAAAACAAACCTTCCGGAAAGTTTAAAGCTTTAACTAATGAAGTGTTGAGGCCTGTACATGAGATTGTTTTGCTTGTTCTGAATTTCTCGCTTCCTCTTTTTTTAATTTTGGTTACTTGTTCTACTCAGGTTATGTGCGTGGGTCCAACAGGATCAGGCAAAACACTGTGTGTAGCAAACAAGTTGCTTAATAACATGCCAAAAGAGTTCCTATCTCATTTCCTGAACTTCTCTGCACGAACGTCTGCTAATCAGACACAGGATATTATAGACAGCAAACTGGACAAGAGGTATGGCTGACCAGTGTTTTGCATCTTGTTTATTAGAGTACTCGTCGATCTTTCAACTCTGGCAACCTCTTATCATAGTGCAAGAAAGGAAAAAGAAAGGGATCTAGGACTCGATTCCCGTCGGTGAATCAAATTCAGTTCTTTACACTTGCGTTTGTAACCTCATGATGGCTACAGGGGTGCAAAAAGAATATTCCACCCAATTTGCATCGGCACTAGAACGACTGCAGCGACTTAAACACCAACTGAACTATGTAAAACCTGCACAACACAGAATAACCTGAGAGAAGGCTGTGCCTGCAACCAACAGAACACAGTCTCTGTAATATGCAGACGACCAACACCAACACCCTCCATCCCTTTGCTCGTGTATCATGACCGTAAATCGTGTTTCTTTTTTTGTCAGACGTAAAGGTGTATTTGGTCCTCCTCTTGGGAAACACTTTGTATTCTTTGTTGACGACCTGAACATGCCAGCTCTTGAGGTGTATGGCGCTCAGCCGCCAATAGAGATCCTACGTCAGTATTGTGATCATAAAGGGTGGTACGACAGGAAAGCCATAGGTATGTCCGTCTCTAGTGACTTGGAGAGTATAATCGCGCTTGCGAGGGGTCAGCGTCTTTACCCTTGTCAATTTACCTTGACAACTCAGCTAGTCTTCCTTCCCGGCGCAGCACACACTTCTGTTATCATGTAATTGACCCCCCCCCAGGATGCCCAGGGGGGGGGCATGAGCACATTTCGTTTGTATTTTCGAGCGCTTTCCGGGACATGTTTTCGTAAAGGTTTCTTAGAATAAGATTGTAATGGGAAAAAAGAGCCTTGTGCCATGTTTGGATGTAATAATGATCGCCTTTTTTCCGAGAAATATACAGTGAAAGACCATATTTCTAATACTAAACTACTGTAGAAAAAGGCGATCATTATTGCATCAAAACACGGCACAAGGATCTTTTTGCCCATTACAATCTTATTCTAAGAAAACTCTAAGAAAAAATGTCCCGGAAAGCGCTCGAAAATACAAACGAAATGTGCTCATTCCCCCCCGGGCATCCTATAATACTCCTTAAATCGAATTAATTCAATATGGCAGCCGTATCGGTATAAAGGTCTATTAAGTCGAAAAGACAAATCTGGTAAAATAGATGCTGTGGTTCATTATCACATATTACCAAACGGATTCCTTAAATTAAAGGAAAGTAAAATTTGCTTTGGGGATAAAATTGGACCACAACATATACACCTCGAGGAAAGGAAATGACAGCTTTTTTACTTAAACGTTTTTGATCGCAAGACTGTCATCTCACTTCTCCTTATGTTATCTGATGTTATCTGATGGTGTTGATAGCTACTGCTATTTACAACTTGTTGAATGTTACCGGCCGCGTTTGCAGTTAACTGTCAAGTAGAACCAAAAGTCCGTTTAACAACAAGGGGATCGTAAGCTTTCGATAAAAGTCTTGCACCATGAGTCGGAACACATACGATTTTCTTTCTTTACTCACATCCATGTTCTTCACATGCTCGAGTGAAGCATGATTTCGACTGCTAAACACGGGCATTTACTTTGTTTCGTATCTTAGGCGTTTTCCTATGGCCCATATTTCACATTTTATGATCTCATTATAGGAACCTTTCGTGAACTTGTGGATATCAACTTCGTGTCATCCATGGGTCCCCCAGGTGGTGGAAGAAATCCGGTCACTCCCCGATTCCTAAGGCACTTTAATCATCTCTCATTTACTGAGCTAGAAGATGATAGTAAACATCGCATCTTTGCTACTATTCTCAAGTCCTGGATAGGTAAGTCCTCAAAAGTAACCTACATTTCCAGCTTAGTTGCCTCGCCACATGGGCGTCCTCATTGTAGCTTTAATTTTGCTTCCGAGATCCAAATTCTGTCAAACCAAAAACCACATGAAATCGATGCACAGGAAACAGACCGACTTTATGAGCTAGAAAAGGCAGAAGAACATGTACGCGTTAGAATCTTACAAAGCATAATATACTCGTTATAAATTACATTTTAGCTAGATATTCTAGTTAGAGCCTAGCCTAGCTATAAAGGTTGAGAACATCCGAGAGAATGACTGCGTACGTGCTGTATTACAAGACTCCATAGTCGTGTTGGTCTGTCAACACATTTTCAACCGCCAGAGGAACAACAACAAAAAAATGATTTATGTAAGTGTATACCGAAACATGACTAACGACGGCGATTCACAGACGTCTCTCTCCCCGATTTTTTTTGGGGGGAGGGGGGTTCTGTACACAGGCTATTACATACTAGTAGTAATCTCAGAGTAGGAAGTGCGTTTGAGCTTTTTCAGGTTTACTGTCAGATGTGACGTTATTTACTAATAAATTGATGCCGCAAAACGCTTTCTATATGTTTTTTTTTTTTAAAAGAAACAATACAAAACAAAATGACCACGAAAAAAAGAAAAAAGTTTCACCCGGCTGGAGTCGAACCCCAGACCTCTGAAGTGTCAGGGCAACGCGTTATCTATTGCGCCACTCAACCACTTCTAAAACCATATGATTAATTGCATTTAACATTATTGTGCCCACGAGATAAATTTTTCAAGATGGCGCAGAAAATGCAGACGTACGCGGACGAAATGAGTACCACAGGAATCCCAACTGAGTACCACAGAAATCCCAAGATTATGTGTTGCGTTCGACGTAAGGAGAACGCAACAAGCAGTATAGTGTGATGTTGTTGGGCCGTTTGGGAAATATATAGAAACGACCACCATATGCCATGGTAGATAAATCCACCTCTTTGTTTCTCAAATTTCAGGCACGTTTTTCCTTCTTAGTTAGTTCTTATATGTTGTTAAAACTCATCTAACAAACTTTTTAACTATATTGCAGAGAGGAGCAAAGCTTTAGCAGGTTAGACTAGCGTAGATGACAGGTTATCATGTAGGTGGGCAGTTACCCAGAAACCTCAATGGTGATCCGATTATTTTTCGTAAAGAATTTGTTCGTAATTCCAATAAATTCAATAATCTGTTTTCTTCTCAGGACTGCGTTGGAATGTATCAGTTTTTGTCTTTTCTTGTGGTATTTATTTAACTTTTTTATTTATTTAGGTTCATACGGTGGCAGTGATAAGGAATCACTTTGTGACAGTTTGGTCAGGAATACCATTGCGGTTTATAACACGGTTATAACCCAGGTAAACACATCTGGAACCACAACACACCAACCAAACTTTGCAGTGATTTCTTATTCATATTTATGAACACCTCTGGACATGTGCGTGTTGTGGTTCAATTTTATCCTTGGTTTAAATTTTATTTCCCTTTGTTTTTGGGTATGGTAAATTACCATAATTACCGTAATGTATGATAATGAGTTTAAAACAAAGGGAAATAAAATTTGAACCACAACATACCCTCTACATAACAGAAGGCCGTGTAGGATTGCTGCCTTAAGTAACTGTACTTATTGTTTTCACGTGCCGTGAAAATTCGATTAAAAGTTGTTGGCCCGTACAATAAGCAGCTGCTTTCACCAGCGATAAGCAAGAACGATGTCTCTGTGGTTAAAGCACAGGCAGCCCAAACTTACGCTGTAAATTAATTTACATACCATAGATGACGCGCCGGTGTCGCGTTACAGGCGACCGTTGAAAATAAATGACTTTGTATGAGGAATATATTACTGAGATCTGCGAACGCTAAATAATGTTAAACCTTACTTTTTTTCAATGAAATGAATAAAAAAGACTTACCTGCGATGTATTCCACTGTGTTTGGGTGTTTGCTTGTCGTTTCACTCGTATTTTTGGCTTTATTGCGTAACCACTGTTACTCCCTTAGAACAAAGGGGCGCGTCACCTATGGTATGTAAATTACTTTACACCGTGAGTTTGGGCTGCCTGTGGATAAAGTAACGCACAAGTGCCGCGTGTGCACAGGCTATCCATTTACTACGAAGTCTGGTGTATCTTATCCAATCATAATAAAATCCAAACAATCATCTTTCAACTCTACCGATTAAAAGTACTTTGTTCAGAGCTTGAAATAATTTTGCGACTGGCGGCCGTCGCGTTCTCCACTCAAACCTATTTTTGCTCGGACGCAACCCGTTTTTGGCCAGGCAATTACAAATATTTATTTCAACATACCTTTATGAAACTAAATTTTCGAATGTTTAGAAGCATAAACAACCGGATCTTAGTGTCTGTTCATCCAAGGCTTTGACCGAACAAAGCCCACTTCTGACCGGACATTGTCCGTTGACTGGCCGTCATTTCAAGCCCTATTAAATTTTTTAAAAAATGCAATAAATTTAGTTGCTAGGATTCAAAACGTCGAATGGTGTAATCTGACCAAATTCCTGCCATTCAAATTACAGTTGCTACCTACTCCAGCCAAAAGTCACTACACTTTCAATTTGCGCGACTTGTCCAAAGTTTTCCAAGGAATTCTCATGGCTCTGCCGCAGAAGCTGGAGGATAAAAGTGATGTGCTGAGATTGTGGTACCACGAAAACTGCCGAGTGTTCCAGGATAGATTGGTCAATGATGAGGACAGAAAATGGTTTGTGGACTTGATTCGAGATAAGATGGCGTCTGGATTTGAGACTTCCATGGACGATGTTGTTAAAGATTCAACCATGATTTATGGTGATTTCATGGTTCCTAGTGCTGAGAATAAGATTTATGCTGAAGTGCCCGATTTCCACAAGGTGAGCCTGCCCTCAAAATCATTTCATATCGTTAATTGAACCAATATATCAGTGAGCTAGCAGCCTTTAGTTTTCCATTCATTGAACTGATGGTCATTTTTTCTTCTGTCAAGCAGTCAAGCAGTCAATCAGGCGGTCCTTCAGTCAGTCGGTTGGTCATTCGTTGCATCAATCAAAAACGTATTGCCCGCTCTTGGTCAGTTTGTCAGTCAGTCAGTCAGTGAGCTAGTCAGCCAGTCTGGCAGTCTGCCAGTCTGCCAGTCTGCCGTATTGCCATTCTGCCAGTCAGCCAGTCTGCCAGTCTGTCGTACTGCCATTCAGCCAGACCGGTAGTCAGCCAGTCTGGCAGTCAGCTGTACTGCCAGTCAGCCAGTCTGCCAGTCTGTCGTACTGCCATTCAGCCAGACCGGTAGTCAGCCAGTCTGCCGTATTGCCATTCAGCCAGTCTGGCAGTCAGCCAGACCGCTAGTCAGCCAGTCAATCAGTGTACTAGTCTGTCAGTTCAAATATCTTTCTATCGATGGATTGACCTACTCATCATTCACGTATATCAGTTCAAAAGGTACTTTCCCTTAACCACCCACGTCAACAATGAAAGTATCGAAAAGGCACAAAACTTCAGTTTAATAAGTCAACATTTACCTTTCTTTCACAGTTTATAACTTAATTCTCCTCGCATTTTCCTTGGTTTTGAGTTTCTTGCTTCCCTTAACAGATGGTCAAAATCATGGAGGAATACCTTGATGATTACAATCAGATCAACACCGCTCAGATGAAGTTGGTTCTATTCTCTGACGCCGTACGTCACGTGTCACGAATAAGCCGTGTGATTCGTCAGCCTCTCGGCAACGCCCTTCTGTTGGGTGTTGGAGGAAGTGGACGCCAAAGTCTTACAAGACTGGCAGCACACATGTGAGTTTAAGGGGGTAGCTTCTTGAATTTTCTTTTTCTAGTCATTAAAAGTGTCAATTTTTTTTTATTTGGGTTTTCTGTTTGCAATTATTTGAGCTGAGCGCTTGTAAGCTAGCCAGTGCATTTCATTGATTTTCTCCATAAACAAAGTATATACATTGTACATTAATGTTTTGGGATTTGTAGAGGAACAAGGAATAGCGCAGACGGTTAGTGCGCAGCTTTCTGTGCATGAGGTTCCAAGTTCGATTCCCTGGGGTCAATTTACTAAAACTTCTACAAGTGTAATTTACAAGTGTAGCTATTGTTTTGAGACCCTAATGGCTACACTTGCATATTACACTTGTAAAAGTTTTATTAAATTGACCCCTTGTGTGACCTCAGATCCTTGTTTCGACTCCCTTTCTTTCTGTGTAAATTTTAATAAGAAGCTTTAAATACCCGTTAAACGGAGGAGGTCACCCGAGCCACACGAAGGCCCAGCCGTTTGTAGGGCAAAGGCAGTTCGTTCATTTCTCAGTTGTTTTTAGGCCCTGAGTCCTCTCCTGAGTATCGAACCTGCGACCTTTCACTCTACAGTCCAGCGGTCTACCGACTGAGCTAATCCTGCCGCGGTCACAGGAAAATGAGTTCTTCACCTTTTTACCTTCCTTACTACAGGGCTGAGTATGAGTGTTTCCAGATCGAACTGGCGAAGAATTATGGTGTTCCTGAATGGCGTGAAGATCTAAAGAAAGTGTTGCTGAAATCAGGAGTGGAGAACAAATCCATGGTGTTTCTGTTCAGTGATACACAGGTAACCATTGGGAGATAACAGTCAACAGAGTGTTGCTTGACACCATTTGATGTTTTTTTTACCCAGTAGGGTTGCGAGAAAATCGTTAGGTGGTTTATAAGCAGTGATTGCAGGGCCTGTCTTTCTTGTTATAGCTTTTTTATCGAAGGGAATTCTGCTTTCTTTTTGTGCAGATCAAAAGCGAAAGTTTCTTGGAAGATCTGAATAACATTCTGAATGCTGGCGATGTTCCTAACATCTTCGCTCAGGATGAACTGGACACGATCTTTACAGCCATGAAACCTGTGGTACTTGACCTGGGGATGCAACCAACCAAAGCCAATCTATACTCTGCTTTCACTAAACGAGTGAGGGCCAACACCCATTCAGTTGTATGTATGAGGTAGGTCGTCTACGTGGTTACATGCGGTTTGCCTGAGGCTGTCATATTCCCCATTCGTATTAAAGCTTAAACTTGTTTAAAAGCTGTTTAGTTAAACACGGTTTAAATTTGTATTCTTTAAAAAAGCTGCGTACTGTACTTTTATTGATGGCAAATTTAGTGCAATCATATAAAATGTTAAAGTTCATTTGAATTCTGTGTAAACGCCTGCGTTTAAGTTCTCTGTCACTGATTTTCATTTTTTAAACCTTGTTTAATTAAACCTGTTTAGTACGGTTGAATGGGGCAACAGTATGCCAGTTTAGCAAGTATGTCTGTCTGTCCGCTTCCTCCTCTTTCGCGCATTGCAGTGAATTATTTATATACTGATTTACTTTCTGCCTTACAGCCCAATCGGTGAGATATTTCGAGCGCGTCTCCGACAGTTTCCGTCTCTTGTGAACTGTTGCACCATTGACTGGTTCTCAGCTTGGCCTGAAGAAGCTCTCCGATCTGTAGCCTCCACCTTCCTTGGAGAAATCCCTGAGCTTGAAGACTCTTCTGCAATGGAAGGATTGGTATGTTAGGGTTCGGAACTTTTTAAATTACAGTCGAACCTCTACTAATGGTCATTGCTTCTCGACTGAAGGGCGACATTTCTTCGTCTCCACAGATACTCTTCCCCCTTATTTGAACCCAGCGCTCTACAACGGCCACTTGCCTTTGTTCATTCCGCCAGATGACCCACTTGGAAATCGTATCCCAAGCAGATTTTCTTTGGGCCTCGTCAAGCGTTCCTCCCCACAAAGGAACGAATGGCGAAGCCTAAAGAACGTCTGCGTGGAAGGCTAACTTGGACAGTCTCTTTGTCGTTTGAGAAACACCGAGAAATTTCACAACATTTATGTGAAGTAATCGTTGGTTCAATCACTCTGTATGAGAGAAATCGTTATAACTTATCCAATTTCTTTTCCATCTCTTATTCATTTTTCTTCCAGCCACTTTTTGAGATGAATGCGGATTATTTTTTTTAAACCATCCGTCCAATATAATCGGCCCAAATAAAAATACTTTATCATATAGGAATCACATTTCCCTTATTTACCTGCAGGTTACAATATGTGGAGTTATTCATCAGTCAGTAGCCCTCAAGTCTAAACAATATCTTGCTGAGTTATCGCGACATAATTATGTCACACCTACCAGGTAATGGCAAGAATTTACCTAAAATGTTAAAAAATATCACTTATTTTTTCGTCTAGTACTTTTTGGTTTGTAACAATTTCATTTTTTCTACAGCTACTTGGAACTTCTTGGGACTTTCCGAAAGTTAGTTGGCTTGAAGAAGTCGGAGCTATTGACAGCAAGAAACCGCACAAAAACTGGTTTAGACAAGGTAAGTACTTTGGCAACACTTGAATAGTATGCGTAATATTGGGAACTTCCGTTATGAAACAATTTGTGAAGAAAGGTATGATGTTATTATTGTCTAAATGCAATGTCACTTTGTTGAACGAACACAAGCGCTTGACCTGATTCTCAAACTGCCGCAAGTTTCCTCAAACGTAGTGGAGGAATTGTTAGAAGTGAGTGACCCCGACCTCGTTTGAGAATCAACTGTCAAATTTCGCTGAGGTTTGCCGTGGTGAATTTTGTGAAGTGCCCGTCCATATCACATGTCATTAGAGAGGTTAAGCATCACGTTTGCGTCAAATGGCAAACGCAAATTTGTACCACGTGATCAAGTTTCCTTTTTACTTGTCGTTTACTGTTCATTATTTCCACAAAAAAATTAGTAGTTTCACGCGATTTTTTATCCATAAGAATTGCTTTGAGCTGTTTTTTTCCTGCTCATTTTCTATTTTGAGAAATTCCCAACTTGAATCTGACGTTTGCCGTTTGCCGTCTACGTGATGCTTAAACTCTCTATTCTACAGTCGAATCCGTCAGCGGAAAAAATGAAGCGAATTCTGTGTTTCCATTGGCTACCCGAGCGGTCAAGATAGGCCTGTCGAGCCCGCTTGGGATTTCCCGCGTTAGTCCCACACGCAAGAGAACGTTTTCGTTTTGGATGTATAATAAATCCTTCATTGACCATGCCTATTCGGTCGAATATTTGCCTTGTTCAATTTTGCGATTTTATTGAACTAGACCTCGTCTCGGTCCATAAAAACGCAGAAAAGAACTTAGCCAATATCCAGCGATCTTGATCTCACGCTCCTGTCATGGTTTGGCCATTGGCAGCTATGACGGGTTTTGGATAATACTGGGTCGGTGTTTAGCTGAGAGAGTGTTTAATAAAATTTGCACCCAAAATAGTCGAGGGCCGCGTTGTTCAAGCCCGGGCTAGCGCTAATCGACCTTCGAACAAGTGGGCTGAGTCCCGACCCATTTTAAGCGTCAATTGCGCTCTTACCAATGTTTTCAGATATAGAAACGTTTTCATTCCCGTGACCAGCGGTTGTGTTAGTTTCTTCAAAGAAAGGAATTCTTAACGTAGGAAAAGAGCTTAAATCCTGTAAGACTACATTGTGCACAATGCTGCCGCCATTTCTTGTAATGGGGTGTCTTAGCATCGACGGTGGTGACGTCACCGGAAACGCCACTTTTAAAATGAAATCTTCCTGTTTCAAACTTTGTCGCGTTTATTCCAGTTCTGTGAAAATGTCAAATGAAGGCGAATTTCCCAGAGGTTGATTTCTTGGGCACCGCATTCAAGTTTAGAAAGAGAAAGAAAAATCGTCGTCCCTCAGTTTTTACGTCCTCCATTAAACGTGAAATTAGGCATTTTCACGTCGTAGTCGTGCATTGACGGCAAAGAAATATACAAAAAAGGCGTGCTGCACGTGCATGGTTGTTGTTTTGCTTATCAAACCTATAGAGTGTTTTCACTCTCGTGGCCAGCATCTATGCGAATTTATTGGAACAAAAGAAAACGTTTGGATAAGAAAAGAGTTCAACTCCCACAGGACTGGTTTGGGACACCATCATGGCCGTCGTTTTATTGTTTTGGGACTCCAATATGGCCGCCGTGACGTCATGTGAATACACTCTATTGCTTCTTTTACTTTCTCGTCGCCGTCGCCGTCGCCGTCGCCGTCGTCGTTGCTAAAGTTCCCTATAGTTTTCTGTACGCCAATGTGGTCGACGTGACGCCACGTGAAACCGTTCTATATTCTGTGTTGAAGGCGTTGTTGGTTTTATTTCTATTATTTTTCTCATCTTCGCTGCATAGTTGTTAAGCACAGCTGATGAAGTGGAGAAATTACAGGAAGAATTGGAGTCCATGCAGCCTTTACTAGCTCAGGCAGCCGAAGAAACCGTCGAGACCATGGAGAAAATCAAAGTTGACTCGGTAAGATACATCTAATATAGTTTCAATGACGTTGTCGTACAAAAATGAAAAAAGAAAAAAGCCAAATAGGAATTAATTAGGCTAATAAGCTTAATTCGCCACTTGCACATTTCCCATGATGCACCTTATTTGCCCCCCAAAATTCTGCATAAGCATTGTTTTCAAGTTCTCTTGGGTCGGCTGTAACACCAGGAGAAGTGAAAAACAAAGGTTATTCAAAATTTGGGGGATAAGGTGTGTTATGGGAGATGTGCAATTGCAAAATGAATTCATTTGCATTATCTCCTCGTGGACGTCGCATTTGCCTGTTGGAATTTGCTGTTGTTTTAAAGCTGAAAAACAATAAAAAAAATTGGAGCGGAGAAATGCAACAGCTGCAAATGAATCCACCGTGAGAATGTGGCTTAATTAGCCTAATTAATTCCTATTTGCGTTTTTCCTTTGTTCATTTTTCTACGACAACGTTATAGAAATAGAGCACATTCGATATATTAAAATTCTAAAGTGACCCTAAGGCTTTGTGGTCATTTTTCTATATTTGGTTTGGTTTTCTTTGTGCTTAAGTCTCCTCTGGGAATTGCGAGACAATGGAGTCTTGAAAAATTTGCAATTTTGACCCTAAAGTCTCGGAGTCATGATAGAATTTTTGTATATCGAACGTAGGCTATTGACCACTCCAGAAAATACCGTAACATACCATAATGCTCTTTGATTGTCACCCCAAAATTTTGCATAAGCATTGTTTTCAGTTTCTTTGGGGCCATTTTAACTCCCTAGAGAAACTGACGACAATTCTTATGCAAAATGTGGGGGTGACAAACAAAGAGCATTATGGTATGTTATGGTATTTTCTGGAGTGGTCAATTAGGTGTGTATCATTTGTTTTACAATGGCCCTATTCAGTCTTCTGTGATCTAATAACCAGGGCGGAGTCAATGGAAGCATGTAAACAGAGTGTATGCTTTTCTATGGTAGCTCACGTTGTTTCCATGTTTATCATGGTTAGGTGGTTGCCAATGAGACCAAAGTTGTTGTACAACGAGAGGAAGAAGAGGCTGGTAAGAAAGCCGCTGAGACCCAGGCCATCGCGGACGATGCTCAGAGAGATTTGGACGAGGCCCTTCCAGCATTGGTGCGGCATTATTCATCATATTTTCATTATTTCATTAATTAGACTGCAAAACAGTCGATTTTTCAAGGCGCCCGCGTGAGATTTTTGCGCGAACGAGCGTGTGAGGCGAAAGAAAAGAAAAACTTTTCGCGTCTCTTTCCAGACTCACTCTTTGTTTTAACCCTCGCTCCTCCCTCTCCTCAGTACTTTTGTTTGACCGCTCCCGCGTTCTTGCACTACGAAAAAATACGGGCTGTTTTGTAGTCTATTCATTTTTTTAGGAGATTGAAAGTATAAGGCCACGATCATAACTTTCGCAGTGTCATTTGGGAAAATCGGTCAAAAGCTATTGATTGTGGTTTGCTTACCCCTTGGAGATTAATTGTCTTTCTCTTGTTGTTGAGGGGTTATTTTGTGCGCCAGTCAGTGAATCTATATAATGGTTGCACAGTTTACAAGAAAACTTGGGAAAATTCCCTTGATAATACCTTTTTAAGCAGAAAGACCCGAGCAATCTCCAGAACTTATTCACTTATCCTTTTCCGTGTGTTATTCCATGTTGGATTTATTATATTTATAGGAAGCTGCCTTAACAAGTCTTAAGTCCTTGAACAAAACAGATGTGGTTGAGGTGAGGAAAAAAGGCAGATAATCATCTGTCACAAAATTGTATTTGTTAAGTGACAATTTGGTATCTTTACCACGGATTAACGACGTTTAAAAGCTGCATACAGCAGAAGAGTGACTTCTTGGTTTTTTTATTTAAATGGTTATACCATAGTTAATAGCGTGGAATGGTTAGAAGCCCGTCAGACTTCCTGTGATATGTTTTTGTGGACTTGAAGGTGCCCAACGTTCAATAGCATTTCTGTCATTCCTGATCTTACTAAGGGACGAATCATTAGAAAACTTATGAGGGGGCGGCCGAATTTAAAAAACACGCCCAAGAGAAAATGAAATGAAAAAAAGTTCATGCACGTTAAGTGACCCTGAAAAATATTCATATGCTGGCCTAACAAAATTCATACAAGCGAAGCGTTAACGGAAAAAAAAATTCATGCGGCTCTGCTTCCCCCGACCCCCTAGAACGTTTCTTAATAGCCCGTCCTTAAGAAATATAGACATCGCTTTAATTTATCCCTTCACAATTAGTGAACAAGAGACTAAAGATTGTGTACCGTCAGGGAACTTCCAACACAAACTGCAGCACTGTTTTTGTTTTTCTCTGATGTTTTCCGCCTTTCATATCCAGTCTTACAGTTGTGTCAGTCGACTCAGAATTTCACTGACTCTGGAGCTAGGTTATTAGAGTCCTTTAGATTCTAGTACGAAGACGACAACGAGAGCGAAGTTTTCTCAACACTAAGTTGTGCGCGCGCGTGAACCAGCGTCATTTTAGCGGGAAAACGTGACAGCCGTCGTCATTCTACTACGAGTTTTAGCGAGAAGGTAGTAGTGGCGAAAGGAGGTTATCAATTTTTAGAATGTTTTTCATTTTGCCATCGGAAGAGGGCTTAACCTTCTTCAATAAAGATAACAATGCTAACTTTTCTGTTGAAAAAAGGTACAGTGAAGCTCAGTTCCGGGGTGTCAGCTTCTTTTTTTTTACAATACGCGAAAAAACTTTAAGTTAAGTCTCGTCCTCGAATCTAAAGGTCTCTATTGAGTGTATTTTGTGTTTGCCTTCGTAACAGGTTCGAGCCCTTCAGCGTCCTCCTCCCGGAGTAAAGCTGGTGATTGAAGCTGTCAGTATCATGAAAGGCGTCAAAGCGAAGAAGGTTGCTGGAGAGAAGGTATGCAAAATAAGAACGCTACTTGAACAATAGCTCAAGTAGGGTGTTTTAGTCACTTGTTGACTTGCACTGCTCGTAAATGTAGTCCAACAAGTACCTTATAATAAGACAGACGCCGTCCTAATAAGCGCCCTATGTCCCTTCAGTTATTATTTGACTCTCTCTAAGACAGCACTTGGTGTCGCCATAGACAGAGTTGCTCTTTGTTCCACAGCCATTTGCCTTTCAATAATAGATTTGCCTTTCCAGATGCCATTGAACCTATTTATAATGACGCTACTACGGATTACTGAAATACTCAGTGGGCGAGGTCAGATGTCAATTTTTTTTGGTCGTCATTGTTTTAAACACTTTTTCAAATAACAAACTTTCGGCCGAATTATACAGGTTCCACTGTAAGTCTGTTATCAAACACTTGATGACTTGTTTCGAGAATGTCGAGGTCAGAATCTCAATCCCGAGGTGAATCTAAGGGAAACATTGAGATTCTATAAAACAATTTTAACTTTTTTCCGAAGGAGCAGTCATGAAAAGATTTGTTGTCTAGCCCACGCAGAAAAACGTCTGCTTGTCAAATTTATGTTGACCTCACCAAGCGGTTCAAAGTCTGTGGTAAAGTACACTGTTACCCCATGATGTCGCAGATTTTGCAACATTATCTACTCAGAAACGTTTGGCGGGAAACAGTTTGTCATGTGGCCTCGAAGTAACCAATGAGAGCTACTATAAAACAATATGTGTTACAATTCGTGTAGGTTGGTACCAAGGTGGATGACTATTGGGAGCCTGGAAAAGCTCTGTTACAGGATCCTGGCAAGTTCCTTGAAGGCCTCTTCAAGTATGACAAGGTGAAGTGTCATTGATTTTCTTCCGACCATGCCTTTCAGAAATTCCTTGCAGAATAAATGGTGTAATATTTTTTTCAAATCTCTTATTGAATCACATTTAGGATAATATTCCTGACACCGTTATTCAGAAAATCCAACCGTACATTGAAAACGAAGATTTCCAGCCTGCTGCAATAGCCAAGGTAAATATTTGTCCACTTATGCAAGGGATCTTGTAATTAAGACACAAACGTTTTCGCCAGCTTAGACCCTGAGATCTTTGAGACACTTGCCATCGCATCTTTTTACAATCGCGAAAAACGCCAAATGAAAGAGCTGCGAACTACGTACTAATAAAGTAAATCAGAATCATATTCAACATGGAACCCAAACATTTAGTAAGGAGTTTTAGAGTGTTTTACTTGTAACGGTAGCGGAAAGGATAAATCCATCATAAGGAAATTCCTCCTAAAGATTGCTTAACTTTGATTAGCATTTCCATCGGCCTGAAACCCTTGGACACCTGATGAAGTTTACACCACGTAGTATTTCTTATTGCTTTGGTTTCCCCTGCACTGTAGATCGGGTATTAAGTGTGGAAGCGATATGGAATAATATGTTGTGTAAACCTGTGCAAGGGGTTTTAAGGCCGATGGGATCTAATACTTTTTTAACGCCATCGTTATAACGTTTTTCGCGACAATACTTTCACTTCATGTAAGACTTAAAGGATAGATTAAAGTAATTTCAAATAACGATTTTCGTAATTATGTATAGGTACCCCTTGTAACCCCCTGTAACCCTCTGTAACCCCCTATAACCCCTTGTAACCTCATGTTACCCATTGTAACCCTTTGTTACCCCCTGTAACCTCTTGTAACCCCCTGTAACCCCTTGTAACCCCATGTTACCCATTGTAACCCCCTGTAACCCCTTGTAACCCCCTGTAACCGCTTGTAACCCTCTGTAACCCTTTGTAACCCCCTGTAACCCTTTGTAACCCCCTGTAACCCCCTATAACCCCTTGTAACCCCCTGTAACCCCTTGTAACCCCCTGTTACCCCTTGTAACCCCCTGTGACCCCTGTAACCCCCTCTAAACCCTTGTAACCCCCTCTAAAACCTTGTAACCCCCTGTATATTCCTGTAACCCCCTCTAACCTCTTGTAACCCCCTGAAACCCCTTGGAACCCCCTGTAACCCTCTGTAACCCCCTGTAACCCCCTGTAACCCTTTCTAACCCCTGTAACCTCTTGTAACCCCTGTAACCCCTTGTAATCCCATGTTACCCATTGTAACTTCCTGTAACCCCTTCTAACCCCTTCTAACCCCCTGTAACCCTTTATAACTCTTTCTAGCCTCTTGTAACCCCTTGTAACCCCATGTTACCCCTTGTAACCCCCTGTCACCCCTTGTAACCCCATGTAAACCCTTGTAACCCCCTGTAACCCCTTGTAACCTCTTGTAACCTTCTGTCACCCCCTGTAACCCCTTGTAACCTCTTGTAACATTCTATAACCCCCTGCAACGCCATATTACCCCTTGTAACCCCCTGTAACCCTTTGTTACTGTAAGCCTTTGTAACCCCTTGTACCACTTGTAACCCTTTGTAACCCCCCGTATACTCTTGTAACCCCCTGTAACCCCTTGCAACCCCCTGTGACCCCTTGTAGCCCCCTGTAACCCTTTGTAACCCCCTGTAACAACTTGTAACCCGCTGTAACCTCTTTTACCCCCTGTAACCTCTTGTAACCCCTTGTAACCCTCTGTAACCCTTTGTAACCCGCTGTAACCTCTTGTAACCCCCTGTAACCCTTTGTAACCCCCTGTAACCTCTTGTAACCCCCTGCAACCCCATGTTACCCCCTGTAACCCCTTGTAACCCCCTGTGACCCCTTGTAAACCCCTGTAACCTCTTGTAACCCCGTGTTACTTATTATAACCTCCAGTAACCCCCTGTAACCCTTTGTCACCCCCTGTAACCCCTTGTAACCCCCTGTAACCTCTTGTAACCCCTTGTAATCCCATGTTACCCATTGTAACCCCTTGTAACCCTGTATAACCCTTTGTAACCCCTTGTAACCTCATGTAACCCCTTGTAGCCCCCTGTGTCCCCTTGTAACCTCTGTAACCCTTTTTCACCCCCTGTAACCTCTTGTAACCCCCTGTAACCCCTTGTAATCCCATGTTACCCATTGTAACCCCCTGTAACTCTTTGTAACCGCCTGTAACCTCTTGTAACCCCTTGTAATCTCATGTTACCCTTTGTAACCCCTTGTAACCTCTTGTAACCCCCTGTAACCCCTTGTAACCCCCTGTTACCCCTTGTAACCCCCTGTGAACCCTTGTAGCCCCCTGTAACCCCTTGTAACCCCCTCTAACCTCTTGTAGCCTTCTGTCACCCCCTGTAACCCCTTGTAACCCCCTGTAACCCCTTGCAATCCCCTGTAACCTCTTGTAACCTTCTCTAACCCCTTGTAACCCCTTGGAACCCCCTGTAACCCTTTGTAACCCCTTGTAACCCCCTGTAACCCCTGTAACCTCTTGTCACCCCCTGTAACCCCTTGTAATCCCATGTTATCCATTGTAACCCCCTGCAACCCCTTGTAACCCCATGTAACCCCCTGTAACCCCCTGTAACCTCTTGTAACCTTCTGTCACCCCCTGTAACCCCTTGTTACCCCCTGTAACCTTCTGTAACCCCCTGCAACCCCTGGTAACCCGATGTTACCCATTCTAACCCCCTGTAACCTTTTGCAACCCTTTGTAAGCCTTTGTAACCCCTTGTAACCTCTTGTAACCCCCTTTAACTCCTTGTAACCCCATGTAACCCCTTGTAACTCCCTGTAACCTCTTTTATCCCCCTATAACCCCTTGTAACTCTCTGTAACCTCTTGTAACCTTTTTTAACCCCTTGTAACCCCCTATAACTCCTTGTACCCCATGTAACCCTTTTTAACCCCCTGTTACCCCATGTAACCCTTTTTAACCCCCTGTTACCCCCCTAACCCCCTGTAACCCTTTGTAACCTCTCGTAACCCCCTGTAACCACTTGTAACCCTCTGTAACCCTTTGTAACGCCATGTAACCTCTTGTTACCCCCTGTGACCCCTTGTAACACTATGTTTCCCCTGTTAACCCCCTGTAACCCTTTGTAACCCTTTGTAACCTCTTGTAACCCCCTGTGACCCCTTGTAACCCCATGTTACTTATTGTAACCCTGTGTAACCGCTAGCAACCCCCTGTAACCCCTTGTTACCCTCTGTAACCCTTTGTAACCTCTTGTAACCCCTGGTAACCCCTGTAACCCCATGTAACCTTTTTTAACCCCTGTAACCCCTTGTAACTCCCGGTAACCCCTTAATAGGTTAGCAGTCTCATTTGAGATTGCGGATTATTTTTGTTAGATCTTAGATAAGTTATTATTTTTTTGTGCATTGGTAAATGTAGGGCCACCCTGCGTAAATGTATGAGAGCACATGCTCTCTATCGTAATTGTTTAACTTGTATTTGCTTTCATTTCAGGTCTCCAAAGCTTGTACATCTATATGTCAATGGGTGCGAGCCATGCACAAATATCACTTTGTGGCCAAAGCCGTTGCTCCTAAGCGGGTGAGTGGGAATTCTCCCCACTGTTTCCTTAACGGCCTTTGTAATATTAGTTAATGGGGATGTTGCAGTCAATTTTTTTTATTTCAGTTAATTTTTTTTTCTTTGTTTTAAGTTCATTAGCATACATTACCACACCGAAAAAGAAAGGAAAAACAAAACTTAACTGAAATAACAAATTAACTGCAACAGATATTTACGGTTTTGAAAAGGATGTGAGCTTTACTGGGTACAACCCTACGCAGTGGGGATGGGCATGAACTGAACTCATAGATCCTATGCAAGGTGCCCTCCCCTCCCTATCCATTTCTAGAGCCCATAACTGACAGATAGGCACCAGGGTTAGGACTGGGAATAAGATCAGAGAATTGCCAGGAGACGGGGCTTCTGATGTTTTTTCTTATCCGAGAAGACTGTAGTGTCCAACCATTTGTAACTGAAAACAAAGACAAAACATTCTACTCTGTTAAATAAGAGCCTGAGTGTTGATCTGGCCGGGTGTTACAGTGATATGGGCATCTCCGCGTTTTGGGCATCCCTATTCCCAAAACCCTAGTGATATGGGTACTCCCCTCTCATATTACCTTAGCGATTTGGGTTACGGTTAGGGTTACAGGGGATGCCCATATCACTAGGGTTTTGGGAATGGGCATGCCCACATCATTGTTACACCGGAAATCACGTACCCAGTCTACCTCTTCGAAATCTGGTACCCAAGAGTCCCAGGAGTGACAAACAACATGTTTCTCATAACATCATCAGTGCACAATCAACAGAAAAGGTTAGGAGAGTAAATGAAATGATCACCAAATGGAAAATGCTTTGATCTTTTATCAAATTCTCTTAACTAATTCTGTAAGGATATGGATAGAGATCAGTCGGGAGAATTTGTGTGCGGATGTTGGGGCTTAAGGGGTTAACAGCTTAAAATCGCAAAGTTTTTCTTTCGAATCGCTTGCGCTTAAGGTCTTAATATTTCTTCTTTTCGATTTGCAGGCGGCCTTAAAACAAGCCACCGAAGAACTTCAAGAAACCCAGAGGGTTCTGGCGGAGGCTAAGGCACGGCTTGCTGAAGTGGAGGAAGGAATCGCGTCGCTACAGGCCAAGTACGAGGAATGTATCGCTAAGAAACAAGAACTGGAATTTAAAACTGAACAGTGTAGTGCAAGACTTGGCCGAGCAGAAAAGGTAAATTTAATAGACGATATTCGTATTCCCCGACGGCCCTGGGACGAGAGACTTCACAGCATGATTGCGAGGCTAAAGCGGGGAATTTTTTTAGCAAAAACACAAACAAACATTGGGTAGTTGCGGCTGAATCGCTTCAAAACGATAGAAATCATCAAAAAAACTGCAAGATTTAAAAGCTGAAACCTTACGGGCAAGCTAAAGGGATATCCGGTTCAAAAAGCAAAACTGTGGGAAGAGCTGGTCGTACTAACAGGAAAAGTTAAAAAGCCACAAAGCCAAAAGAAGAAACAAGAAGTAATCAAGAAAATGGTATATTGTGTCAAAATGTCAATACTCGAACCCTTTTTACAAAATTTTATTCTTATTATTATTCTTTTTCTCTTTTGTGTATCTGTGGTGTGGAGTTTAAACTGCTCAGTATTATCGTCTGTACCAAACTCTGTGTTCAACTGCGTGCACGTTTTTGTACTCTCGCACAGTTGTTATCGAAGATAATGTAACTTAAATTTAAAAATTAACTTTACCTAGTCATCTTTGTTCAAACCGGTTTAACTTCCTTAAAATGCACATGGACTGTGTGCAGAACGCTAAGCCCCGTCCAGATAAGTAATTATCCACTGAATAAGTCGTTTGCTCTACTTCAAATACTCATTCAAGATTTTGCATCCGCTCTGTTAGAAAATTTCAACTGTAAAGTAGGTGTGATAACATCACCGTTAACTTTATCGCAGGCTTTCGATAATTACGTCCATTTCAATAAAAGATATTCAAAAAGTTTAAAGGACACTGAAAATTACAATTAAAATGGCTTCGGGATTTTAAGAACATCTCAGTCTGTTTATATTAAATTATAAACTCGCTCATCAAGCACTCATCTCATCAATATAATTATGGTTAGGATCGCTGTTTTTCTTACTAATAATGAGCAGATCTTCCTTTTGTTGTTTGAAATAATGATCTCTTTAGTGTGTAAGCCCTTCGGAACTTTACAATGTTAAAAATGTTGCTTAAATTCGGCAAACTCAGCCTCAGTTTTTTCATATTTGTTTGTCCTCTTGGCGAGAAGGTCCCCGCATGAGCCTCGCATTCATGATCAAGGCCTGCTCGTCCCAGGACTGTCGGAGAATACGAATACTGTCTATTGAGGCTTACGCATAACATGCACTTCCATCCACCATTGAATGGAAGCAGTCTCGGCATTTTTACTTTGCCATTAGCCTCGCGCGAAGTGCAGAAAGCGTGGATTTCCACATGCGAAGCGCAGGGGACTCGCATGAACTTTCTTTTTAACAGCGAGCTCATTCCTTTCAGCAGAGCAAAAATACAATTTGTGTAGTCTAAGGAAAAGTGTATCCCTCGTGTTGAAAGATCCTTGCTCCATTTTCGGACCCGAACGCCTTTGCTTTGAGTGCCACAAAAATTCGAACGTGTGCAGTTCATTTGTCGTACATAAAAGCTCACAGTTCGTCTAATTTATTTTTCTGTGTAGTTGATTGGAGGTCTCAGTGACGAGAAAGTCCGCTGGCATGAGTCGGTGCAGGCGTTTGACGGCCAGATTGTAAATATTGTTGGTGACGTCATGATTTCATCAGGAGTCATTGCTTACCTGGGAACATTTACGGTGAGTCCATTATAGTTTACCCATTGCACGCCTTGGAATCCCTGTGGTTCGACAATCACCTCCTTCACTTTAATTTTGCAACTGAATAGTCTCTGTAGCTGGCGGGATTGTTAAGCACGGGGTACTTTGTTTGCTCCGCTGCCAAAAAACAAAAGCACTTGCCCGCCAATGGCGCTAGCTATAGTCTTTCTCGCAGCCGTTTTTGTCTCGTGACGCGGCGCTCCTCCCCAACAAAAGTTTCTTGGGGAAGAGCGTTTCGCAACCAGTCAAAAACGGTCGCGAGGGAGACCACGCCAGCTATGCAGACTGGCAACTGAACGAAAAATAAATAGTACCATAGGGAGGAAATCGTACGTAAATTTCGGTGATTTTCTTATAAATCACGAATTTATTGAAAGGCAAACCTACTTCGATATTTGATAATAATAATTAATAATAATGGTATTAATAACATTTGATAATGATGATGATGATGATGATGATGATGATGATAATACTGATAATAATAATTTTATTCCACTTTAAAAAAATATTTACATAATTTACAGAAATATTTGAAGTAAGAATTAAGCACTAAATAACATTAAGAATTATATAAATCACAAAAAATGCAATCACTATGTCAATAACGATTTCCCAAATACATTCCATGCGGCTCAGATGCGATCAGAAACTCTTGCAGGCGGCCCAGAGTTTTAAATCAAGTCATTGCAAAATAGAATCATCCGTCTCTGATATTAAAAAGAAACAAGTTTAAAAGAATAAAATCTCGTATTCCTAAATTCCTAATTCTTTAAAAAAGTTCTTTAAAAAATTAATTATTTCGGGCAGGCTCTAGTAATACTGATATTAATAATAATAATAATAATAATAATAATAATAATAATAATAATAATAATATCTCCCCTGAACAATGTTTTGCAATCCTCAGTTGTAATCAAAATAAATAGTAAGAATAATAAAGTTAGACCTGCTTCAGAAATATTATTTGGTAGCATCTTGTACTAATTTTATCTTTTGAAAAGTATGATTGTAATGCCTGATAGTTTTCACGTTTATGTAAACGGGCATCCAAAACTTTGTCGACGTTCTCAGTGCTCAGGGTATATCGCATTTACTCGAAGCACCGAATAAAAGTCTAACTTTATTTTGAAAGATAACTGAGATCGATGCAAGAATTGGTGTCTTAATTGTTCTTGACATGGCAGGAAATGAGTTTTTAAAGGCTAAATCTCGGCCCCCGCTCTTGAAAAATTCTCAGAAGTAATATATGGCTCTCAACAACCGAGTTTTAGGTCCGTACGGGGACTTAATTTATGGCTAAAAGACAAAGCTTGAAATCAGCGGACAAAAACGAGGATCTTTAACGTACAGTCCCGGGCGCTTGCAAAACAAAATTTCCAATTTTAGCGAGCCGTGCAGCAGTAGACCAATCACAGTACTCTTACTAACTGAGTCTAATTCTTGACATATTATCTTGTTTGCCGGAGTTAACTCTGATTCAAATTGACCAGCTGGTTGGTTCTTAAACTCTGACATGTAATCAAAATATCACTAATTTCAAGCTTATGATTCCTTGAATAAAAGATGCTTATGTAATCAAAGGAAATTTAGCAGAGTACCCCTAACTTTAGCACTTTAATAGGCTGAGAACAGCTCCTGAATTGTTCTTAAAAGTAATATTTATTTACCAAGGGACCTTTTAATTTTTTTTTTCGATTTTTATCTCTAGTCTTTTTGTGCCATTTTCAATTGCATGATTTCTTTTGAGTTTTGGTCATTTCAAGTTCATGACTTGTGCTTTTAGAGTAAAAAGAGATACGAAAGAGATATCCGCTGTTAATCCTCATTCACTGCAGTAAATTATGTTCAATTAAGCAGTGTTCAACCAAGGACAATCAGTTACAGGAAGCCAAAAGATTGATTGTTACACAGGGTTTAAGAAAAGCTTAAACTTGTGCTCCTTAATATGCTGATTGTGTAGCTGAAACAAAAAGAAAAACAAAGACAGTTTTTACGTGTGAACTGAACAGCTTTTAAATGTGTTTTGGCTTTTTAGAGTGAAAAGAGATACAATAGACGAACCGCTGTTAATCCACATTCTCTCCAATAAATGTTCAATTAAACCATATAATTTACAGGAAGCCGAAAAAATGGAATTTGACATAGGGTTCAAATAAATCTTAAAAAGTGCTTTTTTATGATAAATTTGTCGTTGAAACAAAAAGAAAACATTAGCTAGCTTTTTTGCGTGAAAAGTACAGCTCTCGTGTTCTAGCTTTGTAGAGTGAAAAGAGATTCAATAGACAAATCGGATGTTAATCCGCAGTCACTCCACTAAATTATGTGCAATTAAACCAAGTTTAACAAAACGATAATCATTGACAAGAACATGAAAGATTGATTGTTACATAAGTAAAGCTTAAAAAGTGCTTTTTATTATGCTAAATTTGTGGTTGAAACAAAAAAAGAAAGCCATATGGTAGGTTTCAATCTTTGTCTACCTTTGATTCACGTGCACTACGGTTATTATTTGCAAGTATGCACGTGTTTAGCTGCCTTATTTACCGGTAAATAAAATCACATATCGACAGCGCGATCCAGCTCGTTTTATCAGATTTATGGAAATCAATAAACAGTTAATGATGTGAAATGCTTACTGAAGGCAAACATGGCTAATAAAGAGAGGAAATCACGCTTCGACGGAAACATAATTAAGTTGAAACTGAGATTGTGGGAGCAAAAATAGACGGGAGACATTTGTATGAAGACCAGTTTTGAAGGTCTTACGTAAAAAACGTCACTGTCAATACCAATCAATTACTCTTTCGCTCTCTTTTTTTCTTGAAGCTTTCCATAGTTTTGAGTAACGACTGATCATCGCTTGTCAAATTCCAGTTTACCAATGTCGTTTTTGAAAGGCAAATTCCTGCTGATCTCTTGAGCTTTTAAAGGATTTTTTAAGACTTTCTCTGCGTCTTCCCTTACTTGCTATTTAAACACATGAATTTGAATTCAATTTTAAATCGTGACGATTTAGTCGAAAGCTTTTAGAGCCGTTCAAAAGGTTTACTTTCCTGCGGCATTTTTATTGAAGCAACTGTTTTGAAGCGCAATTACGAGCTCTTTACATGGCCACTATTGAAATTACAATGGTATAAACAAAGGTAAAAAAAAAAAAAAAAGAAAAAAATAGCTGTCATGTTCCATATTGTTATTAGCTCATCGGATCATCTTCCATATTAAATCCTTTGCGAAAGAACAATTTTTTGCACTTAATATTAATAACACTTCTATCCCTTATCAGTAAAAGACATTGGAAAATTATGTACTTTAGCTTCTTAAGATTAAATATTACAGGACGACCGGTCAAATGAAACCTTTTCAGTATAGATATTCCGCGATATAATGTAGTTTTCTGAATTCTTGAAGTTGAAATTTAAAAATTTTCTTGAAAGGGTGTTAGAGGGGTTCATGTGGTGTTGTTACTACTCACAATCTTTTTGATTACGCGCGGAAATGACTTGCTGTCTCTTGTTTTAACTGGCTCTCCCACTGTTCAACAAATCAAGATAGTTATCTCTTTACATTACTTGTCATTAATCACTTTTACCAAAATTTACGCACACATTTGTTAGAAGGGGCTTAAAAAACTGACTAGCTTGGAAATTGTGGATGCAGCTTGAAAGCGTCAACTTCTGCAACTTATGAGAGTCAGGTTTTTACAAGAACTGTGCGGTAAATCTCGAAAGGCATCGAAGCCATATTATTTATAGTTTGGTGGTGAGGTTATTAAATCAGCTTTTTATGTTTGCCGTCAGCTATAAATATTGTCATTCAACCACAAAATGGTCGTCTTTAACGGACTGAAGAACGAAAATGGATCCTAAAGAGGTTAAGTTTTTTCTTGAACATTGCTCGAGTTGCAAACTGTTGATATAAATGACAGTCTTTCTTCATGCCCTTCTATTCAAAACAGAGATAAAATTGAGTATCCGGCTTTCAATTCAGGTTCCATTTCCGAAGAAGTGAATACGCAAATATGAAGTTCGTCATTATTTATAGTGTAAAAAAAGCAATTGACGTGTACCAATTGGACGTTGGTTCAAATCCCACGGCAGGTGGTACGGTTCACTCCGAAACGCGGCTTGATTTCTCTATAAAAATCCTTAGCTGTCATACTGTAACCGGCTTTGTCATCAATAGTTACGCCTAAGGTTCAGGAAACAACGAAATTTGCGTTCGAAACTCAAACGCGTGGCAATTTGCCAAACCGTCAAGTTTTCCAAACTTTCACGTCGTTCAAGTGATAAATACCCCAAACAACTGCACCTGTCACCTTGCGATCCCTGGGGGAAGGACTAACACACTTTTTACACTGAGCTTGATTCGATTGGAGCAAGATCTATATTTTAAGCAGGAGGTGTCAAACTTAATAACAGTTGTGCGGAACAGATTGCTCAGCTTCTCACGGCGAACGCACAAATCATGACATTGTCCCACAAGACTGAGTTCGTTGCCTTTTGACGGGTGAGATGGCGTAACCGATCTAGTTTTTAACGTTGAAACAAACAAAAAAAAGATTATTGACGTTCCCCGTTTTGAAACCGGCAGGCGTTTTGCGAATGGGAGCAGATTATCGCCAGAACGATGATTTCCACTGAAAATTCGTGCGCTGACGTAAGCGCCCCAAAGGCGCTATCCTTTACAACGGCAATTTTGTCTCTGCTTTTCGCATTCGTTACAGTTCCAGGGAATTTCCTGGTTTGTCTTGCGGTGTTCAAAGATCCGTACAAACGCCTCAAGACGCCGTTTACCTTCTTTGTGGTGAATCTGGCCATTACAGATCTCATCGTTGGCATGGTAACAGAGCCCATCTCCGTGGTGCTTCATTTTCGCGAAGGACTTTCTCTACCGATCGGTGATTATGTCGCTATAATTCACATGTCGTACTTTATATCGTGTACTGCCTCGGTGTTGAGCCTCGCCGCTTTGACTGCGGATCGCTTCACGGCAATCAGCTATCCTCTACAGTACAGAGCGAGGCTCACCTCGCGGCGAGCATTTATGATAGTAGGTCTGATTTGGTTTGTTTCTCTCACCCTGCCCTTTGTTTACTTTAAAGTTGGATATTTGGTTTACGCCTTTGTGTTCGCAAACTCAGCAATAGCGCTGACTTTTGTTATTTTCCTCTTCACATACATTCGTGTTTTGCGGGGCGTAAGAAGGCAGGTTTTGGACTGGGAGAGACTACGGGAAAGCTCTCAAACCGAAGAGAACCGAGCGCAGCTTAGAGCTGCTGCGTTTGAGAAGAACATCACTCAGGCCTTTATGGTGATGCTTGGCTTATTTCTGTGCTGTTACACGCCATCTTGTGTGATGATTTACATCATGAATCTATGTTATTCTTGTAGCTGTTTCGCCATCCATGTTCTCAGAGATCTCCAGTTTGTATTTGTGTTGTGTTCGTCTGCGTTGAATCCCTTCCTTTACGCTTGGCGGTTACCGAACTTTCGCAAAGCGTTTGTGAGGATTTTGCGGTGGCGCAGGGTCAACGAGGTCATAGTACCCACCAGTGGGCAAGAAAGCGGGCGAATTAACAAAAGAGCCGTTGAATCGGCTTGAATAAAAGTGTATTTACTTTTGCACAGTGCCAAGGCTAAGAAGGGAAATATTGTTACTTTTTTGTTCTTTGCGAACTGTATTTGACAGAACTTCGTCAGAGAGAAAATTTCTTTTTTTAGTCAGTGATGTAACAGTACAAAATAAAACCTACGCCATGTGTTTCACTCAATCAGATTAGCAATGCATTCAGTCAATCTGACGACTGTCCAAACAGATAAGAATTTCCTTGTTTTAGTCGTGAACCTTTGATCTTGGCATGCGGCGATCCATTCCTTAGCCTGGGAGAGAGAAGCGACGACCGGAAATGCGTCTGCTGTTCGCAGGCTATCCATTCCTGTAACGACATTTTTATATGTTTCGTAGACTCGAGATTGTGTTTGTGTACTAAGTAAACCTGTAAATTCATGTACATTTGATTCTGACTTGACGCGATCCATTCTTGTAACATTTTTGTAGCTTCGTATACTAGAAATATAAGGTGCTTTCTTCCCTGTTTGTACAATTTTTAAGACGACGTATTGTCTAATTTTGAATTATATTGTGAAAAGTACGTACTTGTAAGGAGTTTTAAGTTAGCGGTTTAATTACACCCAAAATTTAATCGCTTTCACTCATAAAACGAAGGACTCTGACCAAAGAGATTTCAGTATAGGGTGCCACAAACTGATTTTGTTGTTGTAGTAAAATAATGCAGTGGAGAGCTAGGCAAATAGCAAGTTTGAAATCTAAAGAGAATAATAAATTCAACTTTTAACGAGTCATTTCCTTTGAACGAAGACGTGTCAGAATTACAGACATTCGTATTTACACACGTTCCTCAGAACGTCGTTAAATGTCGCCAGTGCAAAATGCATTATTTACCGAAGTTTTCTCTTTTTTCTGAACTCTTGCCTTGACCAACATCTTTCAATTTGTATTTGTTTTTGGTTAGCTTAGAATGATACTTTGTACACAATAACGCCAGGATAGTTTGCCTTTTTATAATTGACTCTAAACCGTACAACAAACAGAAAAGAAACCGCAGATTTTCATATAATTATGTTAATAAATTCATGAAAGTTCCGCTCTCTGTTTCATGCAGTGAAGGGTATACATCTTACAATAATTACAAAATCTAAAGCGAGCATTAAATTGCACGTTCAACGTGCCATTTGCTTTCAGTGAATACTCGTCAACTTAACAGACGTTTGTATCACACATACCTCGAAACGTCTTAAAATGTCATGAATATTTTTTGTTTTCCTTCTAACCCTGTCTTAACTAACTTTCACTCACTGTTTTTTTCGGTCTAACTTTGCATAATACTTTGTTTATCTCGTGCATTTGAGGCCGGAGTAAAAAAGATGCGACAAAGATAGGACGTTTGCACGATAGCGTCATTTTTCTACTACGACCAGAATCGTGTTCGTTTTTCCTTTCATATTTTAATTTGGTAATCCCAGTGTGGTTTCGATAACAAAAGCCCTAATTTGCACAAGAAAGCAAAACCCTGAAGGATTCTAGTCCTTCTAGTCAACTGACTTCATCGTCTTGCAAATCGCCTATTAGTCTTTTCGAAACTTCATTGAACAATACTATAATGTTCACAGCCTTTTAAGTCTCTCGACGCCAGCTGGTAAGGATCGGTAAGAAGGTGATATTGCAAATATCTTAGCTCTGCGTCCTGCGTCCCTGACGCATAAAAATCCCCAATGACGCAAAATAATTCATGACATGCGTCCCGTAGGACGCAAAGATCGATCGATCGATCGATCTGAGCATGTGTATTTGTAGAAATATTCCGTTCGTGTAATTTCTGTGGTGGTTATTATGGCTGTTGTTTAACGATGCATATTTCTTTTACCCTTTGTTGTGCTTTAAAATAGAGGGACTATGTTTTACTTTCAGTATACTGTAATGCAGAGTTTTGGCAAGAGAGGATAAAGGCCCTTTATCCTCTCTTGGTTTTCAGGGGAACCCAACGAGAATATAGTTGAAAACCACTTAAACATGGCATTGTTGAACGTATTTCAGTATTTAAACGGTAGATATAGGCATATTTTTATCGCCTAAAAATTTTTTATCTGTTCGGATTTTCTAGCTGAAAGTCAAGTGATCCGAAAATTATAGGGATCAAAACTTACCTTTTCGAAAATTTCAGCCAGAAAAAAAGGCTCCCGAAAATTCTAGGGGACATTTTTAAGGTAAAAATCTGTTAGATGTTCGAAAATCCTAGGAGAGGCAGGCAAGCAATTAATTTTACAACAAATGTTCCGAAAATTCCAGATCTCAAATTGTCTTCCGAACAGATATTTTCTAAAAATTGACGTTGGGTGCCCTTGGGTTTTGGAGTCTGTCTTCAGATTAATTGTCTGGTTACATAAAGGCCCAAGCATTTTCAATTTCGGACTCGTAATTTTTTAACTGGGACTCATTGGTTCTGGACAGGGACACATGATTTTTTACTAGATGAGTCCAAGGACTTACTAACTATTTGTAACAAAATCACTGGGGGTACCGCCCGCACCCCATCACGCTCTTTATTTACACACACACTTCACACGCTTCCAGTTCGCTCTCTCCTTCGCAGGGGCCGGATTCCTTCATGTCTTATGGGGAGAGAAAAAAGGAAAGCGCTCGGAGAGACTCCAGTTTGCACGTGTATTCATTGAATGAATCGAGAAGATTTTAATTTTTACACAGAGATTCCAGTCATTCAAGTCTAGTTTAATAACATTCAATTTATATACTTCGCCTACGTATGCAGTTTTGTTGAAGAAGGGGCTGCTTTCGTATAAATCTGTCCTTGTTGTCCATTCTTGACAACACGAGAAAACTCCCAGGGACCTCTGTATTAAAAGTCGGTATTTTTCAGGGAGAGTACCGCGTTTCTATGGTGGAAGAGTGGCTAATAGAGTTACGTGGTTTGGAAATTCCTCATTCGGACAACTGTAATCTTGTAGCAACGCTTGGTGATCCTGTTAAGATTCGTAACTGGCAGATTGCCGGTTTGCCTCGAGACACACTCTCCGTCGAGAATGGTGTTACTGTGCAGTATTCTCAAAGGTGGCCTCTGTTCATTGATCCGCAAGGACAAGCTAATAAGTGGATTAAAAGCTTGGTAAGTGATCTCTACGTGGCAAGCGTTAAAAACGGACAAGCCAGTGAGAAAACGCTAAGGGCGTGCGAGGAAAGTGGACGCAACCTGCGTGAAGGAAAGGGAAACATTGGGCGCGCGGAAATAAACGCGAGATTGCGTCCACCTCTCTCGCGCGCTCTTTGCCGGCTACCTAGCACTCGCCTTCGAACTATTCTCTGGCATGAATCTCTTCTAGTGTACCGGGACGAAAAATACCAGTTCATCAGGTTACTTATTATTTTCAATGAATGTTGTCATTGTTGTTGTAATATTAGTTTTGGTGGATTATTCTTGTGTTTCTCAGAAGTTGTTAAGCATAAAACAGCACTTTTTAGTATTTGTTTCTATCAAAATCTTTCTCCTATGACTTAAACTAGGTTGTGCAAAACGGGTGTTTTTTTTTTACTCAGAAAATGAATACTGATGTGGAAGTACGATCTCCTTTTCCTTATTTGTATCATTTCTTGTTTTATGGTGCACTTAACGTTTAATTGTTATGATATCAAGAGAAAGTCAATTTTAACTTGTTAAACAGTAAACAAAAGAAAATGAGCATCAGTATATGCAGTACCATTCTTGCTGAGCGGAACTTGTTCACCCTGTTTATTAGGAGAAAGACGCGGGTCTTGATGTGATTAAACTCAGTGACAGAGATTTCTTACGAAGCTTGGAGAACGCTGTTCGTTTTGGCAAACCTTGTCTGCTGGAAAATGTTGGAGAGGAACTGGACCCGGCATTAGAGCCTATTTTACTGAAACAGGCAAGTTGCAACAAAAACATCTAATCTACTTTTGTCAGCTAGTTTTGTTTTCATATTTATTGTTCTTCATTATCATATAAATGTTACTACATTTTATTTATTTATTCATTTAAATAACGTCTTTCGAGACAAAAAGGGTGAATATCAGAGGTTTTGTCTCCATTTCAGTGCTTGTTAACTAACTTGGTACTGTGTCATGTTGGTGATGAGCTTTCTTAGGAAGTTCATCCTCAAAGGAACGTGACCCAGTAGCCATCAGTAGAATTGTCCAGGGCGTGCTAGTCTTCAGTAATGGAGAGATTTAGAGTCGCGTTACTTGTAACGTCGGATTCAAGTTGAGAATTTCCCAAAATAGAAAATAAGCAGATAAAAACAGGTCAAAACAATGCTTATGGATAAAACTGGCGTGAAACAACTAACTATTTTGTTGAAGTCATGAACAGTAAACGACGAGAAAAGGGAAAACTTGGTCACGTGGTACAAATTTGCGTTTGCCTTTTGCCGTAAACGCGATGCTTAATCTCTCTCATATCTTTACTCTCCAGTCCGTGTTATCTGATTGGTCATTGTCTATTGATCGTTACTCAAGAATAAGGGCGGTGTGAAAGGGAAAGGACGCTTCACTTATTAAAGAAAGAAAGTTAGATTACTTTACTTGGTGTAGACTGGGAGGAGTCCCTTTTCAGTCAGTAGAGTTCAATGCTCGGCAGGACTGGAGAGAGCGAAATGGCTGAGAGGGGAACTGGAGGAAAGCGTTCCCGCCTCCTCGCCAGTTTCCCTCTCGGCTGGCAGTTTTTTTTCCCGTTTGATTCGCTCGATTTCCTCGCTCGCGCGACTATCGTGGGGAAGTTCTCGCAGTCTATACTTCGTGCAATTTTTTCGGAGCAGCGCATCCATATTTTTTTAATGCACTTTAGTATGTCTTACCAGCAACCTCGTCTTCGGTCTCCTCTCCTACTCGCTCCGGGGGATGAGTAAAAGAGGAGCCTGGGAACGAGGTTGCCTTACCGGCCCTAAAAATGACAACACTATTGATCCCCTTCTTTCAGACTTTCAAACAATCAGGCAGCACTGTGATCAAGCTGGGAGACGCCATTATTCCCTACCATGACGACTTCAAGTTTTACATCACATCCAAACTTCCCAACCCTCACTACACCCCAGAGGTTTCCACAAAAGTCACGATCGTCAACTTCACTCTATCACCTGGGTGAGTACATCTACGGCTATAGTGGAAGTTTAATTTAGCTGATTTTTTTCCTTTCGTAGTACAGTTGAACCTCTCCACAACGGCCACCTTGGGGACAGAAGAAAGTGGCCATTGTAGAGAGGTTTAAACAAGAGTCAATGTATGGACTGTCCGCCAAAAAAATAGTGGCCATTGTAGAGAGGTGGCCTATTACTAGAGGTTCGACTGTACTGATCTACATTGTTTGCATGACGTAACTAAGATATCTACGGCAGATTCCCAGTGTCGCGGATGTAACTGAATTGCTCTTCCTTGAACGGTCCAAACGACGAACTGTGTTTAAAAAGTAAAAATTTACAACCCAGAATCAAGCCAAAACTCTTTGGCATGCTTGATCACCACTTCCGCGCTGATTCATAAATCTTAAAAATAGTAGTTATATAAAATCGCAAATAAGTATCTTTCGTCTTTTCGTAGTAGGTGACCTTAGCCCATTTTCTCGAACGTAAGGGTTATCTTAACATTTCGGACGGTGCGACTCGCCAAAACGATTAAGTACACCGGTGCTGAACATTTTCCACACCACGGCATTATAGCTAGCCATGCAACAAAACACCAAGTGGAGACTTTGTCTGAGTTTTTTCTTATAAACAAGTTCGAGCTACTCAATCTCACTTTAAAATTGTTGGGTTTGAAGTTACTCAAGCTCCTGCTGTCATGGTCTCTGAACTCAGCATATAATATTATTACAGATTGCAGCTGTTTCCCGAAATTTATCAAAATTCAAACCGTGGGAGCTGCCAACAATCTGAGTACAGCATAAAAATAACCGCTCAAAAAGTTAAAAGAAGGTATAAATAAAACAGCAAATAAAAAAGGAGGCAAGGATGGACAAACTTAAGGAAGATTGAAACGGATTGAAAGCTTGTTAGCCGAACAGTTTTTCAAAGTTCATTTTTGTTATTTGTAACGTTTGATATGATATCATGCTTGGGAGACATATTTGTTTGACTCGAAGCTCCTATTTTGTCATTTACAAGTAATTTCTGTGGTTCCATACCCAATTAGGAGGCGTTATTGGCATTATTAGAAAAATGAACTCGACAGGTGTGACACAGCCCTTTTAACTCTGAAAATAATCTATCTTCAATAGTGGCCTTGAAGATCAGCTGTTGGCTTTAGTTGTTGCCGAAGAGAGGCCCGATCTAGAGGAAGCCAAGAACCAGTTGATTGTTAGTAACGCTAAAATGAGACAAGAACTGAAGGAGATTGAAGACAAGATTCTTCACAAACTGTCGGCTTCTGAAGGAAGCCCTGTGGATGATACAGATTTGATTCAGACGCTGGAACAGTCCAAGGCAAAGTCTATGGAAATCAAGGTGACTTTTTATCCGATTTAATTCATAGTTTTCCAAACGTTTCCTTATGATTAAGTTGTTTTGGAGAAAGAAACACATGAATAAATGTTGTGCCCTGCCGCGTAGCACTGTGACACAAAGGATGGAACAGAAAATCAAATTTTTCACTGAGGTTCAAGGATTTGTTTGTTTACCTCGAATGATTTCGGCCCTGATTCGCGATCCGAGGCCATGACTAGGCTGACACCCAGTGGGGCTTGTGGTAGTCTCTAACACGTCAATTTATACTTCAGAGTTAATTATCTGTTTCATTCTTTGGAGAAAAAAAACTCTCTGGAAAATTAATCTTCCATCTGCGGACCAAAAAGTAGCCTCCCGTGCAGACTTTCTTGGGGCTTCGTCACGCGTTCCTTCGAGGAGGATTGCGTGAGGAGCGAAAAAACGTACGTGTCGGAGGCTAACCAAAATGCGCCCTGGGTACTAGAGCGGCAAGATGTTCCAGTGTCGGTCAGATGGAAACTGGAAATCTCTGGCACTCGCGGTAACCAAAGAGGAAAACTCGCAAAAAACTCGTCAATGTCTTATGTCTTCATTACTACGAAACAAAATGAAACATCATCTTTGGTAAAGTCACCTATTCATTATTGTTCGGTCTAAACTTCTTTGTGAAATTTCTTCCTTTCGATATAGTCAGAAAAATTTAGACATAAAGTCTCTTAAATTTGAAGATTGTGTTCAAAAGTAAAATCGGTCGTTAACAAGTTGTGTTTTCTTGTTTTATTTTATTTTATTTTTTCTATTTTTCAGGCTAAAGTGGTGGTAGCTGAACAAACAGAAAAAGATATCGACGAGACACGAAGCCAGTATATTCCTGTAGCAGTCAGAACGCAGATTCTTTTCTTCTGTACTTATGACCTGGTAAGAAACTTGTTTGCTTGAAATTTGTTTTTAAAAAAACTATAAACAGAGACCTAAATGTTCTCAGTGTATTGAGATAGGAACAAAACAGTGAAGAAATTCTGCTTGCGTTATGTACTCAGGGTCTGGAAGGGGGGAAGTAGCCTGCGATCAAGCTCTCCGGGGCGCTCTGGTGGCGGGGCGGGAAAAGGAAGGAGACTTTGCAACTACGTCTCTGGAATTTGAATATCCGCATCGAAAAAGTCGACGCAAAATGCTAATTGGCGGATATGACATTAGTAATGACATCATTACCCTTGGTACTTTTTTTTTCAATGTTTGTTTACATTCGCGCTCGTTCTTGCTTCGCGCTGATTGGCGGAAATCTGACAGCTCAGTCGGCGGGGAGCCACCGGGGAATTGGAGGTGGAGTTCAAATTTGCAAGCCGTCCTTCCTTTTCCCGTCCCGCCGCCAGAGAGCCCCCGAGAGCTTTCTCGCAGGCTAGTGGGGGAAAGCTGATCTCGCATTCCCGCTCCTTTTTCAAGACATCCCACATCCCGCACATCTGTCATTTCTACCCCGTGCCAAGATTTGGGCGAATCCCGCTTCCCGAGTAGCAGATCCTACTAACGATTGGAATCCAGAATTCAAGTTCCACTTACAAAAACCGGAATTCAGTAGCTGGAATCCGAAATCCACGGCGTGGAATCCAGAATCCAAGACTGTCTTGGATTCCCTTGTTCGGGGTGTAATTACTTGTGAATGACAAAATCGCCGCTTTGTGTCAAACAAGTGTGTCTCCAAAGCACGATATAACGTTACAAATAAAAAAAGTAACTTTGGAAAACTATTAGGCCAATAAGTTTTCAAAAACCACAATTGCAGTCCCTTGCAACCCTCTTCAAGCTTTTTCTTACTCGCCTTCTTTTGTATTGACCGTGTATTTTTGCTTTCTTGCAATGTTTTGAGCCGTTATTTTCATGATTCACTCAATTTGGTGGTAGCTCTCAATAGAGAGCTTTAGATTCCAGGACGAGGACAACAATTAATTTTAAGTTTTCTCGCCTATTCTCTAAAATAGACATCCCGGCAAGCATCATTGTACTTTTTTTCACCAGTTAGCACGCTTATTTCCGTTGAAGGAGGTTAAGCTCCTCCCGATCGCTAAATGATAAAATTTCTAACATTTGATAACTTGTTTTCGCCACTACGACATCCTCGCTAAAACTCGTAGTAGACTGACGAAGGCTACCACATTTTCCCGCCAAAATGACGTTGGTTCGCGCGCGCTCACCACTTAGTATTGGCAAAATCTCGTTCTCGTAGTCGTCCTCGTCTTATAATCTAAATCTCGCACAGTTTTAAGTTGGAGACATTTTATGACATAGCTCCTTTAATATAAGAATAAATTATGTGTCTTTCTTAGGCCAATATAGATCCCATGTACCAGTATTCTCTGGAATGGTTCATTGGTATTTTCCTCAACAGCATCGCCAATGCTGATGCTTCAGGTACACTGTGAAAATTATTGTTTATCGCCATATGGACAGAAAGTTACTGACCAACTTTTTTCTGGTGTGTAACCTACACATTAGCAAAAAATTCTCGGGACACCGATTGTCCTACTGCTTGTGGAACCCTTATCCCTCTACAATGTTGTTTGGAGAGGGTTTACGGTTAGGGTTAGGGTTATTTTACAAGCCAGGAACGCGGATTATTCATGTGAGGGTAAGAATAGCGCAGTGGTGAGAGCACTCGCCTCTCATCATTGTGGCCTGGTTCAAATATGTGGATTGAGTTTGTTGTTTGTTCTCTCCCTTGCTCCGAGAGTTTTTTTCTCCAGTTTTCCCCTCTACTCAAAAACCAACATTTCCAAATTCCAATTCGACTAGGAATGGTAGACGTAGAACCGGTATGCGGATGTGCTACCTCTAAATCGTTACTATTTGAAAAAATGCGTTGTATTTGAGTGTCAATGTATTCAGCACGGAAATACTAATTAAGGACACTATTTTTACGTCTCCTCCTTCTGGAGACGGGACCGCCATTTTACGTAGTCACCGAGCCACGAGGAGGTCTATTCGATCACAGGGCAAAGGAATTACCTTCATTTCTCAGTAATTTAAGACCTTGAGTATTGATCCGGCCCCAAGAATCGAACGCACGACGACCACGACCTTCTGTAGTCAAGCGCTCTACCGACTGAGCTAATCCTGCCGCTGTTGTTATTCCTTATTTATCAATTCTGTGAAGGGAATGAGAGGAGAAATCAAGGGAAAACACCGGCTGTTAGATGTTGCAGTTGATGACTCCGTGTCGTGTTGGTGACACACCTGTCCAACACTTGGGCGAATTTCAATATCTTCGATCGACGATTCCACAATAGTGAAACCTTCTATTATTGTTTTTCGTTTCAGATAACTTGGAAAAGCGCATCGATAACATCAACGACTACTTTACCTTCAGTTTGTACTCAAACGTATGCCGGAGCTTGTTTGAAAAGGACAAACTATTGTTCTCCTTCCTGGTGTGCGTCAGAATCCTCATGAACGAAAACAAGATCAACATGGTCAGTGCGTGTTTACATTTTTTACGTATAGTTTCTGTTAAGATTATGTAATCACTTTACCAATTCCCGCCAGATATGCAGACCACCCTTGCTTGGACTATGCCATAACTGTAATGATGAATATATGAACCGCGGAATGAAGAGATTAATGTAACGGAGATCATGATCGCAGTAAAGACGCAACTTAAAATTCAATTTTGCCGGGATTGGAACCCTGACCTCTGCGATACCGGGGTGCAGCGCTCTAACCAGTTGAGTTAGCAAGCCAACTGGGAGCTGAGAAATTTTTCCGTCTTCTATTCGCAACCGCGTAAGTTGCGTCTTTAACTGCGATGATCGTCCGTACATTTATTTATTTATTTATTTATTTATTTATTTATTTATTTATTTATTTATTTATTCCACTTGTCTCCAGATCCCTCATCAGCGGTTTTTGTCACTTAACATAGAATGAATAGAATGACGTTACCTCTTCTTCGGGAGCTTCTCCTGTTGGATGGTAGAGGCATTGACACTCAACAACCCTTTTCAGGGCTACACTCACTCGGGCCAACATATTCATAACACGTATCACATCCCGCCATGTTTTACAACAGAAAATGTTTTATCATTTTGGTAGCCTTGTCCATTGTTTTCTCTGTTTGTCATTTTAAATGTAGAGAAAGCACTGGAGATGAGACTGTAGAGTAATGTTTATGCTCATGTGCTAGCACGTAAGCCCAGAAAGATCATCTACTAATAAATAGGGCAAATATATAAAATCATCGCTAGTCAACTGCCTGTCATTTTAGTTTTACATCGACCGGGAGATCCGTAGTGCTGCTGATGGAGCGATCACAAAATGCATGAAAAAAGATTGACACAGTCTGCGAGCAAAGCCTCCTTTGTCTTCTTGAGTGAGAAGGATGAAGAGGAGGCTGCGCCCGAATCGCGTCAAGCCTTTGAGTTCGCCGCTGCCCGAATTCTGGACTTGTCATTCATGTTTTCCCTCGTCAAACTGTTTTTTTCGAGTGCGAAAATCCTTTTATTAAAAAGCCGATCGATGGTCATAACCGAGCCCGCTGTAGCAAGCGTACTGATTACATCCTAGCAACATGCTGCGCATGCTCAACGAAGCTCTTACTTGACTGATGTAGAGTCTTTCTCGAGTAGGCTAAAATCGAACAAGCGAAAGAAAGCATCACCTGGCAGGATGGAAAAGGCACTGAACGGATAACAACCAAAAATATCTTCTAGAACACCAAGAAACGCCTGATAGTTGTAGCTAAATAACAATATTTTTATCGCTCTCTTTTAGGACGAGTGGCGTTTCTTATTGGCTGGCGGCTCTACAGTCCCCAAGGAAATCGAGAACCCCGCTCAGGACTGGCTCTCCGACAGGGCCTGGTTCGAGATACTTCGACTTCCGGTTCTTGTAAGTCTGTGGATGAATTTTGTGTTCAACCGTTTTTCTTTACCATATGATAGTAGCATTTGAGCGGCAACATCGAGTTTCTTCACTTTTGTCGCAGATATAAACACCACATAATATGTCCACACAGACGTACAAAGGCGATGTTGTGATTTAAAAAGTGTCTGTAACACCACCAAATTTCCAGTATTGCAAAACATACAATACGACAACTAGCATGATTTGCATGAGGAATTTTCGTTATTGTTTTTCAGCCCAAATTCGCCAATTTTGCAGAGGATTTCAAGAACCACATTGACGGATATCAACGAATGTTTGACAGTGTGGATCCGCATCGGTAAATAACAGTTATGAAATAGTTTACATAAAGGAGTTCTCTTCTCTGGGTCAAAAACGTAGCAAATAGGTTATTTCTGGAAGAGGAAACAAGTCTCATAGTTTTGAGGCATGTTTTTCTCCTTCAACTTAGATTTTACTAAGGGTGGGAAGGGATACTAGAAACGGGCAAAAGCGCCACTGAAGTGGTTAGGTCAGGGTGAAAGAGACGTCATATATCAATCAGTATTTCAAAGAAGCAAAGTTATTCCCCAGTTATTCCAACGTGTTTGGCTCAAAAAAGTGTTTTGCCTCATCCATTACCTTTGGCAAGAAAAGAAGTGATTTTCAAAGCCCCACTCAAATTAATGATCCAATGAATTTTGACTGATATGTCATTTCAAATCTTCAACTCAATCCAAAGACCTTGAAAATTGAGACCTCGAAATACTAAGTCCTTCCCAGCCTTTCCTTATGCGTTTCCATTTAAAACTGCGTGAAAACAACATTTCCTTAAACAATAATATAAGGTCTTAGCCAATCTGTTCATTCTATTGATGATCAAGGCCTCATTAGGACAATTTTTATAACTTGTGCTGCTTTGTATTTCTACAGTGAGCCTTTACCCGAGCCGTGGAACACCGACCTAGATGCCTTTCAGAAACTTCTTGTTCTGAAATGTCTGCGAGCCGATAAAGTCACTAACGCAATGCAGGTCAGAAAAATTGATGATCTCAAGGCGGTCGTAATTTTGATAAACGTGAACCAAGTGTTTGTTTCCTTTTTTGCAGGATTTCGTGTCGGAAAATCTTGTGTCAGGTTTAAACCACAGGTTCAGACCTGTTTATTGAACCACAGACTTTTGTACTGTCCGTCGGAACTGATCCTGCCGCCGACTCTTGTGTTTTTCAAAGAAATTTTCACTGGGTCCCACCATGTCCAAAATTGCTCATCTTTGTATTGTCCGTCGGAACTGATCCTGCCGCCGAAACCCCTTTTGTTCATATATCTGCGGACGCTGGCGTCCGCAAATTGGCTTATTGAAATGCGCGAAAATCGAAAACAGTCGAGATGGCATTTTTATCTAAAGAAAACTGTTTTAAAACCCGAGCAAGAATCAGCTATTTGTTCTGGCGGTTTTGCACTGGGTTTACCAAATGTTTGTACGCGCTTGATAGTACACTGAGAGGTCATGACATACATATCGATTGACTGTAGTTATTGTTTTCCAGTCGAAAACTTTTTTTATTACGGCTGAATAAGGGTTCCAATTTTCTCCAAAGTGCCTTCTGGATCTGAATAACTAAGCGAATTTTTTAGTCCGTGAGTGTAATGTTTTTCTGCAATGGCGAGTTGCGACACTTGATTGACAGAAAAATCGGATTACTAGAAAATTGGTAGTTTATGCAAAAACATAGGCTCTTAGGTCCCCCTTCCCAGATGATCGCAACGTGGTCCCATAAAAATGATCGAACGAACATCTGGCGACATCTGGCGACTCAAATAGTTTAAACAGAGTGGGAATGATGGCTTTCTATTAAGAGATCTTTGAGCGCGAGTATCAAAGTAAAAACGTCGAGCAATCAAGGGAGGTGGGGGTAAACCAAAGCGTGGTCACACATAAGAGAGGGACTAAAAGAATAGTGGTTATGTTCAAGCTGTGGTCGCAACGAACGGTGATCACAGAAGATTTCCTGCTTGTTGTAGATAAGGACAAAACATGTCAATAACCAGAACTCTTTGCAAGATTGTCATCGCGGCGATGTTGTAAATTAAGTGCAGAGAGACAGTACAATAACCTTTCCCCGTGTCAACTTCTCTAGGGCCCTCGTGCTGAAGCTATGATGCGCTCAGCAATGGAGCGCGGAAAGTGGGTCTTTTTCCAGAACTGTCACTTGGCCCCCAGCTGGATGCCATCTCTGGAGAGGCTTGTAGAGAACATTGACGTGGACAAGGTACAGAATAATGCTATGGATACACCTCGTGCTCTGTCAATTGTACAGGACTGTCAGAAGTCAAAAAGTGGTCGAAAAAAAATCTTCACAGTCAGAGAAATGTCAGAGAATTTTACTCTGGGTCAGAAAAAATGATATTTGGAGAAACATGAGCAAGAGCTACATATTTACTCATCAAGCACGAAAACTGAGCGAAAAGACGGCCGTAAGTGGTCCATAGAGGCCGCTACTATATTAGCCTTTTTGTATTACGTTCTTCAATCAAGTTTAATTTTAAATCTCAGATTTTAAGTCAGTTAATGTATCAAATTTATCGACAGGTTCATCGCGATTTCCGCCTGTGGTTAACCAGCATGCCTAGTCCCAAGTTTCCAGTCTCCATTCTACAGAATGGTTCAAAAATGACAGTGGAGCCTCCCAGGGGGATTAAGGCCAATCTACTGAGGTCGTTCACTGGATTCAGTGACGACTTCTATGCTAGCTGTAAGAGGGTGAGTACACTATACAGACCAGATCAAATCTGAAGCTATTTTGCATTCCGCACAAGTTATAGTGTTACATAAGTGCTAATTAACTCCAACGCACGAGAACATTTTTGAGCCTGAATAGGACAGATAGGACCATAAGGCATCAGAAACGAAGTAAAACAGCAGAATGCCATACCAGCTTTTTTTGACTCACGTTCAAAGTTTAGTGAACTTCAGTGTACAGAACTTAGCAGTTAACGGAGTACAGATTAAACCGTTTGTTCAAGAACTGGCGTAAGACTTCTCTTCAACAGGGGATACAACATGTATCCAAATCAGAAGCACTTTTACTCTACGTTTGCACGCGTTTTAAGTTCTACATTTTCGTCAAAGTTTAGAATGCATTTTCCCAAGTCGAGATCTCTAACACGAGAGAGGGTTTTTTATGGGCTCATCGCCATGAGAATAATTGACGAGAACGGTCAATACTTATAATACCATTTTCTCTTTGCAGGAAGAGTTCAAATTTCTTCTTTTCTCTCTGTGTCTTTTCCACGGTGTTACGTTGGAGAGAAGGAAGTTTGGAGCGCTTGGTTTTAACATTCCTTACGAGTTTACCACTGGGGACTTAAGGATCTGTATCAGTCAACTGAGTATGTTCCTAGAAGAATATGAAGGAGTGGTACCCTTTAAGGTAAATTGCCTTCATTTTTTTTTGTGCTGTCAACTCTCCCGGACAATCTGGGAGACTCCAGATTTTGAACCTTATTTCCCGGTCTCCAGATTAGAGTCTTAAATCTCCCGGATAATCGCCGAGGTTTGCCATTTCTTGTAGACTCGACTCTCTGACAATGAAATTTCAAATATTCGAACTTTCCCTCATAAACTCCAGTATACCATTGTAATAAAAGCAATAACGTGATTGGTGGGAAGTAAACCAATCAGGTCAAATGTTACAATTCCAACAACGTCTTTTTCGCGCGTTTTTTTGCAGAAATGTCGTCATGTGCTGTGCATTGTGACGTCATCTATCACCCCGTCCCTATCAATTCTCAATATTTAAAGACGTGGGGGATTGACAGCCCTGATTACTTGAAACACAGTGTTTTATCCGATATTCTACCATCACTAGAGAAGTGAGTTAAGTCCTAAAGGGGCTGTGACATGGCTGTCTAGTTCATTTTGTCAATAATCGGTGGCAATCAGGCTTCCTTATTCGCTATGGAGCATGAGAAATTATTTGTGAATAACAAAATCACAGTTTCGTTTCAAACTAAAATGTTTCACAAGCATTATATCAAACGTTACAAACAACAGCAACGAACCTTGAGATACTGTAAGGCCAACAAGTTTTCAAAAACCACAATTGCAATCCGTTTCAATCTCAAGTCTTTGGGTTTATCCCATTCGTGCCTTCTTTTGTATTTGCTATATTATTTATACCTCTTTTTCTTATTTGAGCGGTTATTTTTATGTTTAACTCAGGTTTGTGGTGTTTCCCACTGTTTGAATTTTGATAAATTTCGTGACACAACTCCTTCAAGCCTTTAGAGTAATCAGCATCCAAATTCTCCCTGTAATATCTGTGCTTTATAAAACAAAGTGGTCGCGAGAATTACGGACTATGGTCTCACAAGGTGAATTTCATTGATACCTTAGCAACTTCTCCTCGTTTGGGGACAACAAAAGAGAAATTAAATTTTGATATTAAAGTCTCTTAAGACTCTTAAAAACGAGCCTTACTAACCTTCACAACGCAGGCTGTTGTAAACGTTTGATGTTGTACAGTATTTGGCAATTTGTACAATAGTTTGAGCCCCCGTTTTGGTAAAAACGCTCTAAATTTTTCTCTAATTGCAAGCCCTTACTTCAAGTGGGCAAATATAAATCGCAAATAAATACATAATTGGTTCAGGAGTTCACGAGCTTAAAATACGAAGGATGCCTGGTAGACAAAATTCTGGTCATTACAATCCATTATGTTTGGAACGTTTTGTTATAGTCTGAATTGACGAAAGCGTGACGTGGCCTGCGCGCGAGCTCTCCATCGCGAAAAAACGCCGCTCTTTGCACTCTCGTCTCCTTTCGCGTGCTGCTCTCGCGTGCTGCTCTCGCGTGACTTCTCGCAACTCCACCAAATGGAGAGCTTGCTCGCAGGCTAAGCTTGACTTTTTTTTTTCTTGCTGTAGGTTTTAAAGTACACCGCTGGCCACATCAATTACGGTGGGCGCGTAACCGACGATTGGGACAGACGCTGTATCATGAATATCTTGAATGATTACTACTCGCCTGATGTGCTCAGTGATGAACACAAGTTTTCTGAGTCAGGGATTTATCATCAGCTACCTGTTACAGCTGATCATGAGGTATATTTAATAGCAGCTTTAGTCTGTGAACACCCGGCTTCTTCTCTTCTGTAAGGTTTACCTTTGAACCAATAGGCCACTTCCGAGTTCCAAAAACTCTCACTTTCAAAATGAGGCTAGGTGCACAACCTTTCTTGTGAAAATGAGTTTTATTTGCACGAGAACGAAAAATGATTTCCCAGTATCAAAGGCTGAGCACCTACCCTCGTTTTGAAACAGAGGCCCGGGGGAACTCGGAAATGGCCTATTGGGTATACACAGATTTTATTAGAAACTGGTTCATTTGTTTAATACAGTTCCCGAGTTTGGTATTTTATTTCAAGAGAAAGTGGCCGTTGATTTCTTCTTCTGGTCATTCTTACAAAATGAAATCACGGGTTACAAAATGTCTCACTCAACTCTACTTACGAATGTAAAATGATTATTACAATTTCGTATCCTAAGTGCCTCAGAATAATTGTTGGCGACTACATCAACTGCAAGGCAAAAGCGTTCTTCAAGGATATGTTAATTGCCGAGTTCTATTGAAGTAGGAGAAACGTTACAAGCCTACGAAAGGAAATGAATCATATGAGTCATATAAGTTACACTAAGGCTCTATTAGTCTATTTACACTGATGAAACAGTCTTAGCCGTATGTCTAAAGGAGACAGTGTACGTTTGTATGCCACAGTTATTCCAGAAACATTTTTCGGAATAAACGTTATTAATATGTGAAGTTTGTTTTTCACAGCATTATCTCCGTTACATTCGTGGTCTACCCATCAACGATACCCCGGAGATATTTGCTCTTCACGAGAACGCCAACATCACGTTTGCTCAGAATGAGACTTTTAGTTTGCTTCGAGGAATACTCAAGATGCAGCCACGGTCATCATCCGGCTCTGGCAGGTCACGAGAAGAGGTGTGTTTTAGGAATTGGGTATCATGAAATGCAGGCGCTTACTCTTGGAGGCGGGTGACGGGGGGTGGGGCTGAAAAGTCAAAGAAGCAGGGAGGGAGCAAGACTCGTCTATCCTTGTTCCCATCCTGTTGGTCGCTTTTTAGACATTTCCATTCTTCTTCTGTTGTAACGTCCAAGACGGCGACTAAAGGCTAATTACAGGACATACAGAGGGTTCTCTAGCCCGAAAAAAAAGGCCTGCACTGCAGACTAGAATGGGGAACTTATAGCCTTGCTAATCACTGTAATGCACCAGACTTAAATCCACAACATGCTATGCCCGGAAACAGAAGCAGCCGCTCCGCCGAGCGTAGTCGGCATGCGCAGTCGTTGCCACGCGCGTTAAAACAGGTAACCAATTGGTTTCACTTCTAATTGTCCAGAAAAAGTGTTTCAGCCTTTCATTTTCACTGTCAGACTATTTCCTCTCTTAAATTGAAAGTTTATAAAAAGGAAAATGGTAGTTTGTTATTTCCAGATATTTTTCTTTTTTTTTTGACTAAACGGAGTTTGTTTCCTAGGTGATGGAGGAAGCTGGTCGCAGTATCCTGGAAAAAGTTCCACAGCCCATATCTGTTTCAATGGTAATGGAGAAACACCCGGTGCGGTATGAAGAGTCAATGAACACAGTGTTGATCCAGGAAGTTATTCGATACAATAAACTGTTAGTGACCGTCAGACAGACACTAAACGACCTGCTCAAGGCTCTCAAGGGTCTGGTAGTGATGTCACAAGCGTTGGAGACAATGGCGAACAGTATTTATAACAACGCTGTACCTGATTTGTGGGCCAGTAAGGTATGTAAACACCAGTAAAAATCGAAGTAATTATTTTACCATTTTAACTCAAAATACTCGTTGTTCTCGTTGCAACTTCGTGATTGTCTAATCATTTTTTGTTATTATACGACGAACAAAGCAAGACTTCCACATCATAACATTTGGTCCAATTTTGCTTGTTAAGAAAAATTAACCCTGTAAGAAACCGAGAAATATTTAAGTCAATGTTGAACTCTATTGTATTATGTAAGTTAAATCAGTCAGTATTTACTTGGGCGGAGCGCCAAGTAAAGGATTTGCGACTCTCAGGAATGGTTTCAAAGCTGCTTTTTTCGGGACAAGATTGGGCACACAAGTTCGTGACTTTTCGGTTTGTTTAAGCTTGTTACACTATATCGATGTGTTCGTTTCCAGGCCTACCCATCGCTAAAACCGCTGGCCTCTTGGGTAACTGATCTGGTGGCTCGCGTTCAGTTTATTGACAAGTGGATCGAACATGGAATTCCTCCAGTAAGTCACATACCTTAGTCTCCTTTATTTATCTCCCTCCAAGTGACGTAGCTCCTCCTTATCGAAGTTTCTTTTAAGTTGATGGCCAAAAAAAATAATTAATGTTCTTCAAATATATAACTACAAACTTAGCTTCACGCTATTTGCTCTTTTTGAAAAGCTAAAATATGTCTTTGCATCAATTGAATTCCAAGAATAATGGTCCAGTTTTGTTATTTAATGCTATATTTAGGCGTTGAAACTTTTTCCTGTGGTCTGGTGCTTATACGGATGGCAATTATGGACATAGATTGAAATGCCATGCTCGCAAAAATCTTCAAGAAATATTATGTTTTGTGCTCCTATATGAAATTTGTTGGATATCTCCTTCATATCTCTACAGGAGTTTTTGGCGGGGGTAATCGAACTAAGTAAGATAACAATATCCTCGTCGCCCTGTTAAATATTCTTTACTGACGTTTTGGGGGTATTTTTTGGCAGGTCTTCTGGATATCAGGATTCTTCTTCCCTCAGGGATTTCTGACTGGGACTCTTCAGAATTATGCAAGATCCTCCTCCATATCAATCGATGTCATCACATTTGACTTTGAGGTAACTGCTAGTTGTGAGAAAACGTCAGTTGTTTTATGGGGAAAACTAAAATGAAGCTGTAATTTAACAAAGTCGTGGATAATTGCTTTAATTAACCTGACATCCACTCAAGAGTTGTGATATTTTCAGAGGGTTTATTTCATTTGTCTCCATGAAAAAAGGTAACCGCCTTGGAATTTTTAATGGTGAAGTTCACGAATACGTGTAGTACTCCACAAACATTTCACGAATGCATGCAGCACTTTGCCAAAGGGTTAATAGTAAAGGCCTCTTATTTCAGGTCGGTCGCACGAAAGAACTATCTGGTTAACAAACTTGAGGCCAGCTGTGCGCTCTCTGTACCCATTTCTGTAGCTCTCCATTAGTGCACCACTTAAGCTATGGTAAAACAGGCAACAAAAAAACGTGCAACTTGTTTTGCAACATTATTGGAGAATTTGTTATATAGCGATGTTGCGCGTTTTACCACCCACGTTCAAACCTGTTTTGCAGCCACTAAAGGTTGCGCAACATCTCTTTTCAAATCGTTTTGCAGCAATACTGTGAAACAAGTTGCCCGTTTTTGTTGCCCGAATTACCGCGCCTTCACCCGTGTTTTTTGTGGTTTTTCTGTTAACAGGTGATGAAGAAAACTGAAGCAGAGCTGACTTCGCGTCCAAGTAACGGCTGTTTCATCCGAGGGCTTTTCCTTGAAGGCGCCAGGTGGGATTACGATAAACACGAGCTGGCCGAGTCTCGACCAAAGGAACTGTACACTGATATGCCGATCATCTGGTTAAAGCCGACTGCCAACCGAGAGAAACCTGAGAAGGGCATTTACGAATGTCCAGTGTATAAAACATTGACCCGAGCCGGTAAGTTTTGTTGTCATGTCATTGAGATTCTACTTCGACAAGTGAGTTGTATCGCTGCTTGTTTTGCAAATAATTCGATACGTTACGTTATCTTCTAGAAAATAAACAGCAGTCAGTTAAGGCTGTACAGTGTATCGTTTGATTTGAAAATGGCGCACTTAGGCTATGTCGACACGAATCCGGACATTTTTGAAACCGCATTTTTTTTTAAGTAAAATCCAACTAGTGGTCTATTATCAATGCTGCGTTGTGATTGGTTGAGCTGCTACTAGGCTATATATTATAGCCCATTAGTAGCGAAAAGCGCCGGATTTTTGGCGGCAAAAAAGGATTTAAGTCTTGCTTTAAGTTGTTGTCTCGATATTTTTGACCAACTAGTTGGATTTTACTGAAACAATTATTCCTCTCGCCCTCATGGCCTCTAAGTCAATAGCTCCTCATTCGGGCTCGAGGAATAATTGTTAATTGTTCGGATTTGTGTGGACAGAAGGCCGATTCGTGTAAAAAAAATTACCACTTTATTACATCCATTTTTACCTGCCATTAGATTTGATACTTGAAGCAAGATATTAGATTTGAAATCTGTTTGGTTGTGCTGTTTCAGTGTTCTTCTTTCATTGGCTGGGAAAAAAAATGCGATTTAGAGCAAAAAATAGTGCGATTTGGGAATACGTCTCACTGCTGAGAGCCAATCGGATTGCACGGACTGCGGGCAGTGATTTCAAAGTGAATGTAATGAGTGTGGACATGGCCTCATTTATTTTCTTTTGTTTTGTTGACCCCTAGGTACTCTGTCTACAACGGGGCATTCGACAAACTTTGTCCTTCCAGTGGAGATACCAAGCAACCAGCCACAGCGACACTGGATCAAAAGAGGGGTGGCTCTTATGTGTGCGCTCAACTACTAAAATATCGCGCATTGCATGTAATGACTTAGGTACAACAACAGCTTCTGATTGTTTTCAGCATCCCCATTATATCATTCGTACGTTGTAGTTGTTTTGAAATATTAAGAAGCTTGGAATATTTGTCAACTGCGTAGAGAGTAGTGCTCGCTATTCATGTTTGACTTTTTTACTTTCGTGTGTTGCGTAGTAAAGTAGCTTTATATGAGGCCGTTGAATAAGTGTCCGGCTGTTTCGTTACAAAATCGTTCCGCCACAAGTCTACTTTGGGAGCTTCTAGATTTATTTTTTGTAGATCAACCGTTGTATTTATTTATTTAGTGATTTTCATACTCTTGTGTGTAAACGTACATGGTGGATACTTGTCTGAATTCATTCTTTCACAAATTTCATCTGGTTGTGTTATAAAAAAGAAAAACAGTTTAAACATTGCTCATTGCACTAAGTGCGACATTGTAAATTCTGAAGAAGTTTTGAATAAAATTAACGTATATATTGAGTCGGAGTTTATTACCATTTATTGTTGTCCAGCAAACACTTCAAGTAACGAACGGATCATTATCATACCAAACGTTGTTGTTATAAAACTACATGTAAACGGACGCAACAACTCCTAACATTGTTGGGCCAAAGATCACGGAACAAAAGAAATGTTGGGAGTTGTTGGCTCAAAACTTTGACCGGTTTCAAACTTTGCGCAACAACATGCAACAGGGTGTGCAAACGGACACAACATGTAACATCCAACAATTTAGCGTACGTTTGCACGAAGCTTAACGTTACACAGACGACGCTATCCCATTTATCATGCTTTATTCCTGGTCGTATGCGAGGTCTATAATTTTGTCGGAATTCGCATCGCGCGTGCACCCACGATGATCGGTCAGTGAAGTGTGCAGGAGAATTTTTCGACGAAAGAAGCGGAAGCATACGGAAGGAACTACAAATTACTTGGAAGTGGAAATAACTAGTAAGTTTCCTTAACCTTTTCTACATTAGAACAGAATTTCCTTTGGCAATAGCGCCAACAAAATCCTGACCTTATTCACGAGGGAAGGTGCTCTGTAAAAGGTAGCCTGCGTAGGTGGCGGTATTGTGTACTAGTCGCGAAGCCGCGAGCAATAGACCTTTCCCGCATTCCAGTGAACAAAGGCACCAACTCGAGGCTCGGGTGGACAAAATACAGTGATTTGTATGAAACTGTCCACCCGAGCCTCGTCCTCATTTCTTTGTGTTTGTTCACTGAAGCGTAATGCGGGAAAGGTCTATTCGTATTTCAAACGCCTCGTCCCCACTCCCTTTCTTGGATCACGGCTCCGCCGCCAAAACTTTAATCACGCCGACACAATACCACCAGCTACGCAGGCTATGTAAAAGTTTTTCTCAAGGCCTCGGTTTGGTGTAAACTGCACGTGGGACCTAGACCTGTGAGGCTGCTCCCCTAGTTCGGCAACTGCTGGAAAATGAATGAAATTACATATGTTTTCCTGGAGATGTATGGACCATTTATTAGACAATTGGACCAACAGTCGCCTATCGTAGTCTAAAAAAGAAGAGTACTTTTCACTAAGTAGGTCTAGCGCATCTTCATATCAGCAGTCCACCGTTTTGCAGCTTTTAAAACTGCTTCTCTACAAATATTGTTTAAAACATTTCTCTCTGTTAAATTGGTAGACTTTTCAGGTTTCATCTTCAATTTCAATTGCTGTAGAAGTGGCCTCCTCAGCTGGTTTACTCTTCTTTGCCTTTTTGGTTTTCCTGTTAGCTCTGTCTGCTTCATGTGCTTTGATCAGTTCTTTACTCATATTCTCCATGTGTGCCGCCTATAAAATAATATTAGAGTCTAATGTATTATTCTTAAGGTATCCAGAGTTACTAGAAGGTGGAAATTTGCTGGTCATTCCTACAAAACATGAACCTGGGGGGAGGGGGGGAGGTGGCAATTATAATGTTTGGAAAAAAATAAACCCTAAAGGAGACCTGTCTGGGCGTGGTTTAGGCTCCATTTAACCCCTCAGAGAGGAGATCATACTGGAACTTATTCTTCATTTATACTAAGCACTAAAAATCCCCAGCAGATCTAAGACCATGCTCTAACAAACCCACTGAATTCTACTATGTATGCCACACCAACTGTTACAATGTAGCAGATACCCATAAAAGCTTATTTATATAATATTATATCAAAATCGCCTGTACAAATAACAGATTTCCTCTCACCAGAGTTGAACTTTTCCGTGCAAGTAATAAAACATCATCAGCATTTATCTGGGTCCTTTTTGCGTGTCTAAACATAAAAGAATAAATAAATGCATTAAGAATGCTATACAAAATGCTTTTCTGGAAGAAAACGTTTTCAAAACGCTTTATCACAAGGGGAAAGCTATCACTACAAACAAATAAACTAAAAGTGCTTGATTAAGTCCATAATACAATCTGCAATCACCCACTCAACCTCTAGAATATGAATCAATTGCCCAATATATCCTTGAGCATTAATCAGTGGCTTCCCTAGGGGTTGACCCCAAGGGTACCCACAGGATCCCAGGGGAATTTGTTGAGATTTGCTTTTTGTGTCTTGTCTGGCAGGGTGGATTTTAAAAATCATTACTTATATTCTCCGAAAAATCACATCCATGGACCAGACCTCTGTGCTTTGAAGTATGAAGTTTTGTTAGGCATTTTTAAACAAATGGCCTATGGTCCCCGGAGGCCAGCCACAGGAGTATCAACCTTGGGGGGAAGCTACTGATCGATATCTATATAGCTTACAGGGTTTCTTTTTTTTTTACTTACTTTGCAAAAAGCTCCAAATCTGTTGCAAAAGATTCTGCAATAAAATATCAAAGAGAATACTTGTAGCATCACTGCCAGTGTACTACCAGTAACACAGTCTTACTCTTCTTCATACACTGTATTCCTCTCCTTAACTTTTTTTGAATTTGTTCACAGATGTTAGTACTTAACGCTTAGGCAGGTGTGAAAGCAACAGCACAGTTAATAAATGACAAAAATAACAGAAAATGCAAGCACTTTTACAAACAACTACAAAATGCTAGTAAGCTATACATGTTATTTCTGCTACATGTATCAACAATACATGTGTATAGATTTAGCCAGAGCTAAGAGCAAAGCTCCTGTTGATGCATTTTAAATTTACTTCAGACAATTGACTTGAAACCATTGCAAAGAAATCCACAAATCTATACTTAACACTAGGAAAGTGAAAAACATACACTTGAGCATGCAGCGGAAAACTTAAAAAAAAAACATGTAAACTCGATGAGTTACGATCATGTGACTGTGGTCAACAGATACCCCATTTTACAGCTGTCAATTGACCATTATATGGATGGTTGTTATCAAGTTAAACACAGGTTACAGGCTCCCACACTAGCTAGAAAGTTTGACATTTTACATTGGTTATCCTAGGTACGGATGGACAGACGGACAGATGTACAGTCATGTGTAATCTCGTACCCAGATCTCACTCTGTTTTGCTGTGGGAGATCTGGGTACGAGATTACAGTCATGTGATTACCAAGATTTCTGGGAAGAATAGACTACCAAATTTTCTTAGGTATGGGGCTCCACTAATACTAAAATAGAGTGTAAGCTTTCCATGGCCTTTCCCTTCAAACCTGCGAATAATGGAGTCTAGTAAAGCTCTAAGCCTGTGGTATAACATTTCAAATGAAACCTCTTTGGCTGAACTTTGCTCAGGGACATTGTACTTTCATTTTTCAGCATTTTATAAAAGGAAAAAGTGTAGAAGTCTTTTCTTTGAGAATTGTTTTCCAGTAATGCTTTTGTTATTCTGCCTGATTTAGTGCCTTCAAACAAAGTATATGTTGTAGATAATTTTTTATCATTTTTCTTTGGTTTCAACTTCATTAGCATACATTACCATACCCAAAAACAAAAGAAAAATAAAAATTACGAGAGATAAAAAATTAACTACAACATGTACACATTACAAAGAGTGAATATATGTTTTAGTGAAATTAACACACCACACTGCTTGAATGTCGTCTCTGTAAGGGCAGCAATAAACCTCCTAGAAAACTGTACTCCTGTTTCATCCCCTACAAAAATAAAGTGTGGTGGGGTAAGTTGATATTACATTGATGACGATGCTGTTTGGCAGAGAAGAAACAACATTTAATCATAACGCACATCATCGGCTTGCCCCTAGGGTATGACCCCAGGGCCAACCAGCAGAACATGTTGGGGGAATACACTGACTGTGAATACTGATTCCCACTTTGGCAAACTTTTAAGTTTGCCAATTTAAGTGAAGCAACTAGGATCTCTGAAACCCGGGCTCTGAAATGGTTACTCCAGCTCGTTTCGAAATATTAAAAGCAAAACTACAACAAGATTGAGTTGTTTGGATGTCAATGAAACCTAATTAACTTAAAAGTAAGGCTTAAACATGTCTTTGTATTTTCAAAAACTCAAGCTGCCTCTATAAATTTAAGTCAAAAGCTTAAAGCTTATTCTCCTTCATCCAAGATCGGCAGTCTTACTGCGTCTATAAACACGTAAATACGCTCACCTGTTTTCTCGCAAATGCGGCCGACTGTGTAATGAAGAGCAGCTTTCAAACGCTAGAATATATACAAACATATATGTTTAAATATTTCTAAACCATGAAAAAGTTGTCGGTCAAGGAAATTATAACCTGTTGATAAGCCAACGCTTCGTATTCGTCGTCTTCTATTTCGTCTCCGGATGCCGCCATTACTGAATTTCCCGCGTAATCGGATCCAGTCTCTTGCTCCCTCTTGCCATTCATAATTTCTGCTAATTTATGCGTTACCAGTCCGTCCCCAACTCTGATCTCTTAATTTTTATGTTATTTTTAATTGTTTTTTATTTTTTTACAGAATTATACGTTACTTCTCCTAATTTTCTCCGCTTCTTTATTTTTTCCTGCTTTTCACATTGGAAAAAAAATTAAAATTCAACCTATGCCTTTAGCACTCGAAAATTATTCCATTGCTATGGTTACGTCCGTACACAAGAGAGGCTTCGACTGTCAACCATATCAAGTAAACATGGCGGCGACCACAAGTGAAACAAACAGCTCACGTTATCCTTCCGAAAAATCGGTTAAAGAGGCCTTAGATATGTTGAAACCTCCCGGAATTTTATCTAAGGTAGGTTTTACTATATTTTGTAACGTAATTGAACACTATTGTCATTTTATTCAACGAATACTTTCAATTAGAATTCTACAAATCATTCCACGCGCGTCAGCTTCCAATCGTTCTCTTTTTTTTTTCAGGCTTACAACCAGTTTCAGCTCAAACGATACCAGGTATGTTTTTTCTGTTCTTTGCACTTAGTTTACTTGCTGTGTTCCATGCTTTAGTAATGTTAAATAATACGTTCTGCTTAGTAATGTTTCGATTCCAATCACAATAAAGATTATAATTATATAGATTATGTGCCTAAAGCTTTTATGATCCTGCATTTTCATTCAGGGCTTTCTTTAATAAGCTTTAATTTCGAGGTAATCTGTCTCTTTTGCTTTAGATTTCAAGGCTAAAACTACTGGTATTATATTGTAGTATCTTAAATTAGATTTATTATGTTTAAATAATCTGAATATTGCAGGGGTACTTGAACTAGAAAAGCTTAGTTGCTGTGTTATTACTAAACATGGTATCCAACAGCTTAGCTTTTACACTCTAGGAGACGTACCTAATGTGCCTTGCTGAGCAGCCAGATTTGATCATTCAATTAGTTTTGTTATATTTTTAACAATGACTTAGACATGAGCTGCAGTCTCTTATTTTTCTTGAAAGACAGTGGAGCATGATAGCTTATGATGCCCACCACATGGCCATCGGAGATGAGAAACAATGGCATTAGCCAGAGAAGATGAAATAAGGGACCGTACTGGTTTCGTATAAAAAATTTTGAGGCAGGCACCTGACCTCTATGCCACTGTACTTTTATTTTGTCAATTCCCAATGATTTGGCACTCACATGTATTAATTACTGTTTTGAAAACGAGTTTTGACAAAACTGTTTCTTAAAGCTATTTGAAAAGGTATTGGTAATTATTCCAAGGATCATTCAGTTTAGTTCTCTTAAAGCTAGACAGTCAGGAGTAAGTCAGACCTGAAATTTTAGGAACTTCAATTAATTGGTTCCAGGAAAAAGACACCAAAAATGTTTGGTATCTGTAGACTACAATGCTTTATATGTGGCAAAATTTTAAAAAGGAAATTCTAAAGCTGAAGTAGAATATTCCAGACGGAGGAGATTAGTTGAAACCCAAACAACCTCTTGTGAGATGGTGACAGTCGATATTATCTGGAATAACATACTGTAGAAATTAATTCTACACAAAATAGATATGTGCCTGTGTGCAAGGTAAAATGATCCTAAACCACTTTTGAGCTGAATTGTTTATAGAAGCCAAGTGTGCAATTTGCACTCTGGTTGAAGCTGATATTTGGGCTAGACTGCAAGCACTCTCTCTTTTTCTTCAGATTTAGTAGGGGGAGTGCACGCACACTCAAGCCTTGAGCGGCAAAGCCGCAAGACATGAGAAACGAGGGCAGCAGCCTCTCCTGTCTCGCACCTTCAGTTACCCGTGTGGTCATTTGCGTGTCTCGGGCGTTTTGCTCGACGGACCAAGAAAAAAGAGAGACTGCTCGTAGTCTGATTTGGGGCAGCCGAGCCGAACTTTTCTTTGTGTTTGAATAATATGGATTATAAAGTTGTCTTTTTCTTTCCTTGAGGGTAACAGAGCAACTCAAAAGAATGCTACATAGAAAATACATACAGGGTACTAATTGAAAAAGAGTTTGTTTTTTAGAGGAATTCATCCACTAAATGCTAGAAGTACTCCATTACAAATCTCGCTTTGTTATTCACTGTCGTCCGTGCTATCCATTGGCTGACACATGGTGAAAATTAGTCAGGTTTTATTCTACACAAAAAAGGACTTGGTAATCAGCAGAAACTGCCCTTTAATATAAGCAATATTTTGTACATGTAGATGAAGCAAAAAAATGTAGTTGTTGTTTTTCTTTTTACCTAAAAAGCCTGCTTGGAAATTATTGTTCATTATTTTCTGATTCAAGCGGTATTTGATGATTCAGGGAGGCAACTGGTGCATAGGTTATCGGTGACGTGTTAACCCCACCCTCAGGCTTGTTTCTGCCTCTGTTTTGTTATGCTTTTGAAATAGCGGCTAAACAATCTTTGGTATTTGAGTGCTCAGTACCCTGTACACAGT